CAGTTAAGCCCAGTGACTTGTATTGGAGAACGGAAAAAGCAAGCGAAACAAAAACTCACTGCACTTTGCACTTTGAGGCAGGTTTTGAGGCAACAATTTCTTTGGCGTCAAATTGGCCAATTTCGGGACAAAAGTCAGCTATATCATCAAAATAGTTTATTCTAAGTATTTGTGGGATTTCCTTGGCTGGTGATCAACACTTCCAAAAAGAAAAATAAATTTTGATGCGATATGACTGTACATGTAAATAAGTCGCGTGCCAACTTACAAATCCACTCTCGTCCAAAAACACCAGCATATCAGCGTCAAACAAACAAATATTTGCCCAGTACATTTGTCGAAGTTCTTCATTTCTCAGCGACGCAATCTGTCGAACCTATAAATTGGACAAATCGTTAGGCTAATATAAGACAATTTAAACCACGCAAGTGGAAGGCAAATATTAAGATTACCTTTTTGCGTGTTATTCCATTGCGTTGGAAGTAATAATGAAGAGAGGAAAGGGCGAATTCGGAGCCTGTGCTTCTGTAAATTTGATCAAAAATCTCATTTAAGGACAGTGTTGCATTTTCCAGTACTGCCTCCATAATTATAAGCTCTTCTGGCGGCTGGAAATGCAAGCTTCCCAGAGGTCTTCCGATCTTCTTTGCTTTCACATCACCAGAAACAAAATAACCATGTAAGTAGCGCCTAAGAGTCCATTTGGATATCCCAAGATGGAAACAGGTTTCTTCCTCTGAATACCCACAAAAATGCCTGATCCAAATCGCCCTCCAACGGAGGTCTTCAGAGTATGGCGCGGGCATGTTACAAACTACGCTTGCTCCCGTAATGCACCGCGCGCTATGAAACATGGATCATGCATCATGAATCATTCTTCGCCGAAGCAACCTTAATTGAAATAGGAGTATATTATTGTAAGGTTGTAATATACGTGCAATAGTTTCAGAGGTGCCTCTGATGTACGGTATAGTCGCTGTCGTAACAGGGCCAGAGTTGGTCTGAGAGTTGGAATCAGTGTTACTGTGAGTGTTCCGTCTAACAAAGTCCGTGTTGTAATTGTTCTTACTAAAAACGTTGTTAAGATAATTAGTCTCGTCTTGTAGGCTGTCAGGTGAGTCGCAAACTAGTTGCGCTCGTCTCGTCAGAGTCCGGATAGTAGTAGCCTTGTGAGAGGTCGGGTTGTACGAAGACTGGTCTAGTAATCGGTCGGTATGTGTCGGTTTTCTGTAAATAGTCGTTTTTAGTTTGTTGTTGTCGCGAGTGACCAAGCAGTCTAGAAAAGGTATCTTACCATTTTCTTCGATCTCCTTGGTGAACTGTATGTCCGCGTTCTGTCTGTTAAGGTGTTCGTGAAAATCGTCAATTCCGTCTTTGTGTACGGCGGTGAATGTGTCGTCAACGTAACATAAGTGATTACTGATTACGAGTCTTCATAGCCAATAACATCACGGCTTAACTGACAGACGACCAATAACATCGCGACATAATTGACCAATCAGATCAATAACCAGAGTATAATACCATCAACTGACGTGACACAACTCACTTTGACTCCGAAGATGACTACCGCACAGGTTGTCGAAACGTCAGTCACTGTCAACAACAACAGTCCTATTCAGGACTATGTTCACCTGGACGATCAAACTCAACCTAAAATTACTCATGTTGTGGAAGAAGTAGAAAAGACATACATTTGTAGACTCAGGGCCTCTTCACATAAGCCTGGTTGACCAGGCTAGCCTGTTTTCCAAGATCTCACCTTACCCTTTAAATACTTTGTAAATTTTCAATGTGTTCATATGAGAGGGCGGGCCAGCTCGGTTCCCGAGATCTCGCATGGAAAAACCGAGATATCGGTGAATGGGCTGGAAATTTTACCATATGAATACTTCTGCCCAGTGACCGGGATGAATGCAGAATGAATTCCGGCAGTCCGGATTGCATCGTCTTGCATTGCATGCTGTATTTTCCACGTCATAAGCATCCCATAACAATTTGTAACTGCAGTGATACAGCTTTAAGAGTTGCCGAAGCTATTATAGGGGCGAAAGTTAAATTTTTGTGTTTTGCCTTGTTTGCTTTGTTTTTTGAATTTAGCGCCAGAACTCGTCCCCAGCATCTTTGGCCTTTTCTCATCTCAGAAACTGGGCTGAAATTTCCCATATGAACCCAAGGCGGAGTTCGTCCCAGTAACCGGGCCAACCCAGTCAACTGGGTTCTTGTAAAGAGGCCCTCAAGAAGAGAAGGGAAATTTTGTATCTCCAAGTGGCCATGTAATGCTCCAGTGTTCCATTTTTTATATGTAAACACCAATGAAATACGAAACCATTTCACTTTCATAGTTTTTTGCTGTGAAAGGTGTAAATTACTATGTAACAGTCATAGCAACGGTGATATTTTATGTGTTAAGATAACATGTTACTGTATTTATTCGATTAAACACCCCTGCATCTATTAAATTTTCAGCATTTTGGATGTCAGTGGCGTTCACTCAAGGTCGACATTTGTTTCAAAATCATTTTTGTTAAGTGATGTTTTCATACGAAAGCTCACCTGGTATTTCGTTGGACTTGTTTGGTAAAGTCACCTGAGAGTCATCTCACCCAAGGTTATGTTCCCCTAAACCAGAGTCATGTGGCCCAAATTTATAGAAATGTCACCTGAAGAAATTTTATTGAGGGTATAAAAAAAGGAGGTTCTGTTCACAGGGTGGAAAAAAGTGTTATTTTTCGGAAGGAGAGAAGCGACGACTGGAAATACGTCTGCTGTTCACAGGCTACGAAACCCAGTAACAATAATTTTTTTTCTTTAAGCTGGGTGCTTCAGGAGGTGAGTCTATTGGTGACTTGCTGACAAGTAAAGATGAACAAGAAGTCAAAAAGCTAAAACTGAGTAAAGAGAAAAACACAATTTTTGATGATCAAGTCCAGGGAAGTAAAGAAGCAAACCTACCAGGAATTCCTGCAGGACCAACTAAGGTGTGTTAAAAAGTAAAAACAAAGAGAGGTTGATGTGTCCTAAGTGTAGTTTTAAGCCAATTTTTCTTTTTGCAGCTGAATTTTTGTTTGTGATTAGGGGTAGGAAACAAAGCAGATTGAAAGTCAACCTGCTAGATTTCTCAAGTGCTAAATGTATGCAAATACAAGTACAACACCACCAACAAAAACAACAACAACAACAACAATAATCTTTACTTTCCTTTTTCTAAGTTCAAATCTTCAATTTAAAAAATGATAGTCTTTGGTATTGGCCAGTCAGTTTATATCCAACCCCAGGTGGATTTCACTGGAGATAGGTGGAACATTTTCAGTCAGACATTGTCAAATGGCTGACTATTATATGCAGCTTTCTTTTTAAAACTGCCCAGGTGTCAAAAGGTTGGATCTTGGATTTTGTTCTGAACTTTAAAAGAGGGAACTTTAAAATGGTCTTGGAAATGGCTTCCACAATATAGCCCATGAAATAATTATCACTCTGTCTTCAGGTCCTAATATCAGAAGAGAAGAAGGAGAGAAAACATAACATCCAGCCTGGTGATCAAGATCCAGAAAAAGTAATTTATTAACTTGTTGGTTCTGGTTGTGTAGCAAATAATGTATATATATTGGATGTACCTCTTTAATGTATAATAGAGATAAAGATCAAGATTCCTATAATTTTTATTTATTTTACATTCTTTTTCAAGAGACAAATTATTATTTTTGAGTTTAAAATGATTAATGTTCAATAGTTATAATTATAATACACTGCTGTATCAGCATTTTACATTCTTGAGCTGAATATGTGAGATTGTAGACCTTTCTGATACAACATGCGGCAAATAAAGTCCCGTCCCTTACTGGCAGCCCTGCGATCCATTAAGGATTTACAAATTAAATACAGTTGATCCTCCATTAACTTAAGCAGCCACCCGTGAGGTACTGGCAAGTGGTTGGCTGCTCAATAGAGGCTCGTCATTCTTTTGAGAGAACTCTCGTTGAGACGGCCAAAAGGTGGCTGCAGCCACTTGATAGAGATGGCTGCTTAATAAAGGATTCATTTCCTTTCTTTTCTACAATTTTTTATTATTTCGGGACTTAGGTTACTAGCTGCTTAATAGAGGGTGGCTGCCTAATAACTGTAGGTGGCACTTAATGTAATAGAGATTCCGATGACTGTATAAAGGTTTTCTGGTTGCTGAAAGTCTTGTTGTCTTCAAGACAGGAGCTATTTCATGTTGCTTTTTTAAATTCCTTGTATAAAACACTCTCTTAGTCTGTACTGGTAAGTTTGTTACATCTTATTACACTGTGGTTTAGTTATTCTAGCTGTTTGAGTTTATTACACATTTGTTCAGTAGAGAGAGAGCGCTTTTAGTGGTGGAGATTGAAGTGGGTAAAGTTTGTTTCCAATCATTCTTTGTCTGTGATTTTTTTTCACTATTTTGCCAGACTAAAGAGGATTCTGAGGAGGAAGAAGTAGAGGAAGTGGTCTACAAAGATTCAAGCCATTTCTTGAAGGTATTCATTTTCTACATGTATGTGTTTTTTAATACCCATATATAAAATGTATAATTTTTAATTCAATAACTTCCATCACCTGAGAAAGAAAGGGGTCAAAAGTCAAGATATTGCGATAATCTTCAAGCCTTATTATCATTACACAAACACATAAGACAAAAGTTATCATTTCAAACCAAAAGCAACATCATCTTTCAGAACATTATTTATTTATTACGTTTATTTTGTGTTTCCACAGGGAACCCAAAGTGCCAACCCACACAATGACTACTGCCAGCATTTTGTTGATACTGGACAAAGGCCTCATAACTTCATCAGAGATGTTGGTTAGTAATTGAAAAATACATGTATGGTGTAAAATTCTGGTCATTTCAAGTGCAGTAGTTTGGCTGTATTGAAACAGAGCAAAAGTGTCCTACTCTGAGATTATTTTTGGGAATTAATTAGCACAGTAATGATGACTGATGATATTTATTTTGTGGCTCATCTTTTTGACAGGTCTTGCTGATAGATTTGAGGAATATCCCAAGCTGAGGGAACTAATCAGACTCAAGGTAAGACTGTTCACTTAAACAGTGTTGTGAGTTACCTCCCTCTTATTCCCAAGACTAATCAATTACGCAACATCACTTAATTTCTTAACAAAATCCACTAATGATCAAAAAAGGTTATGAGAATTAATGAAATCAGCACTAAAGAAATGCTTTGATCTTTTATCAAATTCTATCAGCTAATTGTTTATGGAAATATTCATGTATAAAGATCAGTCTGGAGATTTTGTTTGTTGATATTGGGACTTCAATGGTTATTGCGGGTATAAACATCTTTATTTGTTACAGGGTCAGCAGCGAGCACAGATTTAAGTTGGACCCTACGGCTGTAGTTGCACATACATGAGAACCCGTACGAACTAATAGGCTGGGATGATGCAAACAGCTATAATTAAGTTTATGTCATACCAATTTGAGTGAAAGAAGCCTCATGTGCAAGACAGATCCATTGCCATATTTATTTTCGCTTTTGTTCACACCATGTTCAAATAATATTAGGGATGCCTTGGCTTGTGTATTGAATCCTCTTAACTTTTGAAACTTGTAGCAGTTTTCTGGTAACTCTTGTTGCTTCCATTACAACTTACATACTATTATTACCATTTTTCTTCACATTAGTTGCTCTGTACCCTATGAATTCAATGTATTTAGCTCCACCTTACCATGTCCGATCATAATATTATATGAAATTCTTTGAAGACAAAGCCCACAGAAATTAATGTTGTTGCACTTTATGTCATTGTTTAAGCCCATTCGCTCCTGAACTACCAAGTCTCTTTTACTGCTTGTGACATCATCAGTTTTAACGGTCAAGGACAACTTTGTCAGCTACATGTAACTTGTGCAGGGTGAAGAGATCTTGCTACCCATACCGGAAAGGGCCCGATTCAAGCAAGTAGGGGGGAGGGGGGGAGGAGAAAAAGGCAAAAAACCGTTTAACATTGACCTGAAAATTCCCATAAAAATTCCACGACCCACCCACCTTTTCCTTCATCTAATTCTAAGATCCTAAAAGCTTTCACAAAAATTAATACTTTTCCCACCAAAATGAAGACTATCAAATGCACAGCAGAAGATAAAAAATTTTGCAAGAAAAATGGAAGATGATGGGAGGAGAGAACGCGAAAAGAAAGATCCAAGACTGATGTCCGTGTCACTTTTAAAGCCAAAATCTATTTTGAAATTTTGCTTTCTGCACATGCCTGAACTTTGGAGGCTAAAACAATGTATTTTGCATCTGAATCAGAAGGCCAGGAAGTGTATGACCTGTAAATGGCTTTGTGTTAAGTTTTAACTCTTTAATGCCAGAGAGTGACCAGAAAATGTCTTGACTAGCTTCAAAACACGTTTTTCAGCAAAATAACCACGGGAGCAAATGGGTTTATCTTCTTCTAACCATTCAAAAAACGTGTCTAATGAAGATTTTATTTTAGGATGAAATCATTGCTGAACGTGCTACTCCGCCTATGTAAGTAACCCTCAAACAAATATTAAGCCATAACCTACAAGCATGCCACTGTTACTTGGCAATAATTTATTTTTTCAGTTTCGTGTAAATCTTAATTTCAATATAGGATGCTTGAAAAGTTAGTTAGGGAGAGTTAGGGAGTTGAGATTCTTAGTGTACCAAGCTTGGTCTAACAGTCCTTGGGAAAAAATGAGAGGATACGTATTTTTTTTAGAAATTGATTTTAAAAAGGCAAAATTTTGTTGTATTATCTAATAGGCACAGACCTACCTAGTGTGGGTGGGAATGAACAGAACTTACAGGCCTTCACTTCTTCCCCTTCAATGTTGATTTTACAGACATTTATGGGAGTTTATGACCAAGCAAACCTGTAAAACCAACTTTGCGGGGAGAAGGGGGAAGCGATCAAGTTTTTGTGAACCTCTTAGATTATCTTGCTTTTTCCGGAAGTGTTTCATCAAAATAGTTATCGGTGATTGTAGTACAAAAAACAATGCCAACTTTCGATTGTGAACTGGGCTCCATATTTGTATTCAGGTACCTTGATTGTGATCTTCATTTGTTTGATCTTGATGAGCTTGAATGTAAGTTTGATGTGGTGTATATTGACCCTCCCCTGGAGGAGTATCAGCGCCGTGCATCTGGTACCACCTTTAACTGGAAACCATGGACTTGGGATGAGGTTTGTCGATTGTTATTTTTTGCCACTGCAGTGTTTTTAGCCCATGTTACAGGCCAAAATTAAAATCAGGTTAAATTTTTTAACCTAGATTGATTTTCTATTTCCTTTGTCTCAGCTCTAATTATTTATGAATTAGAGCTACGAGACAAAGGAAATGGAAAATCAACCTAGGTTAATATATTTTAACCTGTAACATATACTTTTTTACTTATGGAATTAAAGAAAAAAATAGGGGAAAACTATATTGGCCAGGGTTCGTACAGAGTCTTGAATTCTTGAAAAAGTCTTGACATTTGCAAAGCAATTTTCTAGAACTCGAAAAAGGCTGGGAAATAAAGATTAAGTCTGGAACAGTGGTAGAAAGTCTGGAGTTTTTTTTAAAGCTACATGTACAACAAGTGCTAGTCTGCTACACAGCTGTTTTTGGTGTCGTCACGCAACGCTCCTCCCCACTAAAAACGGCTGTGTAGCAGACTAAACAAGTGCTTAATAAGTGAATTTTTTTCCCGTGGTCAAATTCTACCCCCGTGGCCAAGACATTTAATCACAGAATGAGAAATTTCATAACTCTCTTACGTCCGCATTGCTAAGTTTAGGAAGGAAACCGCGACTACCAGGACAATAGGCATGTCTGTTGTTAAGAGTATGCGACGTCAACCGCCACCAGGGGAGGTGAGAAGGGTGAAACTTCGAAGTCATTTCCACTAAAGTTCTCCGTTGAACTGGCGAAGCCACCGGCGGGAAAAAACCATGCAATTCTAAGCGAGAGCCACGATGCCATGTCACTAGCGCACAGGCTCGACTGGAGGGAATTTAAACGAGTTTCTTATTTCCCACGTCACGGGTTATTTGTGTATGCAGTGAGAATAGTGACAGCGTGGTCTCTAATATTGCAGCTTTCTATTAATCCATTAATAATCTCATGACCTTTTTTCAACTTATTATTTTCACTAAAAAGATAGCCAAACACACTGGGCCTTGTTGTTTGAAATTGATGGTTTGTGTATTTTGTAGATAATGAAACTTGAAGTAGAAAAGGTTGCAGCACCACGCTCATTCCTCTTTCTTTGGTGTGGCTCCCACGAAGGACTGAATGAAGGCAGAAAGGTAAAACGACTGAACTTTTGCTCGAAACATCAACTTTTCCTTCCCCCGATCAACTTTATCAAGTCAGTTTATAATATATAGATTTTTCCACTGCCAAGGGCGAAGCTCCCGTTAACGAATTTTTATAATTTCCTTCAAACAATAAACTTGTAACCATTACAGAGAAATCCTCTTAGAGGTGAGCCTGCGATTAGTTGAAAACAAGTTACTTGTCAGGGGATAACTTTTAAAAAAACGTAACCGCGATGGGTCAACACCTGAGCCAGCGAAACTGTCATGTGATACTGGTCAGTGAATACCCTGTTTTGACAGCTGTCAGCTGATCACAACATGGATGTGCAATATCACGTTGCAAGCTCCCACACTAGCTAGAAAATCTGACATCATATCACCTTGGTGACCCTGTGGTGCGGGCGGAAGGGCTTATAGGTCAGGTGATTACCAAAGTTTCTTGGATGGATAGATAACCACTCCTGCTCTAACATGGTGTCCATGAAATATTAATGGGCTTTTACTTAAAAAGCAGTTCTGTCACAAACGTGGATTCAATTTTACTCCCTGCCCTGGGTTAATGTTAACAGGCTTTTCGAAGAACGGGCCCCCCGCCATACCAAAGAATTTTCAGTACAGTTTTTTGTTAGGCTTTGTTATCTTATTGTTTTTAGCAGTAAACGCCCTCTCACTCTGCTTGAAACCCTCCAAGAGTAAGAAAGCTTCCTTTATACCTCTACGCTAAAGCAAAGGAAGTGCTCCCCACAATTTATTTTTCTTCTTTTCAACTAGTGCCTAAGAAAGTGGGGATTCCGTCGTTGCGAGGACATTTGCTGGATCAAAACAAACAAAACCAATCCTGGAAACACCAAATACCTTGAACCTGATGCTATATTTCAACACACTAAGGAGCACTGTTTGATGGGAATCAAAGGAACCGTTAGGAGAAGCACTGACGGAGACTTCATCCACGCCAACGTTGATACTGACCTTGTTATTACGGAAGAGGTACATTGCACAGTTCACGAGTGAATAGTTCTTATGGCCCGGCCACTAATTACTAAAGATAATTGTAGAGTTCCTTAGAGGGCCTATGTCGCGCTATATCCTGTCTTTAAAGAGCTAAAACGCGTCTTCACATCAATTAAATTCCAAAAATACTTGTCCAATTTTGTTATTTAAGACTATATTTAGGTATTCAAACTGTTTCCTGTCGTCTGTTGCAACAAATGGCAAGGATGGACATGGATCGAAACTTGCTAAAGTTGGGCTAACTTTTTCAAGCTTTAATGCTATGCCTGCAAAATAATTATTACGGTCAGTGTTCCCTGATAAAATTTGTTTGATATCTTTTGTATAATTCTACAGGAGCATTTTGGGTTTGTGGGTAAGTTATTCGAATGCGCGTTGCAACGTGGCAGTGAAATATTCACTAGTCAAGTGTAGATCCGCCCTCTTTTCGTTCTCGCTTCATCGCGATTATCTAATCATCTGGGTCGTCTCGAGCGCTTCGATTGAGAGCATCCGGACGATTATTGAGGAACCGGGCCGTATAAAGACTTATCGTCAATCTAGGGGATTGTCATAATACCACAATACCCTTCCTACCCAGGCGCTTCCTGGGATTTTCGGAAACGTAGAGGCGCAAGTGGCTATGGGAATTTTTTGGTGTAAAGCGAGAAGGATCATGGATAAGCTTCAAAAGCGCAAAGGCACATGAGAAGGCTCAACGTAAAAGGCCAAATAGCGCCTCCCATTTTCACCCTTCGCCTAACCATGTGTACCGCGACTACTGCCGAAAATTCCAGCATCGCATGTAAGGTGTTTCAAGACACAACTCGACTGATGAGGCTATCCAGACGATTATGCGGATTATACTTCCGCAGGAGAAATTTCTGCAATTTGATTGGCTTAGAGCAGTGGTATTTCAGCCTAATTTGAAATACCTACATTTGAAAATGACAAACCTTTTGCGGGTAGTAGTATAAACAAACAATAGCATGATTTGTACGTGATATTTGGCATAAATACCACTCATGATATTTCAAAATTGTCTCAATTTACGTATAACAATTTTGAAACATCACTCGTGGTATTTATGCCAAATATCACTACAAATCATGCCATTACCTATAGTAACAGGCTTTTGGGGGCCGCACCCCAAACAAACCAGTTTGTTTCCATTCTCCACACAACGAAATAAGAGAGAATGTCACCTAGTAGTTGTGCGAAGGAGGGCACAGTGTTGGTGCACGTGCAGAGTTGTTGCTCACTAGACCTCCTTTTTTAACTACTTTCTTGTTGCCGTCGCCGTCGCCGTCGCCGTCGTCATTGCTCAACCTCCCTTCAAGACTGGTCTCGATGTGATCACTACGATCTTAGGCCAACGTTCTTAAAGATAGAAGCGATCATATAAAAGCTAGCGTTTTGGGACCTTTGTGTTAGTCGTCCTGACCGTGAAAAGGATCGCGCCAAGTAGAATCATGTTTGGTGTCGTAAAAGCAAATTTCAACTACTATGAGTCGGCCAATTGAGCTGTTGAGTACGCGAGGAACTTGAAAAGAGCTGTTATCGAGGGTATGAATCTTACCGTAACTTTTATGGTACTGGAGACTGTTATTAGAACAGCGTGCTAAGAGGTTCTCTTCTGGACTGTTTAAGGTCAAGACTGTGTTTCAGCAAGGCTTTGTGAACTGTGCTACTTGATTTCGTAAACAAAATAATTGTGGAGAAAATCAATGAGGAATAATACATTGAATACTTATAACAATTACGTTGCTCTTTTTGCCGATTTTTAGCCACCTCTTGGGAGTACAGAAAAACCGACTGAAATATTCCATATAATGGAACACTTCTGTCTTGGGCGGCGCCGGCTTCATTTGTTTGGTAGCGATGACACTTTAAGACCAGGTAACTTTTATCAGGTGTTCTGGTAATTTTTTTCTTTTAATTTATAGAAAATGGTATGACTATGTACAAGCAAAATGTACAAGTATTTTGATACTGGAATATAATCTACGAGCCAGAGAGGAGGACAAAGGTTCATATCTGCGTAACTAGGCTTTCGATAATCAAAGAAAGGGTACTTTGACCAACTACTAACTTATAATTAAAATTAAAGTGAAAGTAAAATAGGGAAAAAACATGCAATTTTCAAAGAGGCTTAGGGACTAAACATTAGACCAATAACCACAAATAAAACATGAGGAAATTGTACGTTTTTCTAGGAATTACTTACGGAGGGAACACTTAGGAAACCGAAGACTGACAAAAGTTTTGTTTCCAGCCTCTCGGAAAGAATTTCCAGTTCGTTGAAAATCATTTTTCACCTTTAAATTATATTTTTGTGTCTTTTTAAAGGCTGGCTGTCAGTTGGACCAAGTCTAACAAGTTCAAACTTTTCCGCTGATTTGTACAACTCCTACTTTTCCAGCGGGCCTGAAGACCTTCTTGTCGGCTGCACACAAGAAATTGAGACTCTGCGGCCTAAATCCCCCACGGGAAAACATAAAGGAGACGGAGGGGGACGCGGAGGTGGAAATGCCCCAAACCGGGGGGGGACCTGGTCCCAGGACTCGGGGAGGGGTCCGTGGGGGAATGATGCGAGGCGTAGGTTTTCAAGGGAGTGGGGGAAGAGGTTTTGTAAGCTTTTCCGTTAGGTAGTCAGCAATATTGTTGTAAATGCGCGAATTAAGTTAGCAACACTGTTGTTCTATAAATGTGCCGTTACTTTCATCACCACCTTCAATCACTAAGATTTTATCCTTTATAGAACGAGCTAGCAGTTAAATGGAAAGTTTTCTTTTGTCCAAAGGGAAGCTATAAACACGAACCGCCAATGCCCTTTTCGCTATTCAAAGCAACGTGATACAATTTCTTTTATTTGTGTTGCCTTAAGCCCTTTTTCTTGTTTACTTTCTGTGCTAGATTAAACTCCGTTTGATCTTCAACAAGAATCGCCGAAAGGCGATTTTTAACTGGGCTGCAAAGGGGCTATTTTTCCTGAAGGGAAGGGGCGGCTATACACACTCAGGTTACCATAAAACCTTGTCGGCAACCATTGCATGCGACAGAACCTCATGTGAGACTGAAACCTAAACTCATACAGAACATTGTACCCTTTTGAAAGACTTTCGTAACCAAAAAAAAAGAGTACCATTTTTAAGTGGGGGCTGTATTGTAACTTTTAAATTCCACCATAATGAATAAAAATAAACAAGTTAGCCATTAATTCTAAGCAGGAAACAATTTGCATTATTTCCACGTACCCCTCCCCCAATCCCTCTGTGCCCCAAAATATAGTGTGACAGTATAACGTGACTAATTTGACGAAACTGGAAATTCCAAAAATTGTTGTCGTTCTACGAGCGTAAAATGCGACAGACTGAGCTGATTTACACTAGACAGAAATATTGTATTGTATGAAAGCCAGAAGTATACTAAAACAGACAGTTAACTGCCCATTGATCCCGCCTGATCCAGAGGCCTCTCTGACTGCACGGAGACTTTACTGCGCTTTTCACAAACATGCGAACTCTAAAGTTCAAAAACCACCTTCACAATTGTGTTTATCGCTGCCGTCAATCATAATTACAATCACAAGCAACGAAGCTTGAAACAGAGAAACACACAAAACGGATCGAAATCCACAAATCACAAACCATGACCTTTTGAACCCTTGAAGTAAAGTTTTGTTTCCTAAGAGGTCCGTTAAGATGATTGACAGCAGCGAAAAACGCAATCGTCGGTTGGCTTCTGAACTTCAGAATTCGCATGTTTGTGAAAAGTGCTATCCTAATTTGCGGTCCACAGTCTACAAGAAAACGCACTATTTTTTCCACAAGATGAAAAATATTCAGTTTTAAGATTTTCCTCATGGTATTTTTCTCTAACTTAAAGGAATAAAATCCTTTGCATTTTGAGACCTAAGAAAGATTAAAGATTTCTCGCTCGCATGTTGCGTTCACCAGCACGCACTTCAAACAATGTAAATAGATGAAACGATCGATAACATATTTTTTACCTGATACCGATGCGAGTTAAAAATTCGCTCCAGTTCTGTTTGTCTCACCCAAGACGAACTTTTCTTCATGGAAGATAACTATGCCGCTTTATAACTCGTCCGAGGTTTATGTGCCAGCTAAACAATACGGAAAAACTATTCACAGTGACTCCTTGGATATTAAAAAGACTGAACGTGACGCACTATTATGCCTTACTTTTACTTCTGATCATATCTTCAAGCGAAGTCTCTCTTTTCAAGCGATTCATCTCAATGCACAATAATTGACCCTTATATTAGTTAAAACCCTATGGTTCATTTATATTGTCACGTCCCTCGCTCATGGACGTGCGTAGTGCCATTCATCGGCAACTGAGTTATTCGCTTCACTGACTACGAAGGCTTATAATCAAGTCTTCAACCATAGTGTCGTCAACTGGTGAAATACCTTGCTCATACATTGTGCTTCTTAATTGCTCATGTACTACATCGATCGATAATTCTCTCTTTGAGTTCACGAGGCGGCCACGGCATTCCAAACCTGACGCTCACAGTCATCTTTTGGTGTGAACCTACCGTGAACGGCGTGTCGGTTTGAATGCAACGAGAGCATTTCTCTGAGTTTCCCAGCGCCAACATCATCTAACTGACTTAAACTCGAACAATAAAAAAATTATAGAGTGACTCCCATGACCGAATCGCTTCGAACAACGCAAATAGCCTTTTTCAGGTTCGCAACGCTTTGTGGGTTTTTCAGGGGGCGCGCAGACGAGGTACAAAAAGTATCCGTGCAAGGGTTCGTAGAAGAGAAAATCATATGAAACCATTTGTGAGAACATCGTTTCTCGGTACCAGACCCTCGTGTCTTCCCTCCCCCGGGAGGCCGTTTTTCGCCGCAGACGACCGAAAGCCCATTTTATGACTGGGCCGCACAGGCAGCCCAGTAATAAGATAAATATGAAAAGTGAATATTTGCGGTTAAAGCAAAGTTGGCTCAGGGTCCATTATAGCAATCTCGAGACGATCTCGACTCATACCATACCGAACCATAGCTTACATTATGCCTTTTTGGCAGCAATTTTATAATTTATTTCATTCATTTTACATAATCGAATGTTCCTTTTTCGGGATCAAAGGTCTCTGGGAAGGCAGCAGCACTGTTTCAGACACCGTACTTCGCGTTCATTGAATTTGATGAGACTCAGAAAGCAGGCGTTGGAACAGGACCTTTGGACGCGCAACACCTAAGAGCTTGTAATAAAATTCTTTTTAACGTGCACGTGATAAACAGGTTGAGGGGGACAGGGGACGGGAACCCGGGAGAATAGAGGGCGCGAGGGAGACGGGAGTCGGGAGGTGGGAGTTGCTTTAAGAGCAGACTGGGGAGCGCGAGAGAAATGCAAAATCAGTAAAATGCTGCCTTCATTCATTAATGCGTTAGAATACTATCAAAAATCGTCCTCCGACAATATCAACAGTTTTTTTTTATACAATTTTACAAGTTTAGCCCAAACACGTAGTACACCTTTTATCAGTGGTCGTCTTATATGTCGCGCACGAAGAGTTTATCGGTTTAACGTTCAATACGTGTGACATATGTAAGTGTTTTGTGAGTTATCATAAGTCTCAAAAAGCCAGTGAGCAAAGGAAGGAAACACGCTGCTTTGAAGTTTAGTACAATGGCGTTCAACTCAGTCTATCACCAAATATCATTTTCGAAGGTCTTAGTATGTTTCGATGCGGAAGGGAAAATCAGTGCATAGACTAAATTCTTTGGAGTGCGGACTCCTCGGCACATGGAAGTCTTTTCGATAAACAGTTTGTAAGATCTTCAAATCCTCCCGATTTAGGTAAACCAGGCATGCTAAAAAGTAGACTGAATGGAAGGAATATTGGAACATAAAAGAGATGTATCACAATACTATGTTTAATTGGTTTTGAACTATATTCTCGTTGGGTGCGCCTGATAAATTTTAACTGCAACGTGGGCGTGTCCTACTTCTTCACGAGCCTATTTCCGACTAGCCTCCCCGCAGACGTCCTTTGGGGTTCGTTTGTCACGCATTCATTTCTCCCCCACGGACCGTGGGGGAGAAATGAATGCGTGACAAACGAACCCCAAAGGACGTCTGCGGGAAGGCTAATTTCCGACGGGCTCGATCCATCCTGACTTCTCGGCCTATTTTATCGCATAATCCTCACCAATGTTTTGCTGTGTGACATGCTGTCTAGTTATACGTATCAATTAACGAAATTAAGACAGTCCATTAAGAACTGCATTGTGCAATAACTATTACACGGAAAGAACTAATTAAAAGACTGTCTGAAACGATGGCTGAAACGTCAACAAGTCAAACGTCATGTAACTAAGGGAACAGATCTATAACTAGTTACTCTAGAACAAATTATGAAGAAAAAACAACAAAACAAAACAAATGAAAGGTCTGCAAATGGTACGCCCAGAGGATTCATGACAAAGGAGACAAAGGCACAGGAGAGCAGGGTACGAGAAGCGGAAGGCTCTGACTCTGCAAAGGAAGACATGTAATATATATTTACAAGAACACACATAACCCTTTACCAATTTTTCTTTATAACTTGAAGCGTAAATGTAATTTATGACGGAAACTGAGTCTGTTAGCTCTTCAAAAGCGCTTTTTATTTTTCTCATCAAGACATCACACACTACTATTTGCGATACAGACTTAATGTCCGCATTGAGAAAGGCTGAGAGGGGTCAATTTGTTCACGTCTGTTGCTGCTGAAATTATGGCGACTTCCTCATATGTTATACAAAACACGTTTTCTCCAAACTGCTGCCAAAAGTGACGATTTTTTTTTTGAAGTATTTGCTTTCAACACGCCAATCATTCCCATTCTCAAACACTTGAGTAATTGAGCCCACGGGATTTTCCCCAGGGACTTCACCTGGTGGAAAGTTAAATATTCAGTGAATTTTACTGTCTGCAGAACTGAACAGTTTATTCGACGTCTAGGTACAGATTCCGCCCGCAGATGGCAGTGATCGGTGACTAATAGTCAGGACGTAAGTTGAAATTTCGTTGATTTTGTACTGTAGAGACAGACGGCATATCCATTCGAGATCGCTGATCTGTAATTATACAAGTCTTTTGAATTATATGATTGCGTATCATTTAGCAGAACGCAGGCGGACGTCGTAAGAGACCCCTGCCAATGTCTCTAAACGGACACCTTCTTGGCCCCTGCCTTTCTCAGTCATTATCTTTGAGTCCCTAAGGGAGAAGGTCATCTCTCTCTAAGACGTGTTAAGCCCGACGCAAAGCGCTAGCCCCGACGGTGTTCTTCTCCAGACAGAGAGAGAGCGCGAGTCGACTGATGAATAGACCTATTCGGCTAACTCAATTTTGTACCCAATTCAAATCTCCCGGGGATGAAGATTCTTTGTGTATTGTATTTGCATTACAATGTGGCATTCACATTTAAATGATATGGAAATTCCTGAAACAAAATGTTTTATTCCCAAAGGGTTTGAATTGGGTACAACATTGAGTTAGCCGAATTGGTCTATTTTCAGAAAACGACTGCTCCAACGAATTACTCTAAACTGCATGGCACACTGAATGCAGTCCTTTCAGTACAGTTTTCTGTCATTTCTAAAACCTAGGTCCTTGAAAGCCGCGGGAAAATCTGGAAAATAACATCATCAGACTTCTTACTTATAACAGAAAAGGCCTCATGTTCTCTTACGAAAATCTAAAGCGTAATATTTGGGGAACCCGGAACTGCATTTTACCGTATCCATGGAGACCTTTCACCCACGGCAAGGAAGAAAATGAAAATACGCTCGTATGCTCTAGATTTTGATAATCTGTGTCTTTTTCGCCTAGCCCCGTGAATTAAGTACTATAAACTTCAACTAAGAATTCACTAATCGTACGATATCTATTTAGGGTGAACCATTCTGATTAACATTATGTTATGCATTCGGTTACAAGGAATCAAAGGATGTTGTCGTATTTCGGGGTTACTTTTGGTGTGAGTGTGAATAAGCCAGAGTATGAATAAGCTGTTCCCCGTTAGTGAACCCCACTTAAAACATGGTAAAAGGGGGCGCATCTTCAAGATAATTTAAGTCCATCGAATAAACGGGATTGGAAGAGGCCACAATGCCTTACATGTAAGTAAAAGCGACTGATCTGCGAACACGATCGCAGATGGCTTTGCAAGCAACACCGCCCCCAGTAAGGAATGTCACGCAGACTATCACCAATGGAGGACCTACAGCAACCATGGCGCAACTACGCGTTTGTGGCAAACCTTTCGGCACAGACCGAAGATGAGAAGTGCAGTTTATTCACTGCCTTGCAATTGCGTGTTTACAGTGGGCTTTCGTTCGAAACCCGATCGAAGCAGACCGAAGCAGGCAATAATAATCTGTTTAGTAAAGTAATGGAGAAACTAGTCAAAAAGGCTACTGGGGAGATGAATGAGATTTATGAAAGGTTTCTTTTCAATAGCAGGAATTTATTGTTGCGTATGAAGTTGCCGGTTAGCTCCGGTTCAGGTGTACTCTGCGAATGCGGTCCGGGGACGACCCGGCAGGGGTACTCGACCAATATTTGGGTATAGGTGAGCCGCTGAGGAATTGAAACCCCGATCCTGTTTAAGACGAAGACAAAACAAGTAGATTTGTTGCTAGAAAAGTAGCAACAAATGGGGATGCCAGAGGCGACAAGGTTTGCTCTCAGCGACTTTTTTGTCTGGGAACTAAAACGTTATTATTTTCTGTTGAAACTGAAGTCTCGCGGGTGACCTCTCAAAACCTCCTCAACAGTCTTGGCAGTATTAAATCGAGTGGGTTTGCGTGAAGGTGTAACTCGACCTGATGTTTAATTAATAGGAAGGAGGGAGACTTATAGAAGAGAGTGAGAGAGGCCCCGCATCAGACGGGTCGAAATCTAATTTAGCCAGGGCTAAAAGCGAAGCTCTGGTTAATTGCGTTCGACGTTAGGAGAACGCTTCGTAATCTTTGGGGATCCTGTGGTCGATGGGATACCTGTGCATGCCAGGCGTGAAGATTCGAGATTTTTGGTTACTTGGACGGGCGATGTTCAAAATCTGCGCCATTTTGAATAATTATTAAGCGCGCGCACGAATTTTAAGCCCAATAGCCGGCCAAAGAAATTGCGGGCTCACCTGGTGGACATGCGCACACAACTATTTTTTACGTCATAAGCAATTGTCATATGGCAATCACGTGCATCACTGGTTCCATCAAGGTCAACTAGATGATTACACGGGAATATTTGAGTTCGGCAAAAGAATGAACTTTGGAGTTGTTTTCTAAGCGGGTTTTATCACTGAGCTGATGATTCTGCTAAACTTTTCGGTCAATGCCGTTCAAATCGAGCTGGAACTTCGTAGAAACACACAAATAAAGACCAGGTAACATTTGTGCCGTGAGAAGTTTACCCGTGCGTTTGAGTCTATTTACATATTTGTAGTTTAACCTCTTTCATGCACGAAAAAGTAAGCTTGAGCGTATCAGTGCAGTTTGTTACAACTGTAATGCTTTATTCACGTCTGATATCTCTACGCGGGCGATGTTCAAAATCTGCGCCATTTTGAATAATTATTAAGCGCGCGCACGAATTTTAAGCCCAATAGCCGGCCAAAGAAATTGCGGGCTCACCTGGTGGACATGCGCACACAACTATTTTTTACGTCATAAGCAATTGTCATATGGCAATCACGTGCATCACTGGTTCCATCAAGGTCAACTAGATGATTACACGGGAATATTTGAGTTCGGCAAAAGAATGAACTTTGGAGTTGTTTTCTAAGCGGGTTTTATCACTGAGCTGATGATTCTGCTAAACTTTTCGGTCAATGCCGTTCAAATCGAGCTGGAACTTCGTAGAAACACACAAATAAAGACCAGGTAACATTTGTGCCGTGAGAAGTTTACCCGTGCGTTTGAGTCTATTTACATATTTGTAGTTTAACCTCTTTCATGCACGAAAAAGTAAGCTTGAGCGTATCAGTGCAGTTTGTTACAACTGTAATGCTTTATTCACGTCTGATATCTCTACGCGGGTAATTTTGCATGATAAGTATCTCGCTCGCTGAAGCAAGCTAAGTTTAAAACATGTTGAACTGACCTACATGAACGTAAAATAATCATGAGATGAAAAGTTTGCACAATGGCAAAAGATTCTGTCCGGTTCTCTGACATCAGTAATCTAGCAGAAACCTAATATGTTTCTGTCGCTCCTATGATCATTGATTTCACTTCAAGTTGTGTCACGCAAGAAGCCAAGACTTTTAACCTTCAAGGCTACCATTTTTTCGAAGTTTGTAGTGACATGTTTATCTTTTTAACAACAAAGAACTTTTTACGATCTACTTTACATTTTTATCGACCATGCTTGAGGGAGAGTAAGACATTTTAAGAGTAGAGAGTTAATGAGTGAGATATTTTGAAGCCGTATACGCGAAGAACATTTTTTACGAAAAGAATGTTTACCTTTTAATTCATGATCTCTTCCATGATTTTGAAATCAAGCTTGACGACACAAAAGCTAATCTGGAGCTAAGAAAACTCGAACGCACTTATTGATCTATGATTACTACTAGTAATAGGTGTAAACAAAAAAAATTATATCGTGTAATGCTAAGCGGGGACGACAATGAAAACGGCTTCAAGACTAATAGATCTGATTAGCAAAAAAAAAAAAAAAACAAATTGCACTTGCAGCACGCTTTTTTGTCTTCCTCAACGCTGTTTTGTGCGACTTAAACGTCAAACGTCCTAGGTACGCATTATTTTTATGGAGGAGTTGTCGTATGTGCATACTTACCCAATATTTTTTTTTTCTTGTCTTCATGTTCGCTTTTATTTTTCACTGCCGCTCATTTTCACCTTGCTGGCCGCAAGCATTTCTCATTTTCTCACCGCCGCTTTGAATTCCCATGTTTTTCTTCCTACGAAAAACGTCTCCTTTGTCTTCAATAACTCGCTCTAGCTCTTTCTCTCTCTGGTATCCACGTTAGTGTAAACACAAAAAATAACGCCGAAAAAGACACGACTTTGTTGTTGTTTTTTCTTTCTAAAAGTCCGGGTTGCCATGTGATTTCAATCCAAACGAAAGCTTCAGTTTCATTTGGGTTGCCATACCTGTTGATTGAGTTATTTTACATTGGTATGCCTGTGGTGCAGACGGACGGTCGCTCGCTTGCTCGGTGTACGGTCACGTGATTACCAAATTTTCTCGAAGGGGTAGATTACCACATTTCCTTAGCTATGAGGCTCCGCCAGCGCCGCGCGTGGAGCTCCTCTAAAAATGAAATATGGTAGTACTGTAATAGTTGACACTACAGCTATCCCCGCTCGGGTGTTACGAAAACTAAGACCCTCGAAAACTAAGAGCTAAGACCTAAGACCCGTCTTAGAACTCAAATTGTAACCGAAATAGGTCTAATCTGACAAATTATCTTCTGTCCAATTCTTTTCACCGAGTTTTAGGTCAAATTTAACGGTAAATTTAGGGGTCTTAGTTTTCGTAATTTCGAAAACAAAGACCCCTCTACAATAATAATTTGGATAATGACCGACATTCAAAAGAGTGACTACCTTCACCTGAGAATCTTGGGCGCGCCGCTTGCAAGTTCTGAGGGAGCGGGAAGCCCCATAATTGACCATAATTTGGCCTATTTCAAAAACAAAGACTCTACAAAAATAACCTACAGTATTGGTAAAAAACAAGTAACAATACAAAGATAACCTGTAACAATAATTTTTGGATTATGATTGACATTTCAAGGAGACTGAATTGACTGATATAGAGACGATATCTATCTGTGACGTTGATTATACAGATCGCCCAAGCGAACACGAAGATGTTGAAGTGGAGGAATTTCTCGAGTAAACCAGCGTCATGGGCTCCTGCCAACGAAGAGAATGTTGGCCGGATTTCGACAGTGCTTGGCGGGCTTTTTGGAGAGTGATTTGTCACTGCTGGAGGGAGATCGACACTTACATCGGCTTAAGCCAGAGAAAAAAGACTTGAATCCTTCGCCGTTTTATCAGAAAGGTCGTTCATTAAATCAGATGATCGGTCTTGCTGTTCTTCAAGGAGATGTGAAGTAGAGCTCGAGCTCTCGCATCCCTTTACACCGGTGCCCGGGGGGGGGGAGGGGGGACTCCGCATATGAAAGGAATGGGGATGCTCGTAAGTCTGCTACACAGCCGTTTTTAGTGTCGTCACGCAACCCTCCTCCCCACTAACTAGTGGGGAGGAGCGTTGCGTGACGACACTAAAAACGGCTGTGTAGCAGACTAGATGCTCATCGGAAATTTTCAGAATTTTGAATTAAACCCCTAAAGGAGACCGATCTGGGCGTGGCCCAAGCTTTTTTTGACCCCTAAAAGAGACCATATCAAAACACAGACAAATGAAAAATACAGTGACTTTTAATGATGGCAAAGACATTATCATCGAATACTTTTACCGATAAGAAGTTTTTAACAGCATCGTCATAAATCTTCAGTTCATCATATTCGCTTATTGCATCTTTGGCACAAGAATCAAATAACAAGTTGTGAATATTTTTAGCCGTGATCTGAGCCGTGATTTGTGTCAGCAACCAAGTTTCGTATTATACTCTTGTAAAACAATGGACAAAGACATCTTCTCTAAGTATCGATGTTATAGAAAACTTGCATTATATGAATGGAGTAAATAAAACGATTTAAAAATATACATATCAAATATATATTTTTATATTTTTTCGCGTGCAACCGTAAAATATAATAGCGTTTTGCCCAGAACACCCTGAGTGAGACCAAAATCCGAAATTTGCACCTCTAAGCGAGACGACGACCATTCCCATCACTTTCATATGCGGAGTCCCCCCCGGGCAGCTGTGACTATAAAAGCTGCATTGTTGACGGCCTTTCTCAAACGTTCAAATAGAGAAGATTTAATAATTTCTTTGGTCAGGGTCTTTGCCACGCACAGTTCCTGCCAAACCGTAGACAGCTGTGCCAGCTAAGAGTGTATTACCACTTGTGGCTCCGCGGTAAAAACTCGATACTCCGATTCGCCGTTTTTGCTTAATTGCTTCCAAGGTCAGCAATGTTGACGCGGCATATATACTACTCTTGAAAGAAGTTAAATAAGGCATTGGAGCACTATTTTCTTAAAAGAAAGCACTTAAAAAAACACTGAAAGCCTATCAAGCCTATCTGAATCCAAATGCGGCGAGAAAACTGTAGTTATCAATTGCGAAGCCGAGAAGAGAGACTTTCAAATTTTCAATCGACCTTGAAATGAAGTCATGATACGCAAAAAATCTCGTCTCCTTGAGATGTCTGGTTCGTTTAACCAGTACAAAGTACAAAGTTCCTTGACAGGCAATGTGTTCAGCGCTTTCTAAGACCTCTCTAAAGGTGTCTGGAGGAATGCTTGAAACCAAGAGCCATAATGGCTCTTGTTAAAACTAAGGGACGGACCATTAGAAAAGTTATGGGGGGGATTTTTGAGCAGCGGGATTTTTTTTTTTTTCATCAAATTCCTGGTATGAATTTTTTTTAGACCGAAGCATGAATATTTTTCAGGGTTAATTGGCGTGCATAAATTTTTTTCATTTAATTTTCCCGTGCGCGAATATATTTTTTTGGTACTTCGCCCCCCCCCCCCCCCCCCCCCGATAAGTTTTCTAATGGTCCGTCCCTAATTACGAAAGTAACGCTTGTCTGTTATTAGAAACCGACCTGCGGTGGTTGCTGTGGAGATTAGGCCTCCTCGGGCGCGCACTAAAATCGGGGCTCTGGCTTCGCAATGCCGGATCCAGACCTTGAGAAAAGGCGGCGGGGGCTTAGGGTTAGGGTTAGGGGGCGCTTTCCACTCATCCCAAAAATTCCGGAAATTTCGGTTGGTTCATCAAACAGAACGGACCGTTTCGGTTTGGTCCGACCGGAATATTCGGGACCAGCTTCGAAGGTGGTTCACAGTGACCGGTCTGGCCATTTCGGTCGGTCGGACCGAAATGTGCCTTTCCATTTGCCAAAATTGTTGTCCCCAGTACCGCTCTTTTGTATCCTGCTTACAAGAACAAGTAGTAGTTTCCATTGGAAAGTCAACTACTGTGAGTAAAGCCATGACATCTCAAATAGTTTGAATAAGTTGCAATTTTTCTCCCAAAAAATTTTTTCGGCCCTTCAGGCCTCAGTTTGCTCTAAAATAAAGCGGGTGGGGGGGCCTCCAGGGCCCTTCTCCTGGATCTGCCAATGCTTCGGGTATTTACATGACTTTTTACTTTTCATTTTCAGTACACTTCGGTGAGCCATGCGCATGCTCCGAGGTATTTCAGACGTCAAGGAACTGGTGAAGACGGCTCATGCCTTTTGGAATTTCGGTAAAGAAATTTTGAGCACAAATATTCTGGGCGAAGATCCTCCATCATTGATTCCACCATGTGCTGGACATTTTTCACGAACGGAAGATGCAGAAATGAGAAAGAAGCTCGAAACTCTTTGCCAAGGAGGAAAGAGCCCCATTGTTGTGAAGACTCTCTTATTACAAGGACCATCCGGACATGGAAAAAATCATTCAGCAGCAAATCTGATGGCCACAATTTACACAACGCAAATAACAAATTCTTTCCGATCACAAGCTGATCAGGATAAACCAAAATTGTTCCTAAAAAAACCCACGATAAGATGGACTCTAAATGCGACCAATAAACAGACGTTGTTTGATAGTTACAGAAGTCTTGCTAAAGCAATTGGGTTGATCGAGGAAGCCACTGATGCTTATATGGAACTCCCACTTCACAGCAGGACATTGGAGGGGAGGCGATATCAAATGCACCTCCGCAATCTTTGTGAGAAAAACGCCTATGATGAAGCTCTTGAACAGATATACGCAAAAGTTATGAAGGAGCTCCGACAGAAAGGCTCATGGGTCCTTTACATCAAAGGATCCACAGCGGAAAAGGTGGCTTCTCTTAGGAGATTTTGGCCTCAACCGGGTGATAACAGGTTTGGAAATGGTCTGGTCATAATGACTACTGGTGATGGCAACTCCAAACACCTGTTTCGAGATGAGGATGACTCTGTACTGCAGAAAGTGCACATTGGAAAAATGACAGACGAAGATTCAGTTCAATTTCTTCAAAGAAAAACGGGCATAACAGCAACTGGAGGTGACACAACGAATGCTGAAGACATAGCCATTAAAATGCTTAAGTGCAATCCTCAAGATATAGCAAAGTGAGTAATAGAATGATCAAAGAACATTTTACTGTAGCGCCAGGGCTGGAAGTAAAGCACGTCATTTACATCATCCACGTTATTTCTCCCACGTAATGACTACACTAAAAGAATACTGAAGAATGCGATTGGCAAAATTACAGGTCGGGAGTTTCTTCCGCCAACCCTGTTAGGTGACCATAAAAAGAAATTTTAAATCATGGAAAATGATTAATGAATGATGAAACAAAGTTTTCAATGGCGCTAGAACTTCCAACAAAGCACTTTCTTTACCAACATTTTTGTCTGCCGTGCAATGCCAACAAAGACAATTGGTGAAGTTACTAAATTGAGTGTCTTTCGTCAGCCCAGGTGTAGCAGCCAAAATAATATATGAATTAAAGGACCGAGTTTACCCATTTTATCTTTGAGCCCCTTGTATTACTTGTTTAAAAGTTTATGCCAGATACAACGTTAATTGTAGTGCACATTAATTTTTTGTCCACGTTTATAAACAACCATCTCATCTTTGAAAGTCTTTTTTCCTTTGCTGCCTGAGGCTGTAAAGAGTGCAAAGGGTGAGGCTAAGTCGTTTTACTGTTTGCTATTCTTCACTTAAGATTTGGAGCATTTGTGAAAAACCACAAGGAAGAAACCAATGAGAAGCTAACATTCAAAGATTTAGTCACGAAAACAAAATCGCCTAATGAGTGCATGCTGCTTCTGGAAATGACACGCAGAAATCAAGAAAAGGTAATGTGGTGACAATCGAACTTGATGATGATGATCTATGAATTTTGTGGTGTCGTGTTTTAAGACAGCCTTTTAATGGTTTTTAAGTCCGTTGTTAGTCAGTGTTACTGAATACGCTGATCACAGCATTTTCCATCTCTTCTTTGCCAGGACTGAAATTGTCGTGATCATTGGTACCCTACGAGCAGAGGTTTCTTTCTCGCATTGGCGTTTTCGAGTAGTAAAACAAACCAACTGCGCGACTGATAAGCCACGCGAACGACTTTACAAAAGTTTAAGGCCATGCCAGAAAGAAATCTCTGCTCGCAGGTTAGAACATCGGAGAAATAAAAACGTAAATCGAGTACAATAGAAATGTTATGGATGTGTTAACATGATTATTGGGTTACTATGAACATGAACTAGGTATTTCGGTCATTTCTTTATCTAGCTTCCTCGCTAAATTCTAGAACAGTCTGGTACTTGGTTACCAAAGTTTACAAAAGGTTTCAAACAACGTCAACAACTTCAACGGCACCATACTCTAGTAAACTAACAAGACAAGAGAAGTATGTGTTATATAGCTGCCGATGTTGTGGCAGCTATTTTGGAAAGCAAGTTGAATTCAGTATTACAGCACAGCTTAATCGTGGAGAATTCTCATACCCAGGCGGGAGTCGAGTTTATTTTTCTCCACGGTTCTTTTTTAACTACTCGAGAAGTCCCTAACAACACCAGGAGGGTCCATTTTTTGTATTGCCTATATTTTGGGAAAAGTCTTTAAATTTTTCTGTTTGGAGTGGGAGAGTACATTTTTCGTTGCCCTTATTCAAAACCTAAGCACCAACCACTCGTTGCTATAATTAGCTCTCCATAAATAACTGGAATACAACAACAACAACAACAAGATTATTCAGTATTACCATTTTGTACAGGTGTTACCGATTAAAATAACACTAATAAACAGCTAAGTTTAAGGAAATACAGGTATGATGGAATAGTAGAATTAACTATGTTTCTTTCGTCTTTCAAATGCTTGAAATATGAAATTAGCAGCTAGCCTGCTGATATGTGAATCAGTATTGTTAAAAAGAAAACAGACTTTATCATGGATATTGTATTGTATTGTAATGTGTAAGTAATGTATTTCGATACAAGTGGTGGAAGCTCAAGAGCAAGAAAGTCGGAGGTCATGTAGCCGAGGATCAGAATCAAATCCGAAATTCCAGTTGGTAAATAATCCATCCCGGATCAGTCCACACTAAGTTTTACAGTCTTGATTGATTAATACAGTCTCTCATTTATTAGTGAAGAATAGTTAGGGGAGGGGAGAGGGGAAATAATAGAGAGGGAGGGGGACTTATTAACTTAATTCACCTGAAAAGGGGGGGGGGCTTATTAGAGTCAGGGGACTTATTTGAGGGGGGTTAATAGAGGATTTATGGAGTTTTCGTCAATACATTTACAATAATTTTTTTCCCATAAACCGCGGACTGTTTTTTTTCCATACCCGACTGTCGGTTTCCAGAGAAACGAGGGGAACTATTGGTGGACCGAATCTTGAATGATGTATTTAGACAAAGTGTGGCACAAGTAACAGGTCAACGTACGGTGTTTCTATGGGTGAAAAAACAGTAATGTGCCAAACAGTGGTAATATATAGATTTAGCCAGGGCTAAAAGCGAAGCTCCCGTTAATAAATTCAAATTTAAATCAAACAATAAACTTGTAATCCACAGATCAGGGCACATTCATTTGACGTTTGAGGCAAAGGCTAAGTGATTTAAGAGAAAAATAATTTGATAGTCCAAGAGTGAAACAGCTTTTACATCGAGTTATTAAATAGTCTTATTTGTACACCCAAAAATAGCAATCATGTTCGATCACAGGGGCACCCAACGAGAATATAGTTCAAAACCACTTAAACATAGCACTGTTAAACGTATTTTAGTATTTAAACGGTAGATATAGGCATATTTTCATCCCCTAAAAATTTTTCATCTGTTTGGATTTCCTAGCTGAAAACCTAGTGATCCGAAAACTATTGAGATCAAAACTTACCTTTTCGAAAATTTCAGCCAGAAAAAAGGCTCCCGAAAATTCTAGGTGACCTTTTTAGGGTTAAAATCCGTTAAAAATAGGCAATTATACCATTTTTTTGATGTTCGAAAATCATAGGAGAGGCAGGCAAGCAAGAAATTTTTCAACAAATGTTCCGAAAATTCTAGATCTAAAATCGTCTTCCGAACAGATATTCTTCCGAAAATTGTCGTTGGGTGCCCCTGCGATCACAGTAGATTAGGCCTGGAAAACAAATAGACCTACCTATTCGTGTATTGTATTTGCATTAGCTGTTGCATCATAATGTGGCATTCACCACTCTCTCCAACATTGCTCCGTTTAGACTAAGGATAATTGGACAACCCAAAAATATAATTTTAAGAAACACACGCGCCACGATAGTCCTTGGTGGCAGCAAATTTACACGTTGCATTCCTCTGTCTAAAAGAGAGGCCAAAATAAAAAATCAGGCCGGATTTTTTGTGTTCGACAAGTTTAGTTTACTAGTAAATCTTGGCGACGAATTTGGTGGCGTATAAACCAGCCTTTTAAACATACTTTTTCTCATCACGTCTCAGGTAAACAGTACTATGAGGACCTTGTTTTTATCATACAGACCTTGGACAGAATTTGTTCTTTTTTGCCCTATTTAAACCTATAATTCTGCAGTTTTTCACAATTTGCACTCATTCAATATCCACGACGATCAGATGCACAACAAATTATAGCAATGAATTCAGCCTGAGTATCAGGCGCTTCTGGGGGAAAGGGGAAAGATGGAAGTGAAAAAGGGAGAGAGAATTCTATAATGCCGGGACTTTTCAGTTAGAAAAATCTGGTCCTATGTGATATGCAGGGTAATAATTATGGGCTTTTAATGAAAACGATAAAAAAATTCACAAAATCACTTTTCGGCCAGCCGGACGGGTCTCACTTTTGACAGGCACCAAATTTGCAGTGCGATTAATAGAGTTACCATTTACGCTTCAACATGGTAGATAAATTGTTATGTTTAGGTTTTATTTCCCTTTATTTATTAAACTGCGTATGGTTTTGCTATGTGTAATCTTTAAAAGCGAGAGAAAGCGAGTGATATTTACGCGCGGCGTTTTGAGTATTCCTGCATGCGATGTTTATGTTCGACTGGATACAACCGGTGCAGCGATAAAAATTGCGAGAGGGACTACTAACAATCAATAAAATAAATATAATTCGGTGAAACATTTACAGAGACAATAATTTTCATTCACGAAGAGAAGTATTGAGAGTAAAGTGTCTCTGAAAATCATGAGTCGGGTAAGCATAAGCTTATTTATGTTTTAAGCCGGCTTCCCGGTGTTGGCTCTTTTTCAAGATGAACTGGAGGCAAGAAAGTCGCTCAGAGCTTTCTGTTTACAGCCAAACTCATAACTAAATAATCTTCGGAACATTTTCTTTGAATTTGCGGTCAAAAAATGACGAAAGGCTTTTTAAACCTGATACTATTGTAGGTTAGCTCATTGCTCGTGTATAAACTCAGCTGATAAACTTAAGGGAAACCGGAAAAAAAGACACATCAAAGACAACAATTTCTCAGGCTTACCAGTCGAGATGCTGCTTCTGAAGGTCATCAAGTGTTCTAGAATTTTCAACCCTCTTACGCCTCAAGCAAGGGCAAGTGAGTAAGCTCAGTTTGAAAACGATGCCATCTGAAATCGGACTTCCAATGACTTTGACAAGCGGTGCATTTGTCAACAAGAAGCGCAATAAACAAACCAGCCATGAATTACGGAACAATCTTGATAGCAGCTGTATTTCATTTTGTACACCAAGTAGAAAAAGACAGCTTAAAACATCACAAGATGACACAAAACTCTGTAAGCTCCAGCTATCAGTAAGCAATTTCCAGACGCTGCATAAATTTTCCGCATGAACTCACCTGTCAAATTTTGACCAATCAGAACATAAAAATTGGACGTAGAGCGTGATCAACGCGTGACAGTGAGAAAAGTCAAAAGTGATTGCTTTCCCTGCATGTAAATGTAAAAGCCGGTGGAATTTTCGCGTCCGAGGTCAGTTCGACATCAACATTTTAAAAGTGCGGCTCATGAACTCGACTTATTTCATATGCATTTTAGAAAATTTGAACTTGAGCCTGCGATGATTGAAAAGTAGCAACTTGTCAGCGGATACCTTAAAAAAACACTAGAACTCAGTGGGTCGATACCTGAGCCCGCGATAGGGTCAGGCGATACTGGTCAGCAGAAACACTATTTTGACAGCTGTCAATTAATCAAAACATGGATGTACAATATCAGGTTGTTTGCCCCCAAACTAGCTAGAAAGTGCGAGATTAAACGTTGGTATGCCTGTGGTGCGGACGGACGGAAGGTCGGGTGGTCGGTGTACGGTCACGTGATGGCCGAATTTTCTAAGATGGATAGATTTTCTCCGCTATGGGACTTCGAATTGAGCCAGTGATCAAATAAAATATCAGCGCAAAACTTTAAACACTACGTGACCTCAATGGACAGACAAATGAGCCCGCGATACACTCAGGTGATGATGGTCAGCGTATACTCTAGTTTTACAGCTGTCAATTAACCTTCATTAGAATGGCGAGTATTCGAATTAACAGACTACGAGTGTGAGTAAGACATATCCGTCCGGCATGTAGTGGAAAATGCCAGATCGTGTACCTGAGCGAACCTGAGCCCACGTTATTAGTTTTCTGATAGTGGCCTGCACATGTCCCATTTTGACAGCTGTCAATTGACCTTAATTTGGCTTGCCAATATAACTTTAAACGACTGTCAGCCAACTGACAGCCTTGCCCGGCGTAGTTTCGTTTTTATGTTGAATTGGTAAGTGTGACATATTATATCAGCTTATATGTATGGGCAAAACGACTGGTCTTTTATCTGAGCCCGCGAGATGGTCATGTGATAATTGTCAGCGGATGTCCTATTTTGACAGCTGTCAATCTAATCGCACTCATACGGATGGCTTACATAACGAAGAGGCTAGTCAAGTTGTGCAAGATCTATTGTGACATTTGACATCGGCTTACATGAATTGTGTGTACGGGTGGGCGTACTCTACGTCATAACCAAATTTTCTCGGATGGATAGTTTACCAAATTTTCTTACCCATGGTGCTTCGCTCCGCGCGCGCTTCGCGCGTGCGAGGAGCTCCGCTAAAAAAAATCAACCATTTGTAAGCTGAAAAGGCTGACATACTACAGCCCTCTTAGCTCAATTTATAAGCGATTGAAGTGCTTCAGTCAATGAACCCATAAAGGTGAAAAAGAATTTTACAACTAGCTTGGGAGTATCAGGCACGGGATAATACGACTTTTCGTGGGTGTACTTAATACCTCAGTGTGCAGCCCACTTTGTAATTCTTTCAAGCGATTGTTTCACTATGGTTCCAATGTCCCGGGCGTAGTTCAAAGCACTGAATGGCGTGTTTGAAGTGACTGAAGTGAGAACTTCCACCTGCGTTGACAGAAGAGTTAAAAGCTCAACTTTGGTCAGCGAACAAAAGATTTATAAAACTGATATTTTTTATCAGCCTGCTCAATCCGTTGCGTAACAGGAGAGAATCCTTGGTTTTCTTTTGAACTGTAACCTTATATGGACCATTTGTGTCTCTTGTCAATGTGAAGCACTTCTTCACACTAGCTTTTCGTTGTACCTCGCTACAGACTTTCTAGACGTCCGCGAGCTTTTGCGTTCCTCAATCAGCCAAGGATTTTAAGAAATGAAACTGTCTCAGCCACACCGGGCTTAATAATTCCAACTGCAACTTCATTTACCAGGTTACAAAAATATTATAAACTTATCGTAAGTTCAAATTCCATGCAATCATGATTTAAATGAACGAAAGATACTGATTTCTCTGTAGTCCAGTCGAATTGTGGTTTAACATCAAACTAATTGCAACAATATTTTTTTTCTACGCCATGTAATTGTTAGACGGCTACTCAAGAACATAGTAAAAATCCGCGGCCAAAAAAGGTTCGCTCCGCTCGCCAAGAGGTCGACTTTGTAGCTGAAGTCTAGAAAAAAATTGGCAAAAAAGATTGTCAACTTCCACCACAGGAAACTCACTTTCAGCGAAGTCACAAATGCAGACCAAAGATTAGATAATCATTTTTTTTTCTTAAGAATCTTAGATACAACACTGCTAATGTATTTTGTGTAATTTTGTGTTAAAGAACGCCAACTAAATGTGGAAACGTCTGGGTCAGTGCTTCGTCTTGACGGCTTTGCATAGGTTACCCAATCATGCGTCTGTCATCACATTCTGTTTTCCATGCTTGATATATATTTTTATGATGGTATTTAAAAAGGAAATTATTACAAAATCTGTGTTAACATGGTTAAAAAATAATAATAATTGGTATTTTTTGCTCACTAGCAGAAATGCATTATGTATTTTAGTAGTTTTAATTGCTAGTACTTCAGATATATAATCTAACTGTTCAGAATCAGTCAGCTACTAAATTTGCATCCACGATACAGGATATGTTTGACTAAATGTGTGGAACGGAAGATGGATTTGAATGAGTACAAACAGCTTAAAAAAATAACCTATTCCCGTTTTCTGTAATCGAGTTTTGTGAAGTAGTTGTGTTCAACAGGCTTGGGCACAATATGTGTGATCGAAACTGACTGGGATTAATTTTTTTTTCTTGCGACTTGTGCAACCTCCTTTCGGATTGTGACTCCGTACCTTACAATATGACTGAATATATATTTTGCTTAGGACTCCGTCTATTTAATTTTAGCTAGATCGTAACGCTCTGAGCTTTTCATAATAGACCTTGTCACGGTTTTCGACGCCATCTTGACGAGTAGGCAAACGCGTGAGAAATTACAGTGTTTGTATGAGAATCCAATGTCGAATAATTTCCGTAAAACGGCTGTTCTGAAAAAAATAAGAATTTTAAACTAAAGCTACATAGCAAAGGATTTTACTAACAAATTTTTGGGGCAGTTACTGTGCTTCAATTTCTCCAGAAGCTTTCTTTAGATTTTCCATATATTTGTCTGCAATTTTTCCCGGGAAATTTTTACAGACAAATGTATAGAAAATTTTAAAAGAAGGTTCTAGGTCTTCTAGCGCATGTAACGCCCTCAAATTTTTTCAGTAGAATCCTTAAGAGTGAAGCTTTAGTTTTCAATTCATAGTTTTTTCAAAGCAGCCGTTTTACGTAAATTATTCGATCACACGACATTAGATTCTCATACAAACACTGTAATTTCTCAAGCGTTTGCCTACTCGTCAAGATGGCGTCAAAAACCGTGACAAGGTCCATTGGATCTAGCCGACTCTGTTGCAAGGGAAATCCAGAAAACCAAGAGCATTGTTATTGTTCTTTTTTAATCTTCTTTTTGAAGCGAGTCTCATATTTAGTTTAATGTATCTGTGTGTTCATTTTGTATTTTCTGGTAAGATGAATATTAACAATTAGTTCATGCGTCAGCGTGCGTATGTCGAGCTATTGAGCACGCGGGAAATTTGGAGAGCACGAAAGAGGCGTAAGAGTTGCACGAGGCACAGCCGAGTGCAACTCTAGCCTCTTGGGACCCTATACGTCTGAAAATCGGATTGCAGTGGCCAATGAAGGCGCGAAAGTAATGGACATATAAACGACATTAAAAGCCCGACTTAGCAGCTGGCTCACCTCTTTTTGCGGAACCTGTGTTTCTCTTCGGGTGACCGTTGCTTAACACTTCGACTTACAGTTAACCTTCTTACTGGCTTGCGAGAATTATGCCCTGCGTGGGAAGTTTCCAATCACTCCATAGACTCTTCCAAGATATTTTTACATACACATTGTTCCCGCTACCCAGAATTAATCTTTCCTTTAATAAACTGCTTCCTTATTATACTATCTTGTTTCCTTAAAAAAAGAAAAACAATTTTTGCTTGAATTCAGAAAGTTCTCGTGTGATGAATGTTCTGTTATTCTTTAATATTCTTCTTGCGAAAGTAACAACACTTTTCCATAAATGAAGACGTACTTCCTTGTTATCGAATTCATAATTTCAGCTAACGTAGGTGTCCTGTGTTAAAAGCTGAAACTGTTTAATGCTTAATTTTCACATGTTCAACTGAACGGATTTTGGCGGATTTTCAGTATGTTGCTAGATGGGCAACCCTTACTTAAATGGCGTTCTGTTGCAATTTGTTTGATGTTGAGGCTCAAAACTGCCTAGATTGACTGGACTACGGAACCATCAGGGCCATATTCAGTTGGAAGGCCGATTAGCGCTTAACCCGGGGTTAAATTTAACCCTGATTTCTTTTTCTTATGTTTAAAAGCATTTTCTCGGATAATTTTCTCTTTTGTTTTTAGAGCTTCCAATCACCAACTTGTAGACAAAAAGAATTTGAAGCTGAAATACCTTTTAAGCTTTCAAATCGGAATTTAAATCTCGCACTAACCCTGGGTTATCTCAACCCAGCTTTGAACAACTCGGCCCAGGATTTCTTTCTTGGCCAGATCCAACGATAGCGCTCACAGCCCTATTTTCAGAATCTCTAAGGTTATAGGAATTAAATATATCACTGCGTAGTATAAATTTTGAAGACAGGTAATTAGGCGCAAGGCAATTCAAAGATTTATACGCTGTCACTGCCTTATGAATTCTAGGTTTTGCCACCCCAAGTCATTTAATAGCATGCTTGCGTCAGCGTCATAATTGGAGTTTGTAAGAACGCGCACCGCTCGGTTCTGAAGCCGCTACCCCATACCACGCTGCAAATGTCAAAATGTGATAGGATAAAAGGCCGTAATTGGCCTTTTCGGAGTTCCGTAGGGAACTGGGGGAGTTTCAAATTTAAACTAATCGATAAACTAACACCACCATATAAAAGGTCATGGTGAGATTGGTTATTTGACCAAGATTGGTGCTCTAACGTTGAATAGGGATCAAGTTCTGACTCTTGAAACATGCTGGTTAAAGATTAATTCATGCAAATGTTTGTAATTTTTTGACAGCGTCCCCCAAACCGTATAAACTCTTAATTTTTTTTAGTTTTTCTGTTAAAGTGTAAAATTCGTCATGCATCTACTACTTGGAAGGAACTAATTCGAAAATCACTATGTTTGCCCATTTTCAAGAATATCACAGAAATCGTGAATAAAATTAAGAGTTTATATGGTTTTGGAGGACGCTGTCACAAAAGAACATTTTAATGGTTATCCTGTGGCACTTTTTGTGCAAGCGCATTTTCGCCCAAGAGTACGAGGTTTTTTTATTTTGTGTCAGTTCAGCACAATTTTGTACACAAGCGAGATGCGATTAAATTGTTGATGTTCTTATGAATCTTCTGGACTAATGACTGACCAATAATCCCTACGAGCATACGGTAGCAGAGCGAGGTTCCTTTCAAGAGGATTTCACTTAATTTTACCGGGATTTAGCCGTGAGATTAGCAAACGAACACGAGATGGCCTAACGACTAAGAAATGACAAAGCTAAGTACGAAGGCGCCTACACGAGAACCAAAACAAAATTAATGATGACCTTGAAGGGAGGACTGTCCTCTAAAATGCAGTTGATGGAAAATTTGAGTCTTCTTTCTGCTGCTTTTGAGAATGTAGTTCGTGCAGTCGAGAGTTTAGAAGCACATTACGAGACTGTTGGCGACTCATCCAAACTTAACGCCGTAGCGCTTGAACTAGAAGGTATGGAGGAAGGTTTCAGCGAGATTGAAAGAATTGTAGTAAGTGTTTCCAGAACAGTACCCGCCGGACAGTCTGCAATTAAAGAACAGTGCGAAAGACTTAAAAAAGAAATCAGAATGCGAAAACAGGAGATCACAAAGGTATTACACGACCTGGAGAAAACGTATGCCGGATGTCAGAAACAACTGGAGCAGAAATTAACGCCGAAAAAACCGCAGCGAAAGGAACAATCTCAGGGAGGTGAGTCAGCTACAGTTCAGAACATTGTAAATACTAGTGTGAAGAGATCAGAGGAACAGGAACAAAATGGTAACCTGAGAATTCAGTCGGCTACCTCATTTCAGCCGTGTAGTTCATCAACAACTTTTAATTCTAGTGGAGCAGCTGCTTTTTATCCTTCCAGTAGTTTTGTGTATTCATCGACTCCAGTAACTTCCCAGTTTTCAATGTCTTACAAGCCTTCAGTGTGGGACCAACCCCTTTACTTCCAGCAGCCATCATTGAATGCCCGTTTGAACTCTGCCCAGACCACACTGGTTGAGTCTTCTGCTATACGTCCTCCAGTCGTGTCTTCAAGTCAGTTATATATGTCAGCAGCTCAAGCTCACACTTCATTCCAGTTTTCGTCAAGTAGTAACCAAGTATAGTTTTTGACCCAATTTGTCAGTCAGCCCTTAAGCTCCAGTTATGACCACATCAGTATCGACTCTACTGTAGCCCTCCCTGAAACGAGTAAGCATTCCAAAATTTTCTGGCAATAAGAAGAGTTACGAAGCTTGGAAGGCAGCCTTTTACGCATTGTGTTGATCATGCCAGTCTCACCGGAATACAAATTGTTACGATTGCATGAGTGCTTGCAAGGTGAAGAACTTAAGGTCATCGAAAATCTGGAGCACTCTGCGGCAACCTATGAAGCAGCCAAGGCTCAATTTAAACGAAAGTATGGTGGAAAACGCAGAGCGCTTACATTACGACTTGAGGAAGTTGATAAAAGAAGGGAATGAGAAGGATCTTGAGCATTTTGCTGAGCTACTAGATGCAGCAGTAATGAACCTTACAGACGCCAATCAGGAAGTAGAGCTTGGTAGTGGGTCACTTTACATCACTTTACAACGCAAGTTCAATAAGAATCTTGTAACCAAGTACAAGTAGTGGGTCTGTGACAACCATAGAACCGAGAATGTAAAGACACTGAGGGAGTTTATTAATAGAGAGTGAGAGTTTTTAACCACAGCTTCTGAGACAATAGCAGATGTACTCAGTGGATCCAAGAAGGAGAGAGCACTGTTTGCCAAAGAAGATCCTAACCGTAAGAAGAAACATTCGAAGAAGTGTAAGGTTTGCAAGGAGTCCGATGGCCTGTGGACATGTGAGAATCTTAAGATGTCAGTGGACGACAGATCGAACATTGCTAAAGAGCAAAAACTGTGTTTTAGATGTCTCAGTGACGGACACAGAGGAGAAGTATGTTTCAGGAGCAGGGTCTGCGGGATAAAAGTTTGTCGTTTTCACCATCGTCGCTTGCTTCTTGAAGACCCAAAGAAAGAAGAGAATGCTGAGGTAGCAAGGGAAGCAGATGCATCAAATGCAGTAAAGGCTGGTGCCACCACTGGAGGGGAGTCAAGTGAGAGAACCCTCACAGCCACTATCAGGACAACTCCTTTACCCACTTCGGAGTTTGTAGCCTTGAGAACTGTTCCTGTTTATGTGACAAGTGGTAAACGAAGACTGCTCAAGCATGTTAAGGCATGGCCTGAGGCTAATTTGCATAAAATCTTATAATGGTCATAACTTTGTAAAAATTTATCAGAACCTTCCAAAATTTGGCAACCTTAATTTTTCCGTAACGTAAGAAATCAGATATCTGTGTCACGTGACCACTTATGGTCGAGTCCAGGAAAGAAAAGAAAACTAAAAATGGGGTGGCGAGATGCCAGACAGTATATATTAAATACAGTATTTTTGTTATTGTATCATCATTTCCCGCTTGAATCTGGCCGGAATGGTTGCCTCGCGTTTTTATTTAATTAGCAATTAAGCAAAATGAGTCACGTGACACTTTTCACCTGTTAATATCTTTCTAAGAAATTAAAAATTCTCTCTGTTTCGGCCACGGAAAAATTCGTACGGTAAAACAAACATTTACACATGGTTCAAACTTAGTTGTAATCAACCATTCCTACCCCATTTTGAATTTTTTTTTAATATCATTATGACGTCACATTTCACGTGACCACATCATCTCAAGTCTAATTAATTCAACGCCTCGAAAGAAAGTTTCTCGAAAGTTTTTTTGCAACTTTTAGAATTAAAATGCATCGCTGTAGAAGAAAAACAGCTTTATCTTAAGCCATGCCTTAACATGCTTGAATGAAAGTAAACGCTCTCCTTGATGACGCCAGCAGTAGAAAGTACTTAAACGGCGACATTGCAGCTGAGTTGGGCCTTGAAGGCACACCACACGAGCTTACAGTTACTGTACTGAATGACAACCAGGAAAGGTTAGACACCACAGTTGTAGAGTTTACGATCAGCAGTTGTGATGGAAAAGTCTCTAAACTAGCTTCTGCCCGTGCAGCAGAGAGAGTCACAGGAAACATGCAAGTGGTGGATTGAAGCAAACACAAGCACAAGTGGATGCGCCCTAAAAGGCATCAAGCTCACTCAAGTAGGACCCAGACCCATAGTAGACCTGCTAATTGGGGCAGACCAAGCTGATTTGTTGTACTCGTTGGAAGATGTGAGGGGAAAGCCTGGAGAGCTCATAGCTAGACTTACTCCGCTGGGGTTGACTTGCATTGGTAACCCAGAGGGTGCCAGCAGAGAGAACTCAGACAAACTTCACCTTCCTTCTAAATATTACACAGGAGTTGAGCGGTCTTGTTCGCCGCTATTGGGAGATAGAAGAACCTAGAGAAACTCTGATTATTAATCCGGAAGAGAAGTTCGCAACAAAGACAGTTTCTAGGTCTTAAACATTCGCTGACGGTCACTACTCTGTTAGCATGCCCTGGAAGAGAGACAGACCTTTGTTACCTGACAACTACAGCGTGGCCTTAAACCGTTTACAATGCACTGAGAAGAAACTGAAGCAATGCCCAGAGCTTGGTGAAGCCTACAAAATTAAACAGTGGTTCAGTCCTATCAAGACAAAGGACACATTCATAAAGTTCTACGAGATGAAGTTAAGCCTGATCAAGTCTGGTACTTACCTCATTTCCCAGTGTTGAGGCCTGAAAAATCAACGACCAAGACCCGTATAGTCTTTGACGCCTCAGCAACGTTGAACGACCTGTCTTTAAATGACATTGTACTTCAAGGGCTTAAACTACAGAGCGACTTGTTTGCAGTGCTACGCCGGTTTCGTCGTGACCCTGTGGCCTTGATGTGCGATATCAAAGAGATGTACCTGCAAATTAAGTTGAAACCCGAAGATCAACCTTATCATCGCTTCCTATGGCGGGACTTAGAGACAGGCAGAGAGCCTGATGTGTTTGAGTTTAACCGTGTTGTATTTGGTGTGATTTCGTCCCCTTTCCAAGTAGAGTTTGGGGCTCAAGAACATGCCAGGAGACACCGGTCTATATTTCTTTTAGAAGCTGAAACAGTCTTGAAGAGTACATATATGGATGATAACATGGACTCGGTTCCTAGTGTGAAGGCTGCAGTGGAATTGTACAGCCAGCTGTCCCAGCTATGGAAGTCCGCCGGAAAGTATGCTAGAAAGTGGTTGTCCAACAAGCCTGAAGTGTTACAGTTTCTTCCATCTGCCGATTGTGCCACAGAAGTGGATCTTGACCGAGGTGAACTACCGCCTATTAAAACCTTGGGGGTCCTGTGGTGCCCCATGGAAGATGTATGCAAGCGTCAAGTTAATCAACCTCCTGGGAAGCATGAGCACTCCAAACGTAGCTTTCTAAAGAAGATGGCAACCTTGTTTGACCCTCTGGGCTTGTTGTCCCCCTACACAGTGCATGCTAAGGTTCTACTTCAAGAGATATGGGCAAGCGGTGTGTCCTCGGACGAACCAGTGAACAAGGAACTCTCGAGTAAGGCTTCGAGGTGGTTTGAGGAACTTCCGGCACTGAAGAACATACAGATTCCATGTCTAAGAGCTACAGCTGTAGTGAGAGAAGTGACCTTGCACTTTGTTGATGCCTCTCAAGAAGCGTATGGAGCCGCTTGCTACTCCAGACATCTCTATGAGGATGGAACCGTTAGCTGTTGCCTTGTTGCGTCAAAATCACGTGTAACACCCCTGCAAGCTGTCAGCATACCTCGATTAGAATTAATGGCTGCCGTTGGTGGACTCAAGCTGAGTCAAGCCGTCAGCCAAGCACTTGGCATCAAGAAAGAAGAGTGGATCTTTTGTTCCGACAGCATGGATGTAATGTACTGGATTTGCTGGCAGAGCCGTTCGTGGCCAATCGTGTAGGTGAAATCCAGGCATTGACAAATCCAGAACAGTGAAGATATCTCGCGACAAAACAGAATCCAGCTGATTTGCTGACAAGAGGTCTTATTGTCTCAACTCTTAGTGAACAAGAAAGGTGGTGGAAGGGACCGTCGTTCCTTAAACAAGACTCCTCAGAGTGGCCTCCAATACGAATTGAACACAAGAGAGAAACATATGTTGAGCTCCGGAAGTTGGGCCAGACAAAAGAGCGGTTAGGCGAAGAGACGTTCCTTTCATTGACTGCTGAAGACCGACTAGAACCGCAAAGATACTCCAGTTGGACTAAGTTTACAAGAACCGCCGCTTGGGTTTACCACTTTATAGAGAACTGTCGTTCCCAGGTTACCACTCGAAGACAAGGCACGATACAACCTGACGAAGTTTCCTTTACAGGGATAAGAAATATCAGGCAAGCTCAGCAAGATGTATTTAAAGAAGAAATGCGAGCAATGCAAGCTGGAAAAGAGCTGCCAAGCCATTCATCTCGAAGTATCATTTAGCCTTGACACGGACTCATTTCTGAATGCATTTTTTCGTATGGTGTCCCGACGTGGCTTGCCTAGAGACATTGTATGTGACAATGGCAGTAATTTCGTTGGTGAGAGTAATGAGCTAAAAGAATTGGAAATATTGGACCACTAGAAGATTCAGGACACTACGACCAGTCATGGAGTCAAGTGGCATTTTAATCCTCCTCTTGTGCCACACTTGAGTGGTGTACATGAAATTATGATCAAAGCTGCGAAAAAGGCCATTTATGCCATCCTTGGCTCTGCAGACATCACAGTCGAGGAACTTTTGAGTGCAGTCGTAGGTGCAGAAGGGTTAATTAACCCTAGGCCACTAACTTACCAGTCAAGCGACCCAGCCGACCTGACTCCTCTGACTCCTAATCATTTCTTACATGGTCATCTAATCCAAGAAAGAGGTGGCGTCGCGTCTAGGAACTTGTACGTCATTTTTGGCACAGATGGTTGAAAGAGTGGATCCCCAGTCCGAATGCAAGGAAAAAGTGGCGCAGGGACTAAGTTGACCTAAAAGTAGGAGATGTTGTTATTGTCATGTCCCCGGATACACCAAGAGGAAAGTGGCCTCCAGGAAGGATTGTGAAGGTGTTCCTCGGAAAAGACAGCAAAGTGCGCCTTGTCGAAGTTCAAGTTGGGGAGACTGTGCTGCGGAGACCAATTGTGAAACTTTGCCCCTTGGAGCGCTTTTGAACGTTGAATGACGCTACAAAAAGGAAATGCATTGTTTTAAGTCGTGGACCTTTCACTGTAAACATTGTATGTCTTAGGTTTTGTTGATATTTCATATCAAGAAGGGGAGGATGTTGCGAAGAACTTAATGGTTGTCCACTTTTTGTGCCCGCGCATTTTCGCCCAAGAGCACGAGGGTTTTGTAGTTTGTGTCAGTTCAGCACAATTTTGTACACAAGCGAGATGAGATTAAATTGTTGATGTTCTTATGAATCCTCTGGACTAATGACTGACCAATAACTCCGGCGAACAACTACAGACGTTTGTATGGATCTTTAACCATGTTTCAAAAGTCAGAACTTGATCCCTGTTCAACCTTAGAGCACCAAACTTGGTCAAATAACCAATCTCAACATGACCTTTTATATGGCGGTGTCAGTTTATCGATTGGTTCAAATCTGAAACTCGCCCCAGTTCCCCACGCAACTAGACAGCAGGACAGGGCAGGGGCAAACAATGATTGATACGTTTTACGGCACCAATATCAGACGCGATTTTCTTTGATATAGCGCCAACATGGTTTTCCCACGTTAGATTTTCATCAACAAGCACGCTAAGAGGCTTTAAGCAATGAGAATGTTTCATCGTAACGTTATTTATATTTAAGGAAGGTAGAGAAGGTAGATTATTAAGCTTTTGCCTTGAGTCGATTAAGATGAGTTCAGCTTTAGTCATATTTAACGTTAATTTATTTGCGATAAGCCAGCGATTAATGTTGAGCAAGTCTTTATTCAGGGAAGACTGAATGGACTGGAGTGGATATTGCCATTCGAATAAGTAGTATGGGTATTATCAGCATACATTCTTGGTTCAGAATGAGACAGACAATTGGGCAGATCATTGATATATAGCAAAAACAGTAGAGGCCCTAATACCGTTCCTCGGGGAATACCACACTTGAGAGTGCAACATTCTGAAAGGGAACCATCGACAAGATACTTCTGAGTACGATTATCTAAATAGGGTGAAAACCATTAATGGGTAATACCTGATATACCATAAAGATGTAATTTAGACAATAGGATCTCATGATCGAATGTGTCAAACGCTTTCTTAAGGTAAAGAAAAACAACAGCGTTAACGTTACCTGCATCTATATTATAAGCCCAACTATCGGTTGCCTCTAATAAGGCTGTAACTGTTGAATTGAGCACACGGAATCCAGATTGGTGCTTAGACAAAATATTATGATCCAATAAAATAGGTAAAGAGTTGATTATAGATAATTCTTTCAAATACTTTGCCAGTTATAGAGATAACCGATATTGGACGACAATTGTCTATGTCACTTCTTTCGCCTTGGTAAATAGAGGAGTAACCCTTGCGGACTTCCAATCGTCAGGAAATATGCCATTAGCTAAAGAACCATTAAATATAATTGAAATATGAGGTGCAATTAAATCAGCGCAAAAAGATTAAGCCGACTAGATATTCCATCTAGACCAGCACCTTTAGATTTGTTTAGTTTTTTAAAAAGAGACAACACCTACCAGTGGGGACGAAATGGAATCTTGGCCAGACATATATTCCTGAAAACTGGGGCCATTGTTTAAAGGTATTGCACTAGCCAGTTTGGGACCAATCGTGGAAAATTGATCATTGAAAGCGTTTGACAAAACAGTTGAATTAGTTATAGAAATTCCATTCAGACTTAATTCCTTAAAAGAAGACCTGCCCGTTTTATGAGAAGTAGGCCCATTGATCACCTGACACGTTTTACGCGGGTCGCCGCCAGATTCGCTAAAGCAGACCCAATCGTGCGGCTCATTGGACCTAATTGCTTTTATTATCATAGCATCCCTACTATGCATGAGTTTTTAAAATCTACTGTAATCCAAGGTGACTTGCTGGAAAGCACACGCTTAGTACGATTTGGTGCATTTTTTATCAGCGATTGCAAGGAAATTCGCGAAAGGTCATTGAGGTCTTTTGAAAAACTTAGGAAATATGCTAATTCTGGTTTGAAATATTAGGCGAAAGACGGACCGTTTAAAGTGTTTAAAACTCCTATAAGTGATAAAGTATGTCCCTTGGGAAGATCGAAAGTGCGGAACGCATAAACAAGACTATGATCGCCTACGCTAACACCCTCTCTGTAGAATTTGTAGAAATCAAGTCAATGAGAGAGGACGATCGATTTATCAGTAATACGGGTAGGCTCATTAATTAGACGATGGAGACCATAAATATCAGCGCCTGTGTCCACATCTGCATTCATGTCACCCAACAGGAGGAAATCGAATTTTGTTAAATAGAGTTTCCCGATAATGTTCTCAAGGTGTGAACACAATCTAACAGGGGAATTGGGTGGCCGATACCAGTTGACAATAATAAGGGGCTTGGAGTGGAGTTTTCGAACGTCGATAAATAAATTTTCGAGATAGGCTACGATTCAATCGTTGCGAACAGAAAAATTAATACTAGATTTAACAAAGAAACACACACCACCACCGCCATCACTGAGGTTCACCGATTCTATCACGTCTAATTAAATCAAAACCAGGAATGTAAAATTCGCAATCTCTGTTCAGAATTATTTAGCTTTCCTTCTTGAACAGCTAACACATCTAAGAATTTATCATCAACAAAATTCTGATTTCATCGATGTAGGCAGATAAACTATTAACGTTCCAAGCCTCTATTTTGAAGCATACACGCTTCGATGCAAGACGAAAATTCGAAGTTGATTCGTATTTAGATGAAACAGATTGAAAGAAACTCTATTGCTGAATATTATTAGACTCAAAGTCAAAACTCACCCCATGTAAGGGAACCAAGATCCCGGAATCCGAAATCCATTAACGATTGGAATCCAGAATCTAAGTTCTACTTACAAAGAATCCGGAATCCACTGCCTGGAATCCGGAATCCATGGCATGGAATCCGACTTTCTTGGATTACCTTACATAGGGCGACAAAACAATCGGCATTCAAGGAGGCAGGCTAATAATTATTTACTTTTAAAGAAAAAGTTTTAACAACGTTTCTGTATAAGAGGTCATTACTTTGGCCAGGAAGATGAAGTCCGCCCTTGATTAAATGTTTGTCGGAGATATTAGTATGACGCATAAACTTCCACTCATCCGGCGGTTACAGAATTTATTGAGAAATCGGCTATACAAGCGGCTTAATGTAAAATCCTTGTGATCTACAGTGCAATAATACATGTTTTTACTCGACAGCTTTTGAAATTCTTGGCTTGCTGTTCAGGGGAGGCCGATTACTTGCCTTTACAGTGTCTAGAGAGGTGTTTTGAAGACGTTGAAGAGACCGTAAAGCAAAGCCACTTTGTGGATGTTCTTGAAAGAGGCGGAGTAAAGGTGGTGACAATGCATGAGAGGGATCATAAGACACTGAGAAACATACTAATCGATCAAAAACAAGCGCCATGGGGTAAGAAAAGAAAAAAGGCTAATAATTAAATGCTGTTAAAATATATTATATTAATTTTTGAATAACTTCAACCGAAATCCTTTCCCTTTTAATATCTATGCAAAAAATATATTATGCGTGAGTAGCTCGTCATGTTCAGCCCACTATTAGCAGCCACTTATCAAGCTAATATTTATTGCTGGGCGCACAAATCTATTAACAATACATAGATCTCTTCCATTTGAGGGTGTGTGAAAGGAAATTTGTATGTGTCAATTTGTTTTAAGTAATAACGACAACAAAACTCCACGTATCGATGCATAAAACATCACTTGCTCAAGTTCTCGAACGTTCTGAAGTTCCGTTTAGCGTAGAAAACTGAGTCATACTGAGTCATGTTGAGTCTGATGGAGCTCTTCGTGGTGGATCAGGTCTTCCCTCGTTACTTACATTGCATGTAACAAACTCTATGTCACAATGCTAGTCATATTCCTGCTTTGTTTCTCCCTTTAATTCTTCAAGGCGCAATTCATCAGTTCTGCGAGCTTAACCCCGCAAGTGCTCATTTTCTTAGGTGGTAGCTTGTCATTGATAATGCATTGCTTTCCCCTATTAAATTTTGTCATGTGCGATTCTAACCATTCGACCTCTATATCACTGAAACCAAGACGTTGATTCGTCTTGTTTGGCAAGATGGTGTGATTAATGAAGTCAAACGTCCATTTAATATTTGGAAATACGTCGACACCATTTAATTCTACATTATCCATATTCTGTAGCCAGCATCGCACATTTGGACGAGGTTCGTTACTGTCGAGTGATTCGGGCAGAATCCTGATTGAAATTTAACAATATGGAGTTTTTTTCAGTCGGGTAGCTATAAACGGTGAAGAGAAACGTCTTTTTCAAATGCCTTGCTCAGTATTGGTAATATAGCGTGTTCCAAGCGTTCAGATAGTGGAGAGCGGTGTGGAGTAAAGAAAGCGATGAAAAGTGGAGGGGGACTGGTGAGAGAGGTGCGGAAATGTACAGATAGTTCTCACATTTCCGAGTGTCTCCGGATTTAAAAATTGGTTATACACTTAGGACCTTCCATTCATCTTTATAAATGCCTTTCTTAAGGCACAGATTTATGAGATGAAATAGGTTGAGATAAAACTATGGAAAAGTTATTGGCAGAATTTGAAGAGCACATGCGAGGATTGGTCAATTTCATCAGTTACTGGTATTATCTAAGTGCTCATCATCACGTTCTACAGCAAGTTTTATAATAAATAGACGTTTAAAACTTCAAACCGGCACTACATTTTCATTAAACGATAGCTTGTCCACATTCAATTAGTTATTTTTCCCCAATAACAAATTAATAAACGTCCACGTTTTCCTAGAGTTGATCGAATTGGAACAGTCGTCAATCCACTCGATTTGAATAGGTACTGTCTCCCTTTGAGTGAGGGCAATCATCTCGGCGTCAGTGGGTTGCGGTCACACCTTATGGTCCAGTGAAGTGTGTAGTTTCTGGGATTTGGTCTTATCGAAGATGTTAGCAGTGGGTATGTATGTGAGTGTGCTTTCATTTTCCCCTTTAAACGTTTGTTTAAAGCGTGGACAGTGGGTACACTACCCCTGCGTGGGCTACCGGGCTGTAACAAAGTCTGAGCTGATGAGATATCTTGTTTTGGCTGAAGCGTTTTTTCTGCCGACTTGTTCTTCTTCTGTTTCTCTTTACCCTTTTCATTTCCTCTACATCAATATTCTAGTAAAATGGGGCGCATAAAATGTGCATATATTACCTGAAGGTGACCACTCACTTGGATCGTGGTCCCTCACGATCTAGTCCACAGAGCAGCCATTTTGTTCACTGTTTATAGTAGACCTTGCTTTCTTTGTCGCTTCGATTTGAAATCTAATCTCTCTAAGCTTCATCTCTCAGTCCCATGTTCCAAAAGCTGCTGGACAGTGTACTGGCTTCCCTGCATATAGTTTTTTGTGGCGGTTGTAAAATTTTGTTACGTTTTGCATCATCATGGTCTGCGAAGCTAGTACACTGATTTGGCTATCTGAAGTGTTAAGCAGTAACTCTCCTGCTATTTGTTACATCTCGTCAATTACAGCGGGCATTCTAATTTATGGTCTCCAGCTTGGTGGTAGTTTGGTCGAATTCATTTTGCTCCCGGCCTGAGGTTTTTAGTGGCGCGTCGTCAGGAGTTCGATCAGTCCCGGCATTGACATTGTTTGAGACCTGGAAACACCCGAAACGAGGGAGTATCTAGTTTTTCCTTTTTTTTCAGCGAGGGTCGATTTCGTTGGGACCTGCGTCTGCGAATGAATGCGGGTGAGCATTCTCATGTCCTTCGATCCGTGCATCAGATGATGAGCTTCTTGTGTTACCGAGCCTGCTGAGGAATTTTGTGCCACTGCGCTAGCTGCGACCTAAGCTATTGGTCCCAGACGACGATCGAATAGTATCTCATGATGCACCTCGTTTCATGTTATATTACGACTGTGTACGTGACATATCATGATCAGTAATCTTCAGCACGCGCAAAATGAACATCGCGGTGCTCGATGTGGATGGTTTCCAAACATGTTTCGGTTCAGCAGCTTCTGCTTTTGAGATTATCGAGTTGGCTCATCTTCACTGTGCTTTAAAGGAGAATTTGAGCGTTACTTTGACTAAGAAGGGTTTTACATGTGTTTCACTGATCTGTCGAGAACTGCTTGTGCGCTTGGTCGCACTGTAAACACAAAGTATAAGACTCGGCAACTGATAAGCTTCGCTAGGTTCACTAGGAGAACCCAGGCCTGAGGGGAACCAAAACCATGCCTGATCTAAAAAGTGGTTCCAACAACACAGTCGCCACGCCGTGAAGCTAATTACCAAAGGAGGATTTATTACAGCATCGCGCTCACAGGAGCTCAGTTTACGGCAGTTACAAATAAAATTTAACCTATCGATGCGACAAACAATCCTCTGAAGCACAATCTACCTGGTACTGACTCAAGCCATCTTCAAGGAAATTTCCTGGCCAGAATACTGATCTGTTCTTTTGAATAAATAAAGTTTCTGATGTTTCTTTTTCAAATTCTGAACAGGCTTGTTTACGTTGTGCCGGCTTGCATGCTGCGTTGCACCTTTCTTTTGGTTCCTATCACATTGAAACACACCATTTTAAGTCACCGCTCCTTTTTCGAATTAAAATAATTATAGTCACATTCCTTTTAAAACTAACCACTTTGACAATACAAAGTGATTGCTTCAGCATAAAGCGCTCTCGACAGCGCCCAACAGATTGTAGCCTTCAGCTGACTTTACCCATACATTATCACACATGGCGTTGAAATGCGATAAAAGATTCGAAATTTCAGCCATCTTTGGTCGATAAAAAAGTCTTCAAAATGTGGGTACTTAGCTTGTACAATATTCAGAACTTCATTTTGTTGGCGTGAGGTCCATATTTGGAAGATTTCGACATATATTCTGAAAAATCCTGAATATTCATGACCTTGTTGTTGGTCACTGAACACTCTGTGATGGGAAGACTAATTGAAACGATGAAAATAAATGTTTCTATGTGGAAACTTCGCTCTTAAGCCATTGTAAATCGGAGAAATCATTTCAAATAACGAAATAATGCAATTTTGTTACTTTTACTGGAAATCGAATGAGAAAAAAGCGGACGAGAAAACGACTTTATTTCACGATGGAATCTGCAATGACTGCGATATTGCGTGATGCTTCCGGAAAAATGCATCATGGGATACTATTCGATCGTCGTCTGTATTGGTCCTGTATCTTTCTTGTAGTCTTATAATTCCTGATCGCCAGGTATGATGTATATTTGAGGGATTGAATTGTCAATGGTCGATCGCCAAAAGGAACTAATTAACCTGATTGTCATGAGCCCTCTTAATAATTGAGCATGTATCTAGTTTTCTTGCTAGTAACTTTCTTACGCGCTGACACTTCCCTATTTTGTAGGGTTAAGTATTCGAGATCAGTCATTTTATAAACCTTAACGCAAAAATTTAAAAAACAAAACAAAACAACAACCTTTTTTTACTAAACCCGTTGCGATTTTATGCTGTGTTTCAAAATTTCAGAGGAAAACTGGTCTGGCTTTTTTAAGCAGCTCGTAAACCAGTGGATTCCAAGCGGAAACAAGGCAATCAAGGTTATCCCACCGACATTGACATCAAGTGATGTCCTTCAGGCAATTAAATGCCTAAGCAGCAATTTTAAAGATGCCCTGCAACAGAGCAGAGATCAGGACTTCATCATGTTACCCAAAATATTACCACATTTGAAAGAGGCAGTGGAGGTAACTAACAAAAACTCTAAATAAATCTTTCAAAGGCCTTCCACAGATTGCCACATTTTCTTCTGAATAACTTATTGTCTTAAAACTATTAAGGTGTTTCGATACAGTTTTTCAGAGGCCATACCGATATTTTTCAATCGCTTTAAAAGTGATTTTATCCTTGTCTGATCGCTATGAAATTTTCACCAGTGATTGACTATAGATTGAAATTTGTCAAAATGTAGGTTTTACTAAAATCGGTATTACTATGACAACAATAAAGAAACAACTTTGAAACTGATAAAAGCAGAATTTTGCGCGATCTAGACCGGCTTCGGAGAATCCAACACTAGGAACTTAAAGTTTGGTGTTTAGCAAATAACCTCCGTACTAAGAAGTAAAAAATTCTGTATGTTTGAATTCGTCTAAAACGAAAATATATTTCAAACCTACAATTTACAATAGCCGTGATAAATTATTTAATAAAAACGTTATGAATGACTCAAATTATTCTTAAGTAGCGTCAGAGTGCTTCTTAATATCAAATTTCGATGCTAGGGAATTTTGGTGCATTTTCGTTCCTGTGATATTGAAAACTAACCCGTTTTCTCACCACCTGTCTAAGTGCAACTTCATTCAAAAATGGACGTTTAGCGCTTTTTTGTACATCTTTGAAACGACCCGAACGAATTCTTTTTAAAATCTCTTCACATAATCTTCACAATGTATATAGTAATGTCTGAAACTTTCATTAAGATTGATTTACTGCAACACCTTGAAATTTCAAGACGAACCTATCAATGAAAATCGGCGGTACAACATTCACTGTTTTGATGTTATGCTAATTTTTCCTAATTAAGGCGGACCATACATATCTTCATGACTAGTACATCTCAGTGTGAGTATTGTCAATGTTTTACATTCAAAAGATGCGATAAATTCAAACTAAAAATGTCAGTACTAGTCATGGAGGTAAGTATTGCGCATTATTTTGAAAAAATTTAGCATAACGTCAAAAAGGTGAATGTTGTAACGCAGATTTAGGTTTGTCTTGAAATTTTAACATGTTGCAGTGAATCAATCTCAATAAAAGTTTCAGACCTTATTATATACATTATGAAGATTATGTGAAGAAGTTTTTAAAAAAATTCGTTCGAGTCATTTCAGAGATATACAAAAAAGCGCTAAAAGTCCAAATCTTGAATGAAGTTGCACTTATGCATGTGGTGAGAAAACGGGTTGGTTTTCAAGATCGCAAGAACAAAAACTCACCAAAATTTCCTAGCATCAAAATATGATATTAAGCAACATTCTGACGCTACTTAAGAATAAATTTGAGTCATTTATAACGTTTTTATTAAATAATCTATCACGGCTATTGAAAATTTAAGGTTTGAAATATATTGTCGTTTTAGCCGAATTCAAACATACAGAATTTTTTGCTTCTTACTGAGGTTATTTGCTAAACACCAAACTTTAAGTTCCTAGTGTTGGATTTTCAGTTGATGGTCTAGATAGCGCAAAATTCGGCTTCTCAATTTCAAAGTTTTTTGTTTATTTTTGTCATAGTAATATCAATTTTATTAAAACCTACATTTTGACAAATCTCAATCTATAGTCAATCACTGGTGAAAATTTCATAGCGATCAGACAAGGATAAAATCACTTTTAAAGCGATTGAAAAATATCGGTATGGCCTCTGAAAAACTGTATCGAAACACCTTAAGGCATAGAGGACAGAAACAAGTGAAAACTGCCCGGGTGGCAACTTAAGACTTTTCCACGGGTGGTGGTTGACGGGTGGCGGGTGACGGGAAGCGGGTAACCTGAGTATATGAATGAAACCTCAAAAAAAAGGATATGTCCAATTTGTAAAGTAGAAATATCACGAAAATGGTACAAATAAAGCTAAATAAAATGACTGGAAACGTCAATGGAAGCTACAATCATGGACAAACGTCTTGGGACACTTTTGCGTTTCTGGGGCGTTTTCCAATTCACACAGGTCCGACCCCTCCCCTCACCCCACAAACAACGTTGGACGAGTGTATCCAGAATTTTTTCCGAGTTTCAACTTTGTATAGGGTGGGGGGAGGGAAAACTGCAAGAAAATTTCGAAAAGGATGCGCTGTGTTAAGAGGAAACCGGGAAATGACAGAAAAATATGAATATTGCAGTACTGTCACAAGGACTTTTGTCCAGGATTGTAGCAGAAGCCCACCAATATACTTGTTTTACTGTTTTAATCTACTAGCAGAGTTTGATAACCTGTACCCATGAACTCTGAAAAATTGAACTCCTGAAGACCAAACTACAAATCTGAGGGGTATGGGGTAAGGTGTTAGTGGTAGGGGGTGACACGTAAAGGGTACGGTTGAGGAGTAGGGAGTGATCATTAAAAAAGAGAAGAAAAAAAATGCGAAAATGTTCTATTCAATACGAATCTTTACTGATACACGAGATATTTACTAAGGGACAAGTGTATTAGCAGCCATTAGGGTTTGTGAATTGACACGGGATAATGTGCCTGGTTTTAAATGTAGACGGTATGTTTTTCGTTTTTGAGTTACAGTATTTTTTCCACGGGTAATGCAAATGACATGTTATCCGTAACTTCATCTGCTTATAACAAAAGAACAAACGCACTCCTTTTTGCAAGAAACGATTGCGATCTAGCTCGATCTCAATTGTCTGGCCTGGACTAAACATTCCTTGCCTCAGAATACTTTAAAAATAGACATTCAGGTTATATATAATATATGTCCCTAAATCCTCTTCTTTAATAAATGATTGACTGTATTAATCAATCACGACCGTAAAACTTCGTGTGGACTGATCCGGGATGGTTTATCTACCAACTGGAAGTTCGGATTTGATCTGATTCCCGGCTGCATGACCTAAAACTTCTTCTACTTGAGCTTTTCCACTTTGTATTCTAGTTTTTTATGGAGAACTGATATCATCGTCGTTTCTAAATTAAATAAGCCCCCTCCCCCCCTCAAATGAGCTTGAAATAACTAAGCCCCCCCCCGGGGAGCTTAAAAGAGGATTTACGGTCAGTTCAGGTCACCCGCCACCCGTGGAAGTCCTGCCGCAACATACATCGCTTCCGCATTTGTTGAACAACTATTTTCCTTAATAACAGTTAATAAACAACTGGAATGTCGAAATCGCGTACATGCAGTAAATGTATAAACTTCTCTAAACTTTCCTCCAGTAAAACACAAAACCCTTTTGAAAACCGGTTATTAAACCGGCATAAATGCCTTTTAAGCGCACTGTACTTCTAAAAACAAAACAAGAACAGGCTCAGCTGACTACATGTAGGTCAATGAAATCGACATGTCACAGGCATTTTAATTTGCTAAATTTGGAACAAGTGGCCGTATTAACGAGGTGAAATTATCAAAGAGTACTTCTGTTAGGGATTTTAACATGTGGCCGTTGGCCGTATTAACGGGTGATCGCATTAACGGTTTTTTTTAAAGAAAATGTATAGCCGTTTTGCCGGCCGAAAAAAAGTGGCCGTAATAACAAGGTGACCGTATTACCGAGCTGGCGGTAAGGCGGGGTTCTACAGTAGCTCAAGCTGATTTAAAAAGATACGCATTTCTTCAGTTATAGTCTACAATTCTTTATTTTACAACTTAATTAAACAGCTGAGCCATGAACTGATACCAGAAAGTGAACTCGAGAAAAATCAACTGGTCTTGGCTGATGGACACGCATGCCTAGGAGAAATGTTGCTCTTTGTTGGTGAATCTGAGGAAGCGAGAAAAAATCTGGAGATTGCTTTGCGTTATTACAAAGACCACAGCGGTCCACAGAATATTATTCTTCTGGACAAAGCAAATGTGCTTCACTTTCTTGGAGAGGCGTACAGAAACAGGTATAGTAGGTTTAGTCATAATAATGTGATTAGCCCGCAGCTAACTTAAGGCGTCTAATAAGCTATTGTGATGTGACACCGTTCTGAAGGAGTGAAGGTTTTTTCACGGACTCATGGCTTCAAAGCTGTTTTTTTTAAGGCACAGGCTGCAGAGAGTTCTTAGCCTTGCCTTTATAGATTTTTTATTCAGTCAAAATATTTCTCCTTTTCTGATTGGCTGAAAGCGCAAGCATAATTCACCATAACCAGCTACTGTTGACCAAATTTGAAAGATTTTGCGATTAATCAAGCGATGACGTCAAAAGTGCAGCACAGTTGCAGGTTAATGCACTGTTGACCGAGAAGACCTGAAAAGAAAAAAAAGAAAAATGGTCGAAAAATGGTCGGCGGAACATTTTACTCGTTTCACAACGAACTATTGTCTAAAAACATAGCAAGAAGACTACTCGACGGACAACATCTGCTATTTGGAGTATATTTGCATGCAGACCTGAACAGCCCTTTATCTTCTAAACATGCAGTATCGAGGTGAACTTAACATCGACGAAGGTAAGCATGTTTTAGCTTGTTTTTAAACTAGGAATTATTTTGAATGAATAATAGAGAAATTAATGAATTCGGCTTTCGTTGGATATTTAACAATTATTCTTTGAAATCGAGGTGTATAGTGGATGCATATTTACCGAGCTGCGAAGCAGCGAGGTAAATATTCCTTAAGCCACTATTCACCGAGATAGAAAAGAATAATTGTTTTAGTATATTGTTGGTTTTCACATGACGTCACTAAAATTCAAACTACAAAACTATCGATCCTACCTAGATTTTACTTTCACGATACATTAGAACAGCTGAAAACTAATTTTCATACAAATTTTCGCTTCAAAAAGGTTTTTGGTTCTGTGATAGAGTACGCTTGAATTTCTAAGCTTTTGCGTGACGCGGCGTTTACATGACGGCCAAGAGAGCTGTCATGTATGTTAAAAAAATGACTTCTTTCAGGAAATTTTGCTATCTAAACAGTTCATGTATTAGAAAAAGTATTACTTTAATGTTTATGAGTTTCCCGAAGAATAAATTCACGCTTTTGTAGCAAAACTCGGTAACAGATGTTTGTGTTGGTTTCCGTCCGCCATATTGGAGCTAATCCAGTTGAGCACCAATATGGCGTCTCCATACAAATCTCTATAAGTTTGGGTAAAACATTTCTTCGGATATCTCGTATACGAAATATTCCTCTGACCTGAATCTTTGCGAGCGTCTTTGTATATGTACCTCCTTTTTCCCCCTAGATTCTGGACTATATCTATTGAACAGTTTTGATTTTTATTTTGATCTATTTTGACTGGCGTGACACCGAAAACCAGCAATACACACGAAATGATCTCAACAAAATCAGAGAGGAAACCATTAAAAAGTACGATTTGATTGACGGATCAAATCACACGAAAGTTTAAAAATAGATCATTGCAGAAAATTCAAACATGGCAATTCACAAGTTTATCACTTCGCAAACAACAGCATAATGGCTTAAATGGAACAGTTAAAAGTTTGAATTGTTTCCTTACCTAAGAAGAAAAGTGGAGCTTTGTTGTTTTCTGTTGACTCGCCAAGTTTATCGCCAAAAAGGTTTGTTGTGTCGTTCTTCGCTTAAAGTGCCGACAAAAATGGCGGCTCGGTTGCTCGAGGTAAGACGTCGTCTTCCTTTTGCATTCTTTTTCCTATTTACTTGAAACGTGGAATTTCTGCAAACATTTTCTTTCAAATTTGTTTGTCTTAAATAAACTTCGATTTTGGGGCCAAATTTTTCTTGTTAGGAAACGCTGAGTTCACGAAACGGCCTCTTCGCCAATAAACTGGAGTTGTAAACAATCCATCGAGCAAAGAACTCAGCTGCAGTAAATGGAAAAACGCCGTTTTGAAATATTCGAAGTCTTTTCTTGCCCTAAAAAATGTCAACCCTAAGATTTTGTCGAGTTTTAAAAGATTATTCTCAAAAAAATGGGAAAAACACCAAGCTCACACATTATCCACTCGCTAGGAGGTGAATATTGTTGAATAGTCCGAGATAGCGAGCCAATCAGATTGCTTAAATCACCAAGATCCCTGAGTGTGTATATACTAATAAAGAATTATGCAGATCTCGGAGGGTGTTATCCACCTCGATCTGCATAATTCTTCATATCCGATCTTACTCAGCCTCATTCATTGATTGCTAAATAAAACGTGAAAGCATTTAACAAAAATAGGGTTAGAGGATGACTGAAAGCCGTAAAAAAGTGATAAGGAGCAGAACTGGTTTTTCATGAAATTAGACTTAAGTACTTGGCGTAAATTCAAATTCTCATGTTAGTGTGAACTTGTTCTTTATAGCAATCTTGGGGACCCTTCAAAAGGGAAGCAGTATCTTAAAAGAGCACTGAAAGGAAAAGAACAGTATTACAAGGGAAAAGCTGACCATCAAGTTGCTTTCACCTTAAGAAGTCTTGCAAATGTCTTGAACGAACTGGGAGAACACAACGAGGCTATGTGAGTGTCATAATTGTATGTGTCGTAGTATTCACCTATTTAGAGTTCGGGTTCTTTGTTTTGTGTCTAACCTCAAAATAGAAGTTGATTTTTATTGCCGGTTTTCAGTGTCACGCCATTCAAAATAGATAAAAAAAAACTCAAAACCGTTCAATAGATATAGTCCAGAATCTGGGAAATGAAAGGAGGTAAATATGCAAAGACCCTCGCCAAATTTCAGATCGGAGGAATATTTCGTATACGAGATATTCGAAGAAACGTTTTACCCAAATTTATAGAGATTTGTTTGGAGACGCCATGCTGGTGCTCATCCGGATGAACACCAACATGGCGGACGGAAACCAACAGAAACACCTGTTACCGAGTTTTGCTACAAAAGCGTGAATTTATTCTTCGAAGAACTCATAAACATTAAAGTAATACTTTTTCTAATACATGAACTGTTTAGATAGCAAAATTCCGTGAAATAAGTCATTTTTTTCACCTACATGACAGCTCTCTTGGCCGTCATGTAAATGCCGCGTCACGCAAAAGCTTAGGGATTCAAGCGTACTCTATCACAAAACCAAGAACCCTTTTGATGCGAAAATTTGTATGAAAATTAGTTTTCAGCTGCTCTAATACATCGTGAAAGTAAAATTTCAGTAGGATCGATAGTTTTGTAGTTTGAATTTTAGTGACGTCATGTGAAAACCAGCAATTATTGAACTGCAAAGATGAATTGATATAAGCATTATTTCGTTTGTAGTGACTTCGCAAAGAGAGCTGTTGATATCCATTTTGAAGGCGGTTACGAGTTCAGGCAAGAGTATGGCTATAGCCTGAGTACACTGGGATCGTCGTATCGTTACTTGGGTTGGTATGAGCAGGCGGAAAAATACCTGAAAGACGCTCTCGAGATTGCCAGATCGGTTGATTCGCCAAGCAAGCTAAGGGTAATAGATTTTTACATTGTTGTGCTCAATTTTTTAACATGCATGGACACATTCAGATCAAAGACAGACCGGCAAAATGTTACTTTAGCCAGACATTAATTATCATGAGATTCTATCACCCCACATGCTTCTAACTGCACTCTTTAATCCTGATATTTTTCAACTTGTTGAAATTCCTTTTTATGTATCCTACTATCCCGCAAGGTATAGAATTATAAATATTATTAATTATAATAATAATAATTATTATTATTATAATTATTTATTATTATTATTAATATTATTCAAGCTTACCAGTAAAGCCATTTATGTTGTGGTGGCCTATACACCTTCGAATGGTAGGAATTTTACTGAGGGTTTCTTTAAGATGGTGGGAAATCTTGTTCGATCTCTTCATAATGAATAAAAAAAAATCATTATTAGTCTCGCTTGCTTGAGGAAAGGGAGACTCTTAAAATGCAGTCCTTTTTTTTTTTTTCTTTTTTCGGTGAGACCTAGTTTGTAGGCCCCGCGTTCCTAGCGAAGACCTTGGAAACTGAGGATAAAAATCGTGACGACTTTCATTGTATGGAAATGAGTCTCGTGATGAGAATGTAGTTTATTTCGGCGATGACTGAAATGACGCATGTAAGTTTGGCAATGACGTAATTTTCCTCGAATGGAGGCCCTTGATTTTCGTGTAATTATGCACGACATGAAGGCACACCCCAAGCAGGATGAAAAAATATTATAGCGGGGAAATCCTCAGGATTTTCTGGCTTTTTACGGCGTTACGTTTCTCAGAATATTGTCGCAATTACAGGAAATGTACGGTTAAATAGATTCACTTTGTTTTATGTATTTTATTGATAGATTTTCGCAGTTGTTACGATGTGAAGTCGTGTTGCACGTCATAAATACTTGAGATATGAAGTATCCACTGTCACGTAATTTTTACGTGCGTACGTGCGTAAAATTTGCGTTCGCAAATAAAATAAAGGCAATGTATGAAAGGCTGCACGTACAATTATGTAAGCGTAAAAGTAGAAACTCGCTTAATTTGACGTTTAATCTCAATACTTTATGTCTTACCTCTATTTGATTTACGTGATTAAAATTTACGTGCGTTAACATGCGGAGCCAAAAACGCATCAGTGGAAATCCACCCTAACGTGTCACGGATGTGTTTATACGGTTAGCTTTGAACTTGACTAACCGCACACTCTACTTGCAGCACTTCATGTCCATAGTTAATAGAAATCCCATATCGAGCTTTTCCGGAGCGGGTTGGTCCAAGAATTATATGGCTTGAAAGCGTTGATTATTTTGGAACAACTGATCAATTCAGTGGTCGAAAAAAAAAGAATAATCTTAATGAGCAAAACTTCAAGGTTTACTGGAAAATCAGGATCGAGGATCGAGAAATCAGGGATCAAGGATCGGTTAAAAAGAACTTGAAAATAAAATAAATAAATAAATCGTGGATCAGTGATGATGTGGGCCGCAGACTGTAGATAAATTTCACAGAACATAACCCCGTTCGCTGCACTGAACGCTAAATTCAAGTAAACTAATCCGAGTCTCTGAGTCAGTGATTGTTTTGACGAGAAAGTGAAATTTTCCGGGAAAATGAAACGCTTTATCCTGGTGATACTGTAATTCAAGAAAAAACTTTTAACAGTTTTTAATTTTTAAGTGTACATTTGCTTTCAGTACTACTTATTTTTCTAGTAATTGTTGTAGGCACGACCCCACCAGCAATGCTGATCTTTTTATCGTGCCATAAACCAAGGTTCTTACCTACCCACCTACCTACCTACCTACCTACCTACCTATCCATCCATCCATCCATCCATCCATCCATCCATCCATCCATCCATCCATCCATCCATCCATCCATCCATCCATCCATCCATCCATCCACCCACCCATCCATCCATCCACCCACCCATCCACCCATCCATCCACCCATCCATCCACCCATCCATCCATCCATCCACCCATCCATCCATCCATCCACCCACCCATCCACCCATCCATCCATCCATCCATCCACCCACCCACCCACCCATCCATCCATCCATCCATCCATCCATCCATCCATCCATCCACCCACCCACCCATCCATCCATCCATCCATCCATCCATCCATCCATCCATCCATCCATCCATCCATCCATCCATCCATCTATCCATCTATCTATCTATCTATCTATCTATCTATCTATCTATCTGGTGGGAGCAAAAGTGGAATTTCCGATTGGTAAAAAGTTGTTCCATTTGGTCTTAAACCCCGGTACGTCGCGGTGCCCGACCGTGGACCTGGAACTGGTACAAACTACGAGAAACGTAAATGAAACACGACATTCCGTTCGGAAATTCTAACCGGGAAAACGGGCCCACCTTTTTAGATTTTCCACTTTTTCTGGGAATGTTCCAGTGAGACGAGCCGACGAAACGTGTTCCATTTACCGCCGAACCAGAAATCCCGGAAATTTTGACTAAATGGAAAGCGCCCCTACGTATATTTATACTGACAGAGTCATGGGCCCCTGATACCGATAAAAATCATCGTTCAATTTTTCGAGTGTAGAATCCCTGAAAGAGTACTCCTCAATGGAGCAATATCAATATGTAGAAGGTTTTCAAAGGTTTCACACCGGTTTGAGGCTAAGATGTGTGGCCTGTCCCTCCTTGCAATTTTTACTTTTTGAGTAACGGCACCGTGGCCTTTGACAACAAAACTCATCTCCAAGCAAGCGAGACTCAACGCTACTAAGAGCGTTCTTGTTTTTAATTAGGCGACCTCAAAGATGTTTGGTTTCTGCCGCATTTCATCCTCTTCATATTTTACTTAAAATACTAGACTTACAAGAGTAGCTTTATATTAACCCAGAGGCATTGTTTACAGATGGGTGAAACTCTTAGTCGTCTATCTTCGGTTCAAAGAAACTTGGAGAAACTTGACGAGAGCATCGATTCGTTGAGGGAAGCCAAAGAAATGTTTGGAAACAACGATATTTACAGCGCTATTATACTGTCAAAGCTGAGTGTCGTTTACCGCCATAAAGGAGATTTAAAAACCAGTTTGGCTTATGCAGAGAGGGGTAAAGAAATCACAGATAATCACCATGGCACGAAAAGTCACCCTGGTAAGTGCTCGCCTGTTCTGGGTGATACTTAGCCCACCCACCCATCTTCATAGGCGATTCGAGACTGACGAGAGAAGAGGCGAAGAACTGGAAACAAACTTAAGTTAACTCTCGCCGTCCCGACGTGCACATAGAGGTCTGGGTAAGAACCACTTACCTGCCAGTTCTGATTAATACTTATCTTATCGAATGTCTTTGTAATGATCAGCGGATGATTTTCTAGTACGTATGCGTGCATATTTGTACTAGGTCCTTTCATTCTCGGCCCCATTGCTTACGAGTTTGGAAATGCGCGCGTAAGCTCTTGGAAACTCTGCGCCCGAGTAGCTAAAATCTGGCTATTTGGGCCTCACAACGCATGCTCTTTGATCCAACCAAAACTTTTTGCTCCTTTTATATCTTCTTCATCTCGAAGGTCTTGTGCTGCCTCAGCATTAGAACTGAAGAAATTCAGTTAACGGCCTTGAAGAATTTTCAGGTATTCAAGGCTCTTGAGGTAGCCGCTGAGAAAATACTGTTAAACGCTCCCAGTCACGGATTTGAGACTTGACGTTTGCATATGCTTGACAGTTGATTAAATATTTCTGTGGACTACTTCACGAGGCGGTAAGTGAAACCCGAATGGCTTGTTAAGATAAACGTATAGAAATTCCAATAAAACTTTCCAAATATGAATTTAGCGCTCTATGTTTGTTTGTGAACATTAACACGTCAGCAAAGCTGCTTTGAAATGCGATATCGTGGGAAAAGAAGACAACTATAAATATCTTAGTAGTCGCATTGTACACGCATCACTTTAGGGAACGATTTCCTTTTTTGGGGTTTTTTCCTTGCATGTCTGTTTTTCGGCAATTTACGACAAGAAGCTCAAGTTTTCATTCATACTCGGCTACTTCGTGTGAATACGATAACGTGGAAGTCAAAGAAAAATCAGTAATGTGTCATGCTTTTTAAGTAATAGCTAACAAAGATGTCGGTGTATTTTTATTTTATTTTTTCACTTACAAATCTTTTTGTGGTTCAATTTTCGATATGTAGCTTAGCTATTTTATTTGAAAATTGGAAAATCCAGTAATTCTGCCAAATTAGTTGTGCGAATGTTGTTTTGGAATGCTGAAATCAAGAACACTTCTAGGGAAAAACCCGCTCACACGCCAGACACGCCGCACGTTCAACTGCTCTCGTGCAAACTTGAATGGACCAATTAGAAACACTTTTATTGTTTTTTGTTGAAACCAATCAGAGACAATCTTGTTCCAGGGTTCCCCAGAGCTCTTGATCCCTCTCCTCTACATGCGCAGAAGAGCTCTGAGTCGAGATTGTAGGTTCTTTGAGAATCGGTCATGTTGAAGAACCATAGAAGTTGTTTATTAAACTTTGTTAATCTTGCTCCGTTACGGTCTCTAGTGAAGATTTTTGCAGTCTTCACTGTATGGAACTAAAGACTTTTACCTAGAATGGCTTGGAATCGAAGGCTAAGGGCGGGTAAACACGGTACGATTTGTCGACCCGATCTGGGACAGATTAGACACGCCTCGAGCAGAACAATTTGCTCGATTTTAGCCGGACTGATTTTTTGATCGTCTTCCTTTAGATGGAAAGACCGGCCAGATAAATCGTATCCTGTATATCGCCCTTGGCCTATAAAGGCTGGATATTGCCTAATTCATTTAGGGTTTCCATGTCTCCGAAATGTTGCTAAAATCTAGCCATTCAATTACCCTTGAAATAAGGCATTTTGCCTAGGTGATCGCAAACTTTCCATTTTCTCTGACCTTCTCCTCTTGTGGTCTCTAATTAGAGAGCTTGCTGTTAAGCTAATAAAGCGTGTAAGATGGTTCCACTGCCTTATCTCCTTTGTTTCTTGTGAAAAGCTATAGCCACCGCACTGTTGAACCTTGGCCAGGCACAAATCGATACGGGGAATGTGGAGAATGCAGAAAGACATCTAAACAGGGCACTGAAGATTTACAAAAAAACTCGTGGGGAAAATCATCGAGTTATTGCCGCCAACCTAAACTACCTAGGATATGCCTATCGGCAACAAGGGCAGGTGTGGAAAGCAAAAGAAACTCTGGAAAAAGCGGTAAAGATAATGGACATCTATTCTCCTTCACATCAAGGTAATTTGCCTCTTGAGAATAATGTAATCAGGCGTAGTGTCATGAGCGTTCAAAATAAAGTTGATTCCCCGACAGCATGCAAACCTATGGCATTTCTTAAAGGGACTGTGTCACGATAGTGTGCATGTGTGAGCTGTGACAGTAGCTGATTGTCTTTGAACCAATCGGAAGCGAGTAGGATGCACGCGAGAAAATTTACATCATTCAAGATTCATTGTTCGCGAAGCGGGATTCTTCCGGACGCTTTTGTTCGATTTTATATATCCCCATAATTCATATTTATTCTCTGGTATTAATGAGATAAATGTTGCAGCTGATAAGAATAAGATTAACAAACCCTGTCCTGCTTTGAAACAAACATTTACCTACGTGTATTTTTACGTACCCACGCTAGAAAATCAGTCTCCGATCCGCAAACAAAAATAATTTGTAAACAAACCTTACTGATCTCTCTGTTTACTCTATATAAACTTAGAAATACCTGCAAATAGCTCCTGACCGGTGATCAAAACACACAGTATAGGATGAGGCAAACGATTTGCTTAAAATGCCAGCTAAATGCGCGCTAACATAAAATATGCCATGCCATGCGGTCGGCTAGCGCGATGAACACTCTGCCAACTGCAGCTCAGTCGATTGATACCAGCTGAAAATCGTAGCAGTGTTTGAAAGCAATTCATAGCGCTTCATCGTAAAACGCTTTCATTGCAATAGTAGCCACATAACGTATAAGTATAAAGATTATTCTAAAAGAACAACGCAAGAAAAGGCATAAACAGGAGCCATCACTATGCATAAATTTCAATTGCTTGTCAGCAAAAAAAAAAAAATTCCTTCCGAGTCGTTGCGTCGGGTGTTCCGCAAAACAAACATTATCGATTCAACACCTAAAGAAACCAGATGTCAAACGGAACATTCAGGCAACAATTTATTTTTAAAAGATCAATTCTTAAACATCTATGCTCATACAAAAAAGATACAAGGAACATTCCCAGTGAACTACATCAGTAAAGATCGCGCGGCCTGTTGTTAGTACTTTCTGCTTACGTTCTACGGATCGGAGTCATAAATCAAATGCCTGTTAAAACGTTTCATGTTCGATGGATTGTTTCCTCAAACCTCACACGACTTCCTGTACAACAAAAGATTGCTGGGTTTATAGTCAGGGAGCATATGTCATAAAATAAATTTCCGTGGGATTTCTATGGTGAAAGCAAACCACCTACCTAGATGTGTTAAGGGAAACCTGAGGAACACAAAAAATATTGTCGGCAATTTTGTAACCTGCACCGGCGGCCGCTATGGGGGGTCTGTTTTTATGACCTATATGGTTCAACATGGAATCGAGGCGCGAATATAAAATGGCATGTAAATACAATTAACTACAATAAATTTCCACAAAAATACCAGAAATCTTTAATATAGTCTATCTAATACATATCCATAGACTTAAGTACTAAATACTGATCACATGATCAACACTGCACGAAAGCGAGGCTGGTCATTTGTTGCCATCAAATAAGCATCAAAGGCATAAATTTTGGTATTGAAAATTGATCAGAGAGTTAAATTTATCAAAGTGAATATTCATATTTTAGAACTATATTCAAATCAATAGCTCATTGGAATCAGGAAAAAACTATGATTTTGGTCAGCGGTCATTTTCATCATTTTAGAGGTCCGCCAAGTTGGATTTACAGACCAGGGGCGACATGTTTAAGAAGATATGGAAACGGATTCTGGTAGAAAAACAAACGAAACTGAGGCCCAAGGGTTGGATTTACGTTAATGTATAATTTGTTAAAGGAGAAAAAAAGAAAATGTACTTGAAAAGCCCGAAGCTCATGAAAAAGTTTGGGTATCGATCGAGGAATAGAGTAAATACAGCAATCTTCAGTACACAGAAGTGTGGAAAAAGTTGAGGTTTACTTCTGTCCAAGAGCTCGAGGATGGGCGGGCATCATGGCATAGATCATGTTAAGGTAAGAGAGGCAGCTCGAAGGCCCCAATGAGTCCAGGCGAAAATCACGACCGGATTCATCAGTAGAAATCCCTCAACTAACCCGTTCGAAAACGTCTCCCTACAATAAGAATGTCTGTTCTTTCTACGATGGCCCACCCGGTTACCGTAAGAACCTGCATAATATCAGTACCTTTTCTGCTGGTGAGTCCCTTCGCACTGCCATTGGGATGTCAGGGAATGATAAACTCTCAGTTAAGCTCAACACATCAATTTCTCCAGATGATGCTCATTCGATAGATATAAAGTACCACAAAAACTGCTGGAAAATTCAACTATCGCACGTTTTACGAAGAGAAACATCCAAGTCATCATCTGCGAAGTTGGCTGGTGAGATTGCAGCACAAATGGAATTCCTTACAATGACAGAGATGACTTTGAGGAGTGGAAAAGTGGCGACTATGTCCGAATTACAAGATTCTTTTGAAAGCATACTAGAATCTAACAATGTGGAAAATCCGAGGGGCGGACGAAAGGCTTTGCAGCAGTTACTACTCCGAGAGATACCAGAGATAGAGTTTCATGCAGATAAACGTGTCAATGAGTCCGAGCGAGTCAGTATCAAGAAGACAAAGAGATGAAGCAATCAGATGACTGAGGATCAGACTGCAAAAATAGACTTCGATATAAAAACTCTGTTTGATGCCGCCGCAATAATTAGGAAATCTATCACCAAACGTAGGAAGTGGAAGTTCACAGGTTCACTGGAAAACCTGCCTGATGAGAATGTACCAGCAGCGCTTTTTAGTTTTTATAGATGGATTATACAAGGCACAAAACATGAGCTTTCTACTGGAAAGAAATCTGAGGAAGTGTACAATCGTGCAATGGCTCTATCCCAGACCACTGTATCGATGTGTTTGACTGAGAGGCAAGTCAAAAATAAGAAGTCCGATGTCGTAAGATCCTCGTTGGAAATGCCGCTGCAGTTAGCCGTTGGGATAGCTGTACACCAGGCCGTGGGAAACAAGCAGCTCATAACCATGCTACATGGATTTGGAATGTCAGTGGACTACAACAGGATCTTGAGAGTAGAGGCCCATATCGAAGCTAGCGTTCTAAAGCGCATGGAGCTGAATGATGGTCTATATATACCCCCTGATTTAGTTTTGGGTAGGCACGTCTTTTTTGCGGTCGATAACGTGGATTTCGCAGAGGAGACTCCTGGTGGCAAGAATACCTTCCACGGCACAGCGATGGCAATCTAGCAAAGGCAGGAACCAGGCGGTGTAGCACCAAAGCTGACCGTGGATCCCGGAGATCAGTGTCGTCGCTCAATCAGACAGCTTCCCGAGTCTATGACAACCTTGCTAGAATGTCCTGTGCCCCCCGGAAAGCCTGTTGGTCCCACCTTCCCCCAGTTTGGATTGTGTACCGAAGACAAACTTGCATTGTACATCAAGAAGCAAGATTTCACATGGCTTCTCGGACGCAGTTTGACCAGAACGATCACCAAAAGAAAAGTTGAAGAAGATCAGCCCCCTAGTACCGACATCCCAGTATGATCTGGCTATAACTCCACTTTGAGTAGTTCCATGCCGTTGACACGAGTTGGCACCTCTCCCCTGATCTCTGCACCAGCACCCGAGTGGCAGACTGCTTACCATTTTGATGCAAACACAGAGTATTAAGACGACTTGACATGGGACTCTATAAACTGGCAAAGAAGTTGCAGATGACCCGTCAAGATCTTGGGCATATAATACATCGTCCCGGTGAGGTACACATCGTGATGGACCAACCTCGCACAATCGGTGCATTCATCGAGAATAGCGGGCTGGACATGTGCTGGATCGAGTCGGATCTCTATGGGCCTTCCACTGTGAAGCAGATTCTCCGTGGGAACCACGTGAAGAGAGGAGAAGCAGCGCACATGGTTATATTACAAGCTCTATTCAGCCTCTACCTGGAAGCCTTCTTCGTGAGACACCCAGCTGTGTTACTGTTGTTAAGAAGTCGGCTAACCAGTTAAGCGATACGTTAAAAAAGGCAACAAACAAGATATTACAGCAAAGCACAAAGAACTGGCACAGACCATCGCTTCAACAGAGCTTGCTGCAAAGATGGAGCAATTTGATGCTCATCATGAGGATAGTCCACTGTTCAAGTTCACTCGAGGGTACATGGCAATGGTTATGGAGATGATGACGTTTATCAGAGCCGTGCAGACAGGAGACGGGGATCTCCATTTAGAAGCCTACAGTTGTTTGTGAAATACTTCTTTGCGCAAGACATGCTAAACTACGCTCACATGATTCCTGTTTACTTGGCAGAGATAGAGATAGTAAAGGAGACCGATCCTGAAATCTAGCAGGAGTTCCAGAATGGTAACTGGGTGGTGAAGAACAACGCGAAGGTAGCATTCTGTGCCGTTGGCGCCGACGGGCCTGAACACGTCAAAAGATCAATGAAAGTCTCAGGTGGATTGATTGCCATCAGGCTGAACCCTACTGCACGCACGAAGTATTTTTTGATTGCACCTGGGTTAGCAAGGCTGGCAGAACAAGCCAAGCTGATGGCAGGTACTTCATCCAAGACTTAGACTAGCCATCACAACCTCACTACTGCTGTCAGGTTACGTGAAGAAAGGAACGTCTAGCAGCTGACCGCTAGTATTCAACGCTTCACCCAATGCGTTAACAGTAGAAGGCCCTGACCTAATGATGAATGATTTTTACCTGACATCCATGTTCTATAGACCGCAAGGCAGTATGAGATCAGTTGTGCTATTTTTAAAGTCGTTATCATCGCCAAAGGCCTGACTAGGTTTTGCGTAGTAATAATTATATATACCTGTAAACCTGCTATGGTTAACATGACGCCCTCGGAGCAAGGTTAATAATAGCTAACATATCGCATAGCTAAGGCCTGGACTAAGCGTCAAGCCAACGTTGTGCCGAACGTAATTCCATTTGGTTTGACGATTAGCGCGGGAGTGGTTCTAAACGTCAAATTGGTTGGTTCTGTTTTCATAAGCTAGTTGTATTTCTTCTTCGCACTGAAAGCGCCAATTTTCGGAAAGGAATTTGGTTAGGCACGACAATGGCTCGACGCTTAGACCAGGCCTAACAAGTGCCGGCGAGCTCAGCCTCACTTCCGTGTCCTCTCGTGGAACAAAACATATTCAAATGTAGTTCAAGTAACGTGAACAAAACATATCATCATGTATTTCACTTGTCGATTCATTTGTCTGAACAACTCCAGAAAAAGAAATATGCTTTTGATGTTTATTTGAAGATAGTAAATTACCAGCCTCGCTTTCGTGCAGTGTTGATCACGTCATCAGTATTTAGTACTTAAGTCTATGGATATGTATTAGATAGACTATATTAAAGATTTCTGGTATTTTTTGTGGAAATTTATTGTAGTTAATTGTATTTACATGCCATTTTATATTCGAGCCTCGATTCCATGTTGAGCCATATAGGTCTAAAAATAGACCCCCAATAGCGGCCGCCGGTGCAGGTTACAAAATTGCCGACAACATTTTTTGTGTTCCTTAGGGTCCCCTTAACACAACTAGGTAGGTGGTTTGCTTTCACCAAAAAATTGCCACGGGATTACATATGCTCCCTGACTATTACTCCTTCTGATTCCAGGCACTCGATAAATTAAATTGTTGCAGTCATGTCGCAAATCAGCTTCACTCGCCGCTGCGTCCCATTAGCGGTCCACGACTGCATCGAGAAAACCCTTTTTAACTCTCTTTACATATTTATCGTTTAAAAAATGTCCGTCAAAGGTAGATCGTTGACTAGAGAACATTCATAGACAGAAATGAAAGCCAGATGACCACATTAAAGGCCACATTTGATCTGTTTGTATGAACACTGACAACAACGAACATGGCTTCGTACGTTTATCCTCAATGACTTCGAATTTTCTCGACAATACTTGCACAAAAATACAAAATATAGCGTTTAAAACTTCGCAAATGGACCAAATAGCTATTGAATACTGATATTATGGCTTTCTCGGTCGTCTCAGGGTCGATGGAAGAGGATTTCTTCACCAAAACGCCAATCTTGAAAAACTGTTCGCCGGAACAGAAATCAAGTTGCCGCACATACGCAGAAGCGTGTCATAGTCCCTTTAAGGCTACTGTTTCACACTTAACCTGATAGCTTTTGCGCCGGCATGAAAACCTTACTGGATAGGGCTTCTATTCACGGTGATTTCGGCGAGATGTAACGGAGCGAAAGCTGCGCCGCGCCGATCTCTAAAGTGGACTATTAAAAACTGAATCATTTGATAATGCAATTCTAGCGTTTTCATTGGCTTAGCCATTATGGTATATGAGCCATTATACCATGCTCTCCACATATGGTCGATGTACGCGTCAGTTGAAACTTGGAAGCTAGCTTAGATTTTTTATCGCTAAGGATAGAATGGCGCCCGAAACAAATCGTTTTAATTCATTTCTTAGAATACTAGAAAATGCAATTTCATCGGGGAAAAAAAAGACAAACAAACCAAAAAAGACACAAGAGCTTGTTTGAAAATTTATCGAAAAACACTTGAAAATACACGGAACTAAAGTACCTTCACCAGCTACGAAAGAAGACAAGCGCTGTTTCTTCATGATTGCGAAGCCATTCGCCGAGTCCCTCGCCGATAGATAACTGCGGCTTGTTTATCCGACATGAAGAATACAAATGACAAGCAACCAGAATACAGGTTATGCAGCCATTCACTACAGCAATCGAGGCGTCAGTATAGCTTCTTTTCTCGTTCATCAAAACCAGCTTGTGGCTTCAAACAACTTCATAACAAGCGACCGCGGTACTAGTTTTTCTCCATTGTTCTTACTTTTGTAACTGCACAGAAAATCCAAATTCACAGTAATTTCGACGATTGTAGCTTAAAAATTCTTTTTCTTCACATTATCCGTCAGGTTTTTTTAGCTGTCCTGCTGTGTAAAATCCTAGAATCCCGATGAGTTTTTAAAAGTGTTCATCGCTACAATGTTTTGATTTTCCATTCATCCAGTCCAGGCGAGTCCGTTCGCGCGTTGACAGTAGGGACTTTACGAACCAGAACGCGACGCAGTTTGAAAACACCGAAACGGAGAAGGGTCCGGGGCGAGAACGCCGTCACTAGCGCGGGAAAAACAGTTACGGATGCGAACGCGACGACAGAGGCAGAGCTGTGCAAATCCTTTAAACTCCGTTAAACACATTTTCGTTTTATAGCTGGTGTTATACATCATAAATGGCAACATTCAGAGAGGCAAGGGAAGCTTTATTGTTTGCCTATCAAGATGGAAGCATTGATGATACAGAGTTTGCCCTGTTGTACGATTTGAATTCTTCTGAAAATCTCGAATTTCCTTATTGGAAGTATGGTCGCTTCGATCTTGATTCTACGACAGATGATGAGTGTAAGGCTGAGTTTCGGTTTTTCAAGAACGATGTTTATTTACTCGGAGAAGTTCTTAATATTCCAGACATAATGAAATGCCCCAGTGGCGTTCTTGTGGACGGAACGGAGGCTTTGAGTGTGTTGTTGAAGCGTTTTGCATACCCGTGTCGATTTGCAGGTATGGTTGCTCTATTCGGGTGACCGGTTCCACAACTTTGCATGATTACAAACCGAATGATGGACTGTTTATTCGATGAATATAGCCACCTTCTCGCAGATTTAAATCAGCCATGGCTTTCCAGGGACCGTCTCCGTCATTTTGCTGCCACTATACATGATAAAGGAGCTCCACTCGAAAACTGTTGGGGTTTCATAGACGGAACAGTGAGACCCTTATGTAAGCCAAATGAAAACCAAAGAATTCTCTATAACGGACATAAAAGGGTGCATGGGATAAAGTTTCAGTCCGTAGTTGCGCCAAAAGGGGTTATCGCAAGTCTGTTTGGTCCAGTCGAGGGAAGAAGACACGATAGTGGTATGCTAGTCGACTCAGGACTTCTGCAAGAATTATCGCATTACTCGTTTGCACCGGACGGGACACCCTTATGCGTTTATGGCGACCCTGTGTACCCTTTGCGTGTCCATTTACAAGGGCCCTTCAAAGGCGCTCATTTGACACCTGCAGAGCAACAGTTCAACAAGGTCATGAGCCAAGTCAGAGTTTCAGTAGAATGGCTATTTGGAGACATTGTTAACTACTTTGCATTCCTAGATTTCAAGAAAAACTTAAAAATCGGCTTAAGTCCTGTGAGGAAAATGTACATTGTGTGCCCGCTCTTGAGAAACGCTCACAGTTGTTTTTATCAATCAAGTACTTCGAAGTTTTTTGAAATAGATCCACCCCAAATCCAGGACTATTTCAATTAGGTTTCAGAGGTCCAATGTATTCTGCAATTGTTACTCATTTTCAAAAGGTTATACAGCCATAAAGTTGGACTGTGGTCATTTTAACATAACGGGGAAGGAGGAAAAGTCATAGAAAAATGTATCAAGTCTAATGCAATACATAACATAAAATTGAAATGCCTGCAACCTACTGACCACCCGACCCTACCCCTTATCCTGGTTTTTAGTTATTAATGACCACAGCCTTGGGACTGAAATAAAACTCACAAGTTTTTCAATACAACTTGATTGTGTCTTAATCACTAAACTGATTTTAGTGAAGAGTACTGTTAACCCTACAAGAGAGATTTTAAAATTAGAAATGTGAGCTTAATGTTTGGCCTCAACATACTCCCTCCCCTAGATTCCCCAGTCCTTTTTATTCCAGGGAGTTTTTTAAAACCTACTTTCGAACACATAAAGTATCACTAGTTTCTTTTATAGCAGACTGAAAATACAGAATTTTATTTCAGTTTACGCAACAGAATGCAAATTTTCAAAAAAATTATTCAACTATCCTAGACAAAAAATATTTTCTAACATGCCACCATCCAATGAGATAACTGCAATAATAGAACATAACAAAAGGCCGGCTCCTCAGCACAAGAAAAATGCGGTGCCACTTTTCAAATACAAACATTGATCGCTGACAGAAAATTTTGGTCGTGCCTCTTGTCAAAACAAAGACAATAGTTAATACAATATTATATAGATTTAGCCAGGGCTAAAAGCGAAGCTCTGGTTAATAATACTTGTAAACCAAAAAATTAAATCGTGTAATGCTAAACGGGGAGGGCAATGAAAATGGCATCAAGATAAATAGATCTAATTAGCAAAAAAACAAATTTGCACGTGCAGCACGCTTTTTGTCTTTCTTTGCCGTTGTTTTGCATAACTACAACGCTGTTTTGTAGGACTATAACGTCAGACTTCCTAGTTACAGATTATTTTTATCGAAGAATTGTCGTATGTGCTTACCCAATATTTTGTCTCCTGTGTTCATGTTCGCTTTTAGTTTTCACTGCCGCTCATTTTCACTTTGCTGGCCGCTAACATTTCTCATTGTCTCACAGCCGCTTTGAATTTTCATGTTTTTCTTCCTACAAAATTCGTCACTTTTGTTTTCAATCACTCGCTCTAGCTCTTTCTCTGTTATCCACGTGAGTGTAAACATCAAAAATAACGTCGAAAAAGACACGACTTTGTTGTTCTTTTTTCTTTCTAAAAGTCCGGGCGGCCATGCGATTTCTTTCCGTTGCATTTGGGTTGCCATACCTGTTGATTGAATTATTCTACATTGGTATGCCTGTGGTGCGGACGGACGGTCGGGCGGTCGGTGTACGGTCACGCGATTACCAAATTTTCTCGGATGGGTAGTTTACCACATTTATTTGCTCATGGTGCTCCGCTGCGCGCGCTTCGCGCGGCAGAGCCCCGCTACAAACTGGTTTTCAAAATCAAGCGACACCTATACCAGCAATACCGGTGCATTTTAAGTGAATTAGGTAGCTATTTGTTCACAACTTTGTCCAACAAACTCATCATTGCTTTAGTTTGGTCTTGTTGCTGTCTCAACATCAGTTGTTGTGATTCCAAGAGTTGCTGTTGCTGCTGTTGTTGTTGTTCTTTCATTAGCCGCATCATTTCACTTTGTTGTTGCTGAAACTGGCGTTGCTGATCAACGCTTGCCTGTAGACGTTTTGCATCCAAATCGTGTTACTCTTTTTTCAGCTGGAGTTCCTCAAGTTTAAGTTCCTGGTCTTTTTCCGCTTTTTTGGACAGGAACAACATGGTCTCGCGGCCACTTCTCCGTTCTCTTTTCTTTACTTTTCCTTGATCATTTTCGCCTGAATGTCTTTTCATCGTCTCCGACACTTTCTCAAGTGCTTTAAGTCTCATACCTGTGGCCTTCGCCTTCTCTTTTTCAGCCTTTCCTTTTATATTTTCGTCGTCTTCTTTCATCTCTGCATCAGCTGTTTCTTCGAGAGCCATTATTTCTTCCACCAAGTTTTCAAGTTCTGTGGGCTTGGGCGGCGCGATGCCCGAGCTCCTTTCCTCAGCTCTCAATTTCTTTTTGATTCGGTTAATTAAGGTGGCTCGACTGGATTTTTTGGGGTTGATACCTCCCAACTTTGAGCATTAACTACGTCGACATGAGTAAAGATATGGAAAAAAGGTTACCACAACTGTATTATATAAAGATGAAAATTTCCTATGACCTGGGTTTTATTGCAATCGGAGTCGCCATGGCAACGTAATGACGCCATTACGTTTTTCATTCATCTTTGTGTTTCTCTGTTCCAGGAGTTTTTTGATGAAATCGCTTAAGAGAGTATGTACCTGCTATAATTGCCTCCATTATGGCGTAATTTCAACAAATTCTATGAGAGCGTTTTCGAAACATTTTGAAATGTAGTTTTAAGAATGATAAAAACAGTGAAATAGCATGCTAGCCACACAATTCGCTAATATTTTAAGAAAATGATAAGCTTTGGGAACGAGGCTTCATCTCATAGTGGTTTGACTCCATTGGAAACTGCATCCAAAAAAAGAGGTGAATTGCTCTGGGCGATCGCGAGTAAGAAGAATTTTATTAACTTGCATTCAGCTGCTTTTGATACAGTTTTTGGACGTAATTTGGTCAATGCCTAAGAATTTCGCATTTTTCCAAAAACCGCTCGACAAATTTTTTTATGAATTCGACAATCCCGAGATCAATCGTCAAGAAATATTCCCTGCAAGTTTCAAGAACATTGAAAATAGGGAAGGCTTTTAAATAGGGCCTCAAATATAACCAATTTCCCCCCCAGATTTTGTGTTTACAAAGGAGCGTCCTCATTATTCACTGGCATTGTTTTCAAGTTTCATATGCACGTGCACAACCAGCAAAAGATATAAATTTGCATAAAAAAGAACTCTCGATGACTTTCCGAAGAAATATCAGGAATATGCTAATAGTTGGCTTGTCGTCACAGATAGCAGTGAGAGCCGAAACGGTGAACGTCACGGCTCATCGCGTAGGATGGAATACTTAATTATCTTACTCGGGTTATAACATCATAGAAACTATCACAAAGAGTTGCTTTGATGTTATAATGTGTCATTAATCTCTTTACCCGGTAATTAGCATATCCCGAAGATTTAACCGAGGGTCCTTTCTGATGCAAATTCTATCTTTTTGCTAAATGTGCACGTGTATATGAAACTTGAAAACAATGCCAGTGAATAATGAGGACGCTCACTTGTAAACACAAAATCTGGGGGGAAAATTGGTTATATTTGAGGTCCTATTTAAAAGCCTTCCCTATTTTCAATGTTCTTAAAACTTGCAGGGAATATTTCTTGACAATTGATCTCGGGATTGTCGAATTTATAAAAAAATTTATCGAGCGGTTTTTGGAAAAATGCGAAATTTTTAGGGATGGACCAAATTACGTCCAAAAACTGTATCAAAAGCAGCTAAATGCAAGTTAATAAAATTCTTCTTACTCGCGATCGTCCAGAGCAATTCCCCTCTTTTTTCGTATGCAGTTTTCAATGGAGTCAAACCACTATGAGATGAAGCCTCGTTCCCAAAGCTTATCATTTTCTTAAAATATTAGGGAATTGTGTAGGTAGCATGCTATTTCACTGTTTTTATCATTCTTAAAACTACATTTCAAAATATTTCGAAAACGCTCTCACAGAATTTGTTCAAACTTTACCATAATGCAGGCAATTATAGCAGGTACATACTCCCTTAAGCGATTTCATCAAAAAACTCCTGGAACAGAGAAACACAAAGATACATGAAAAACGTAATTACGTCATTACGTTGCCATGGCGACTCCGATTGCAATAAAACCCAAATCATAAGAAATTTTCATCTTTATATAATACAGTTGTGGTAACCTTTTTTCCATATCTTTACTCATGCCGACGTAGTTAATGCTCAAAGTTGGAAGGTATCAACCCCAAAAAATCCAGTCGAGCCACCTTAAGATACCTACATGATCCCTTACGGACCTTTTATCCACGGCAAAGACAGGCTAGGGACAGGTATTAAAAGTGTTGACTATTCTATCCCAAATTTCGCTTCTTTGCGACGAACTCTTTCTTGTTTTGAACAGATTCTCGGAAACAACCTCTCTGCATAACAGGACATCATGCTCGCTTGTCCAGTACATCACATTACTGCGTGAAAAAAAGAACAGTCTGTTTTAGTTTGTTTTCAATGAAGAACATAAATATAAAGTTTAAACTCACCTTAATCTTATATTTAAGCAGGACAGGAAATTGAATCTTCTAATAAAGTAAATTGGACTTACTTGCCAGTTTTCGACTTTGGTATCAAACTCGGCGGGTCTGCGTGTTGTCCATTCATCATAGCGGTAACCAATTGACCTGCAGTAAAAGGAAAATTAAAATGTTTATGTGGTATATTTTACAATAAATAACATTTTCATGGATTTAGAAAAACAGTTTTGCCTATAATTTAATTCTAGGTCAAATTCAGTAAAAACTACTCACGTTTTCTGGAGACGCTGCAAGTGTCAACCTCGTGTTCTGAACATGAAGAAGACGCGTTGCAGTTTAGCGCCAAGTATGCGCAGTGAAGCACTTTGTGAGCAAATTACTTCCGGTGACGTTTCAGGCTGTGTCGTGTTCTGGTTCGTAAAGTCCCCAGTTTTGATAGACGTGTGACATGTCAATAGCGGAAGTCCCTTGTCTTTTCCTGTTTGTTCCAGATTCAAAGAGATTTTGTGGGCGTTTTTAATAAAACAATTATTCCACTCGCGCTTGTTGGATATGAGATGATTATAGCCAACTCGGCGCTACGCGCCTCGTTGGCTATCTAACCATCTCATATCCAACGCGCCTTCGTGGAATAATTGTTAAGAGTCACATATCGGATGCATTAGGTGTTCCAGGGACGGATCCAGGATTTCTTTTAGGAGGGGTGCACTCGTCTCTTGCTCTACTTCAACACCATGCAATAAACCACATAGTTTTTTTTTGCAGAATACCAGCTGTATTAGAAAAGCGCAGGTCATCTCAGGGGGGAGGGAGGTGCGCACCCCCTGCACCCTCCCCCTAGATCCGCCCCTGTGTTCGTACTATTCTGGATAGCAGTAAGGATACACAATACATAACTAATAACCTTTATGTGCAAAAAAGTTAATTCGCGCTGTTTCACACGTAGTAGCAATTTTTCCATTTCGTTCCATCCGGCAATAATGTTAGCCAATTTTCTGGGGTTGAATCCTCAAGGACTGTATCTATAGTAATTTCAGAGAAAAAATATCAGAAATTCGTTTTCTTGTGTTAACGTCCTCCATAAAAAAGTGAAATTAGGAAGTTTCTTGTCATAGCCGTGCAAAGTTAGACTTGCCGACAAGTCGAGCTCAAATTTTTCACGAGCGCGAAGCGCGAGCGGTAGATTTTTTTATGTTCAACTACCGGAACCGGAAATGAGAAGCGAAAGACTTTGAGAACGTCTAGTGCAAAGTTGTTGTTTTGCGATTGCTGTCTGTCCGTTTTTGTTACCGTTGCTGTCCTCGTTGCTTAAAGTTCCGCAATATATGTCTTAGATAGGTGTCCCTTCAAAGAGAGTTTTCGGAAATGACAAATGAGGAACGGTAGGGATCAATTGTATAGGTGCTAATTTTAGGGTGGTAAAGAGAGAGTTTAGAAATATTTTCTTTTTTTTTCGGCAGAAATGGCAAATTCACTGAAAAGGCTCAGCAAAACTTGTTTAATCCTTGGAGAGACCGTCAACAGTGCTGATTTAGCAAACCGTGCTCTAGAGATCTATAACGAAACGTATGGAAATATGCCACACAGGGAAGTATGTGCTAACCATTTATACAATAATGTACCTGTCTTCAAAAGAATTTTTTTACAATAACTGAACGACTTCTAACGCGCTGATTGGTCGAGAGCTATGTTCGATAAGAGCACAGTCCATGGAGATGATTATTGGTGGTGTAGTTTGTTTTAAATTTGTCCTATAGAAAATGGACTTTAAAAATTGACGATATTATTGTAAAGAACAAATCGACAACCATTTTCCATTGTCTGTACTCTTGCCGGCCATAGAAGTGACGTCAGAATGTTCAAAGCTTTGTGCACCCCTCGTGGTCCCATCTTTTGAACATTTTGACGTCATTTCTATGGTCGTTAAGAGTACAAACCATAGAAAATACTTGTCGCTTTGTAAAACTAAGCGGGCGTATTACTAGGGCCGGGAGGGGGATAGGGGTTGAGGCCAAGGTGCTCGGCACTTCAATTTACCAGGCCCAGAAAGCACACTGAGCGTAAGCCCTGGTAAAAGGGAATTAAGGAATCACCTTGGTGGGATTCGAACCAACGACCCTCTCGATCTTCTGCCGGCTGAACGACTACATCAGAGGCAGAGAGTGGAGGGTAATCAAGGTCGTGAATCTTATTCCGAAATCCGGTTGATCTAATGCAGAGGTTGTGGTTTGATTTCCCCCGTGTTTTTTCTTTCCCTCTCGTGCTCCCTTATTCCCTCTCCGATGGTCAACGCTCAGTTAGATTTTTGGGTCATCCCTCACACTTCAATTTACACATAAGAGGCGAAGTTCGTCATTTTATCCTTTTTGTCATCAGGTACATTTGTTAGGTTATTTAATCAGGTATTCGAAAAACTTCTGCAAAGTGCAGAAATTCAGGGAGCTTATTTCATATTTTGCGCCTCAGACTGGGGAGGGAAAAAGAGGGAAATACATATACGCAAGAGCCATTTGGCTCTTGATATGTGTTATTGATCATTACCAAGAATGCTGGATGTCCTTTTTTGCGTTTTTCTTTTTTCTGACCGAGACGAGGACGACATCAATAACCTTACCCTTTTCTCTTACTTCGTACCACTAAATTTCATATTTCCCACGAACGATCCGTGACTGGAATAAACTGCCTGATTCTGTGGTATTGGCACCAAGCATAGTAGCGGGTACAATTTGGTTTTAAGCCCTTAAGTGTCATTTATAGGCCACGATACTATTTTGCCGAGTGATAGATAACTAGTGAACCTATGCCCAGGTTTTATTTGAGGTCAAACTGTCAAACATCTTTTAATTAAAGACTTTATTACACTTTAGACCTTTATTACGTTGAGGGCTATTTGGCTTAAAGAAAGCACATCTAGAATTTTATAACATTTAGGGACATCTAATACATGCTTGGTCTCATCTTGGTTTTATTACCTTTGTTAGTGAAGACTGACTATTTACTACTTTGCCTTATAATTACAGGTTAGGAAATGCACGTTGAGGATTGCTTACGCATGCTCAAAGCTTGGGGTTTTTAACAAGGCTCAAGAATATATCAAAGAGGTTGAACTTGGTTTTTCCCAGAAAAATATGGCCCATCCAGAGTACGCTGTGTTTCTTCGAACAAAAACTGAAATTACATTGGACAATCTTCAATTTAGTTGGCCCAAGGATGAAAAAGGCGTGCGAAAAATGATGTCAGAAGCAGAAACTGATCTCAATAGAGCAGACGTAATCATTCAACAGTCTCTTGGTAGCGATCACCAACAGTATGCATTCTTGAAGCGAGAAAAAGCTCGTCTATGCATTCTGATGGGGCATTACGAAAAAGCCTATAACGAGATTCACTCTGCTCTGTCTATTATTGGTCAGAACTACCAAAAGCGCGACATAAAGGCTGGTTTTTTGCTAATTCGAGCAGATGCTGAGGGCAAGCTTCAGCTGTCTTGTGCACAAGAGGAATCCTTGGCAAGAGCAAAAAAATGGTATGAAGAAGCCTTTAGCGATAATCATCCAATGGTTGCCACCACACTACAAAAACGATGCCAGAAAAATATTAATCTAAAAAATCTTTCTCAGGCAGAAGAAGACCTCGCAGCAAGCGATAAAATCTGTGAAATTCATAAAACTAGCTTACGATGGCAACTAGACAGTAGTTGCTCTGGTTTTCTAGCAAACTACAGTTTGGATCATCACCCTGTTTTGAAGCGTCAACAGCAGCTAAATAACAGAATAAAGTGTAGTCCTGCTGGAGCATGGTTTCAATGATCAAAGACTTTTCTGTTGCTTTCATTATTGAACGTCATCGATGACACCCACTTTCACATGACTGTCTCGTTTTAAGTCAGCGCCCGAATGACGCTCATTGCTAATTTGTTCCGTGATCTGGCTTGACTTTAAAAACTGAGAGGCTTTTAGTATTAGAAAATTAGACTTTTAGCATTGTTCCTGTAAGTTTGAGTAGTCACCTTTTTGGCATCTAGTACCGAGATATATATACTTTAAAAACTTAACTAAAGACAGCCTTCAAAGAAGGTTTCAGGGGTGTGGGTGGAGGATAAGAAGAAATGACAAGGTCAGTTTTTGCTCGAGAACTCTAAGGGAACAGATGCTCACTGTTTTACGGGAAAAAGGTAAACGATCCGTGTTTTACGAGTGTCTGAGAATTAAAAGATATCGTTTGAAGTAATGTTCGGTTGAATAAATCACTGCAGAAAGAAAAATTTACTTTTGATCCCTTTACCCTTTATTCTCTAATAACAAAATGTAAGTTCTCATTTATTGGCGAGAAGTTGTTTAAGTATCATTATGATTTTTCTTGTAACATCAACTCTTTAATTCTCGTTACAGCTTTGTTTTATAAAGCAGTAGATATTACAAGAAATTTTAAGGCTTTTAAAACTTTAAAAAGGTTGGACCGTAAAGGAATATTTTTTATAGTTTGCACGAGAATAGTCTACTCGAACGTTTTATGAAGATTCAGTGTAATCAGTGTGAACGTCCGTATTGAGTATGAAAAAGCAACAATAGACAACACAAGCATTATCGTTTGTCTCATGATTTAGTCACCCGCTAAGTTTCGACTGCTTGCACCTCCGTTGTAACTGGTTCGTTTTCAGCAGCTGCTAGTGCTGTTGTTCTTGTGCACGGAATTCCATGAATCTGGATTTTCTATCCCACTGTTCTTACATGTGTACATACATACACTGTTTACAGGTACGGTAACCATGACGACTCCTGACCGAGGACCATGAGGTTATCCCTATACTAAGATCTCTCCTTACAAATCACCCACCCAGCCCAGGAAAGGTTGGCCACGCATCCGGGGTTTACTTCCCCTACTCTTTTCGAACAGTGGTGTAGTTCTTTTACGTACCACAAGAACCAGAAAAGTGAAAGTGCTGTCAGACGGGACCTACGGTTTTTCGCCCTTATCCTGGAAGACTATAGAAAGTCTAACCGTTTGTAGCACACCTGCTTGAAAGTCCTGCCTTTGTTAAAAAAAGGCAGGACTTTCTTATCAGTTATTTTTAAAAACACCCTGAATGTCGGTCCTGTCGGGGTTTGAACCCGCGTCTTCCCTCTCAGCAGACCGGCGCTCCTTCCAGCGGAGCTAACCAGGCGGCGGTTAAATGTTGTTAGAATGAAGTCTTAAACGCCGTGCAAAAGGACGCAACATTGTTAGTCAACAACCCCCAATATTGTTGGATGTTACATGTTACGTCCGTTTGCACACCCTGTTGCATGTTGTTGCGTGCTGTTGGGAGTTGTTGGGCAAACTTTGAAACCGTTCAAACCGTTTTAAGCCAACAACTTCAAACAGTTCTTTTGTTCCGTGATCGCCGAAGCTTAGCGCAACAATGTTGGATCCGTTTGCACAGCTCTCCCAACATTGTTGGGGCCACGCAAAGCATTACACATGGTTTACAAAGTCTTATGGGTTGTATCCTTCCCACGACGCACTGCAGGTCCTAACATTGTTGGGAGTTATTGCGTCCCTGTAAGCCATGAGAGTGGTGTCCGTGGTGTTGTGGGCGAGGCTGAAACGGCAGAGTTCTGAGTACGGGTAAGTCGGATGTCTCGGTCTCTTAATTTGTAAAGTATGTCATCTTGTTTAGCTGAGTAAACATCGGGCTTTGGCCGTACATGACGAGATCATAGCGTAGTCTGCGATTAAATTACGCCGACTTGGAAATTAAGGAATAGCTTTTCTCATAATTTGCTTGCACCAGAGAATACGGCAAAAAATACCTTCTCTGCTCCAGTAAACCTTTTTATGCAGACTGCTTCGTCTTCCCCTTTGCCGTTTTCTGTCACAGACAACGTCAGTGATTTTTTTTGCTGTTGTAAAAGGAAGGTGCAAGGCGAGAAGGATGACGTCAATATTACACTTACACGGAATTAAACGTGCATTCCGCGTATTCAATATATTTTTATTCCAGAAAAAGACACCGCATCCTATACAGTCCATAGCCACGGCCTCATCTCCTGGTCTTCCTTAAACCTTGGAATTACAGATTTCCACGTCGTATTCATCACCGTGATGAAAACGACAAGGAAATTTACTTAAAAGTCGGGGTCTACCAAAACGCTTTTTTGACGTTTTCGCTGTTGTCTTCTTTTTGTTGCTATAGATCCCTAATATTAGGGCGACTAAGCAACCACAAAGGCAATGACATTGAGTACTCCTCTTATAAAGGAGTAAATTCGAGCTGTTTCAAACTTTATATTAATCACTATAATTCGACTCCGTTTAATTTGTCAAATGCCGACAAATCTTTCTGGAGTTGAATTTTACTGAATCCAACTACCGAACAAAAAAGAACGAATGTCGTCAATGCTTGAGCAAAATTCAGGAAATGGCCAAACCAGGTTACAAGTCACCTCGGCAAAGCGAGCCAGCCAGGCAAACCGAGCTACAGTCTCAGACAAAAATAGTTAGGACACTTCCACTGAACGCTGCTTTTTACTTCTCGCCCGTCTCCTCGTCTCCCCAATGTTGTTTATCGCAGTTAGCTCACCAAATCTTGCAGACCAACATTGGGAGAGCAAGAAGACAGGAACGTGTCCCAACAATGAGACTGAGACTTACAGCCCCGTTACAGCTATCTTATATCTACACTGTATCTATAGGGAAGTTCTTGCCTTCTCAGGGGACCAACGACTGTTTTTTGCGAATATCTGATCAGAAAAGCATATATTGCCTAGAATTTTCTTTTACTTGAGGACGACTAGGAATTCCTAAATGACCGTTCCATTCCACACTCTCTTGTTTTCCACCTAAGGTTCTTGACCCACTCTGCCTGCCTGTGTGACGTCACATAGTAACGGGCAAGAGCCTCGGGTCCCTTGTGCAAACTAGAGATACGAAAGTTATTGTCGAGCGAGGTCGAGGAAATGCTAAGAAGCTACCAAATATCACTATAGATCGCTTATTTGATCGAATGTGTGTGAGCTTTGGTGTTGCTACAATCTGTTTGTGTAAACCGTTTTGATATTTTGTGTCCGTAATTGTATAATTTTGTTAATTTGTTTTGTGGGCCGTGTTGCGGGATCGCCATTTATTTTACGGGACCGGCAAGGTCATCAAAACTTAAATCCTTTTTTTCTTTAAAATAGGCACGGTCTAGCCTCCAGATTAGGAGGTTCCATTCACAGATCACACATGTTAATATTTAATCTATTCTTTTGCTAATTAACAGGCCGAACTTCATATCAACCCTTTCGAGTGTGGGCCTCTGTTGATCTCCTAATTCTCCACCAAATTCAGTAAAGCTAGTTCGATCGATTATCTACATCGAGTCGGCCCGTTGAGCCCGAAATAATTAACAATTATTCCTCGAGCCCGAATGGGCTCTGAGTCCGGTAGCCCATGAGGCTGAACACCGAATGGGCTATTGATTCAGAGGCCATGAGGGCGAGAGGAATTGTTGTTTTAGTAAAATCCAACTAGTTAGTCAAAAATATCGAGAATAAAAAACTTTTAGCTAGTTAAAGCTAGACTTTAATCCTTTTTTGCCGCCAAAAAGCGCGCGCCTTTCGCTACTAGTAGGTTATAACATATAGCCTAGTAGTAGCTCAACCAATCAGAACGCAGCGTTGATAATAGACCACTAGCTGGATTTTACTAATGCGAAATAGCCTTGACATGCCCGCTTAAGCTAAGTTTCCTCAATTGTATATTTGAATTCATGATAAATACATTTCCACCAGCTTCAGACAGCGTCTATGGCAGAGAAAAATTGTCTTGATGTGACAAAATTAATTTTTCAAATCATGTATGTCACTGTGGTGCAGTGGTCAAGGAGTTACTTGCACGTGCAGATAAACCGGGTTCTACTCCCGGCGACGCTGTTTTCTGTTTCCTTGTCGTACCGTTTTTTTTCTTCTGTTTGGTCTCTGTTTTTTAACACTATTTTTCCTTTTGGCCGGTTTTCCTTTATTCTTACTGCTGAACCTACTGGTCATGCGTGACTTGGATCAACATATATTTTAAGCTTAAGTCAGGAGTTTTATTTTAGAAAAGGGATTTCAAAAGCTCTTGATCTGCATACTGGTCAAGCTTACTACCAGAAGAAAACCATAAGCTGTCAAGACATGTCCCTCGTCTGAAACAGCTGAATTTTTTCAATGTTAGTTGACATTATGACAAACAACACACGGCACACCACAAGCGCTGTACTAATTTGTACCCAACACCTACCAGTGACCTACTGGCGTTCTAGTGTTGAAAAAATATATTTCACTCGTTCGCGCCACCTTTAATAGCTTTAGCTAAATGCAGGCAGTGTGTATGTTTAATTTATTTCTTTGCTTTTTAATAAAAGTAATGTTGTTGTTGTTTTTGTTTTCTAACAGTCAAAGAAAAGTGACGGGCACCCAACGACTTTTTTCTGCAAAATATCTGTTCGGAGGAGCAAAAATTGCCTAGAATTTTCTATAGCTAAAGGTAGGCTAAAAATTTCTAGATGACCGTTCCATTCATGTACAATTTCCGTAACATATCTAATAAATTCTCTACGATTTTCTTAAGTTTAATTTTTCGCATTTCAGTACCCAAGTTTGCCTGTTTTTCGCAGAAAAAGGAAACCTAAAATTTTCGGATCCAAACATGCGATGGAGGGAGGAATCAGAAAAATTCTTACTTTCGTAAACGTAAAATTGCGTCTAAAATTTTCGGGAAAATAATACGGAGGCCCTTGTAATTTCGAAAGGACTCAAGTTACCCTAGGACGACCGAACAGATACAAATTTTATAGCACCGCTTAGAATGCATTTCTAGAGAGCTGAAAGAACTCTGGATAGCCTGAAAAGTGTTTTCAATGCATTTAGGAGGAAACCGTCGTTGGGTGCCCCTGAGAAATTCCGTATCTTTGCTCGGCCATGTGATATCTTCTATGTATACAACATGCATTCTGTGAATACCCTAAGAAATCTACTAGATACGCTTCGTCAAGTTCACCGTCGTCTCGCTGTGCCCACGAAACTACAAAGTTCGCATACCATTGCCCATAATCTCCCAAATAATTTCTACTGAAGTTACTTTAATATTTTCTACAAGTGGTTACAACAGCAACAACTTTTATTGACCCCTTATATCGTTGATGCAAGTTGAATAATAGCCATTATCAAAAATACAGTTCTCGGTGGGTTGACACACGAAATGAGGCGATAGGGCTATCCTGGCTTGGTTTTGACAAAGGTTAATTTTGACCTTGCAGCCTCGTAATTGAGTTTCCGTTCCACGTCGAACTTTCCATCTGCCGTACTTATTTGGGTCGACCCAAATGATTAAGTTCGACGGTTGATTCAGACGTCGAACTTTAACATGTGCCAAATCTTATTTTTGAAGTAAACAAGTACTATTTTCGAGGCTTGAAAATATGTAAATAAACTGATAAAGGGGTATGAAACTATTTATTTTCATTCCATTTTGTTCCAATAGTTAGTTTGAGCATTTATGGTCACCAAGTCGGATTAATTATAGCTTTTCTGCTGTGTTCCGTTCATGTTCAAGAAAATCGCAGTCATATTTTTATATTGAGATATAAAAAATGAATGAATATATAGGTAGTGCAAGAGAAGATAATTCTCTTGGATAGTGTTAATGCAAGTTGGAAGTCGACAGTTTCGTGCTGGGGGTCCAGTTTCTGCATGTTTCAGTTTAAACCTCCATTTTGAGGTTTAACGTAACGCTGTTACGGTCATCAAGCGTCTGTGAGTTCTCTTCACGTGTCACAAATCACTATACAGCCAATCATAAGCGCTGTTATATTGAAAAAATATATTAACGTAATGTATGCATTAGTTTCGGCACATGAGGAGGTTCGACGTGTGAATCGATGTCGAACTTTTGCTGTTCTACTCGACCGGCGCAGTCGAATAGAACGGCAAATACAAATCTGTCGAACCTAATTGATTCATAAGTCGAACTTTTCATGTGCCGAATCTAATGATTAGGTTCGGCACATGCAAAGTTCGACGTTTGAACCGGGCCCAAGTGCCCGATCGGACGCCGTCATTTGGACGGAGGAGGAGCGGGGAGGGGCTGCTTAGTGACTTGAAGTAGGGAGGCTGGGGATTGTCTCCTTTTATCAAGTCTTTACTTTTTTGGAAAAACTTGGGGAGGGGAGCTTTAGTCCCTGGACTCCGCCTAACCCTAACCCTAGCCGAGACGACGAGCATCAGCGACACCTTTATATGGGAATCATCGACCCTCCACTGCGCGCTAGCCTCCCACGCAGGCCTTTTTGGGGGGTTAAATTAACTGCAAAAACCGTGGACGAAGATCCTGCTAGTTGTAAACGTTGGATCTCTAGAAAAGAGATCAAATCAGCCAAAATATAAAGAACCAAGAACGAGAAGTCCAAAGACTACTGCAAAGCTGATTTAAAACAACGTGTATTGTTTTTTATAACAATATTTCGGCTGGCCATACCAGCCTTCTTCAGGTTTATAGATATAGATGTATTATAATGTGATTACTACATAAGTTCAGTAACATCAGTAAACCTGAAGAAGGCTGGTATGGCCAGCCTAAATATTGTTATAAAAAACAATACACGTTGTTTTAAATCAGCTTTGCAGTAGTCTTTGGACTTCTCGTTCTTGGTTCTTTTTGTGGGAGCTCGTATTTCGTCCCGAAAAATGCCTGCGTGGGAGGCTACCCGCGCGCCAGGTGGTTAGCCTGTGTAAAGAACGGTCCCCCTTCCACAGAAAAAAATCGGTAGAAGATACCTCTCCTCTCCCGATTTTTATCTGAGGGAGTTGGGACGTCTCTATACAGGCTACGGGTAGTAAGATCTTCTGGTTTCCATCATAAATATCGCATTTCTTCTAATAACATAGTAGTAGCCCAAGGGGGTAGTAGCCAGTCATGGCTTTGGGTCGTGTTTACCCTAGGGAGGCCGTTGATGAATAAGAAGGGGGTGCGTTAGAAACCACTGATGCGTAGGGAGGTGGGGGTCGTGAGGGTTCCTGAGACCTTTGGAAAGAAGCACTGGGATGTCCTCTGGGTGCGGGGTTTGCTTGGGCTTGTTTTCTCGTCTTCATATAAATGCAGACTAAAATCATGCCGATTATTGCAACTCCACCGAGACTACACACGACAGCGATCATTATAGTGCTGCCGCCACCTAAGACAAACAAAACGCACATAATAAATCATCTGAAAGCAATGGTCACACTACACAACTCCGCGGTATGGCCAGTACCTTACGCATGCGCACAACCATATCACCCGGGCAGCGGCAGCCCTATTAATTTAGGCGATCCACGACTTCATATACCGCATTGCACTAGACTGTTTTACAGTCCCAGCCAACAGCTACCACATGTGCTGTAAGGAGCTGGCGCTTATATGAGTGCATTGCACTCGCCTAGGCAGTTAAGGGTCTCAACACAGGGATTTCCTCTGTTCATTAACCCGACGGTTTTTTAAAAATCCCTGTAATGTAGCATTGGGCAAGACTTCCACCCGAGCGGTTTGTACAAACGGTAAGCATCCCGGTTTTCCTTCCTCCCCAAAAATCAACCCAAATTACAATTTGATCCGAAACGTATCTCCATTTAGTTCCGGGAGACAATTGTTACTGTCAGGTCTTACCTTCTCTTATTATCTGTCTTTAATATACAATGATCAAGAGCATTACGATCGATGAGAATCTGATTACCTTTTTCGGGGCCATCCTGTTCAGGTGTTACCGTCTTTTTGTTCTTCCCAGTATCTCGTTCATCGATACTTGTAGGTGTAGCGCCATTCGGTGAAATGGAATAAAACTGCGCAGAGAAACCTTTGAAATTCCTTTCATTTGACTCATCCGTCACTAAATCAACTCTAACAAACCTTCCACTGGAAATAATATCGGAGGGAGGCTTAGTTCCACAGAGTTTTGCTAGAAGTCTGTCTCTTAATAGCTGTCCATCGGATACAGTCACATAATCGCACGTGCAATTGTTCGTTGCAGTTGGACAAGATTCCACGTCCAGACCATCAAAGTGCAGTAAAACACGGTAATTCAATGGTACCTTTATTATCCACGTACATTTCTCCCTACTCGGGTAGGTCCCCGACGGATAACCTGGGCTTGAAAATCTTCCTCGGTGTATTCCGAAGTCACCACCAAGATAAACTATTTCACTGCAAACTGAAAAGTAACGAAATAAGCTAAGACAAGGGGTTCAAGAGGAGTGTCTGTGTCTTTTCTAAGATCAAAAACATTCAAATGAGTCTATTCAATATCTCAGAGTCTGACATAAAAATTTAGACTCTATCAAATTCCTGAAGTGAAACTATATTTGCTGTAGGTGAGTATATCTTTATCTGGTCATTAACCCCTTTTTATGTTTTGCTCTGTTGTTAGGTTGTGTTGTTGCCGTTTGGTGCTTTGTGCCAACGTGCCAGACTGTCTAACCTATCTGCATCGGTAGAGGATCTTGCATGGTGTGAATGATTACACAACCCCAATAAATTAAGAAATAAAGCACTGTAAATGTGTCTTAAATCATGCAAATGTATCTTTGACTTAAATCCGTTTGACATGAAATCTACATACTGCTACCCAATAAATTTGCATCACTAAAGGAGACAACCGCCCTTTCGCATAAATCGTTTGAATTTCGCAATGTCCAATGAGTAGATTACAAGTATTTTAAGGTTTCTTATTGTAGATTTCAGTTACGTACTTAGATTAGGCCATTACGTTCAGTAGTTTATCTCGTAGGATATTTCTTAGCATTTAAAGAAAATGAACTCATTGTTGCTACGTAAATAGTCTTAATGAACCATCTATTTCTGCCCATCTACAATGAGGGACAAAAGTGTTGAGACACTTCTATAAGATGGCCCGTTTTTGCATAGTGGTCCTACCTATCCCCTCCCCCTATGTACCCCCACCCACTCCCCTCCAAATCAATCTTGTATTTTAGACCCACAAGTCGTTATCTTACTACAAAAAATATTGATTTAGGGGTTGGGGGATTTACGGCGTTTAAACAGGACAAAATGATATAACTGAATGAAAATGTTGATAAAAGAGCACGTTTTCGACAAGTGTGTCAACTACTTTTGTCCCTGAATCTAGGCAACTCAGTCTTTACCTTCATTTGACCAAGCAGTTCTTGCGATAATGGCTGAAGATGAAAGTGATAATTTAAAACGTTAGTGTAACAATTAAAAACCGACGAAAATGATAAACCAGTTTAAATTGAAAGAAGAGTTGGTACGTTTCCAAGCACTGGTACCTTAACAGACACTTGTACGGAAATGGGTTAATTAGCCGCATCATCTATATTAGCCGTCAATACAGGTAGACTGCCTCTTGCTCCGAAGAAACGGCTAGGCTACTGTATAGAACGGTGCTGCCAAAATACTATCCGGAAAATCATGCTCGCCTTTTATAAAGCTACAAGGCAAGCATATAGGTCTTTCCATACCCGTGGGAGGATTAGTTTAGCAGAAGGTCCCTTAAACAACAAAAATCTTTTTCCTTTTTCTTGTCGATAATAAAAACTGTAAGCAAAACAGGAGCCACGGGACTTGTATATATTTAAACGTTTTTCCTATTTTATGTCAGTGTCTTTCCAGGGGAACTAGACTTCTGTGCCCATTTAGGCGCATGATCAATCTCTCGTAAGGAGCCTAATGCGTCTCTATGAAAGGTTAAGAAAAGAGTTCATTTTATGCTATTAAGTAAAATAACATAGACTCACTTCACCGACTCAATATCTAATTGTTTGGTAAAGAATTTACATTTGCGCGTTACAGAGATATGCAAATTCTACCTGATACTGTCGATACTAGAAAGTGGACTTTCGGCTAAGATTCCAAAATGCAACAAGAAATTAACGTGCGCTACAAAGGAAACGGAACGGTCGGGAACTTTCAAGATTCCACAATTGCATGGGAAAGGACGAAAACGTGGATGGAAAGCATGTGCATATTTTCCTGGTTCTTCTGAAGCACAATATAATTATACTTGTTCTCTGTCTGAAAACATGCAACTGTGCGTTACATGGCAGGGTATCCCTTACCTTATCCCACTGAGTCGAGGAAACGTTTACTTTAGAATCCCTTTTGCACGATTCTACTCAACAGCACCTAACGAAAATCGCTTATAGACGCAAAACATGAAATAGAACTGATTGTTAAACAACATGCAGAACAAGCAATTTCATGCAGTACCTTGCAGTACACCATGATTAAACGGTAGGTACGATTTGTTTCAAGCTGATATGTTGTGTGAAGTGGTTTTTGTATCTCATCCGTGAAGACCACAGCAAAAATCAAGAAGTAAAGTTTTCTAACTGCGTGAACGTTACCGCAAAGGCCTAATATGGCTTACAATTATAATCCCTAAACTAGCAAGGTAAGAAGAATTGTTCCACCTTACCGCCTATCAACCACAACAGCTTCAAAGAACTCTTTCTGATAACCTTTTCCTGTGTTTCAAACATAATTGTCTTGTGTAACAATTTTGCTAGTAGCTATACGTTGGCATTCAGAAATTTTCCGCTAGCAACATCGAATAAACTGATGACAGCATGGCGATTAAAACTGGTCACTGTTTACATCACGTGGGTATTCTTGCAGGAAGTTTATTTAAATGCAAACGGGCGCCGAAGCATAAAAACAATACATTATGTACCCAATTCCTGATCCCGAGGGAAAGATTTACAGTAGAATCTCGAATCCTCGAAACCCGTCATCGGCGTGGCCAACCTCCCTCTAATTACATTCTGACCTCTCACTAAACAATTTCAACCAATTTCCTTTTTTTCCTTTGGCACGGGAGTTTCGAAAACCAGTATTTCGATACACCCGCCCAACAGTCTCTGTTTTTCTTTCCAATATACAGCTATTTCGAGAAAGGTTGTCGGGAAAAATGTGCACGCGACAACCCTGAAAGGTAATATGGGATATGATCAATACACTGTTTCGAACGACTGTAGCTGTCGAACCTATTTTTGTTGCTTTCTATTAGCACTCACGAACGTATGTCCGTGGCCTCTCATGCCATTCTTTCAATTTCTTTGGAGAACAGGGCAGACAAAACCACCCACAATACCTTTCGGGATTGTCGCGTGCCCTTTTTCCGACAACCTTTCTCGAAACAGCTGTATGTTCATGAAAGTTTCATCCGGACGGGCATGTCTCCGTACAAAGTTCTGATAAATTGGGGGAAATTTTTTCCCCGAATTAATATCTCGCATATGAAAAAGTGCACTGACCTGAACTTTGGCGAAGGGTCTTTGTATATCGAGAGCACCCTTCATTTCCAAGATGCTGGACAGCTACATATATTGAATGATTTTGATCTTATTTTTTGATGACGGGACGATGAAAACCAGCAATACCCACCCTAACCGTCAACAGATTCCTCAACACTGGCACCAAGAAACAGCAGACAACCTTACAAGCAAAATGCGAGAACTAGAAAGTTTACTCTACCTACGTAAGCAAAAAGTAATTTAAGATTGAGTACCAGTACCTCGCTCTGACAATGCCCTTAAAAGTTTTTCATCTGCCATCATCCGCGAATGACCCACTTTTGCAAAATGGAGGCAAGGCGAAAAAAGAAACTCAACATTCCTGTGGGCACGGCCAGGGATTAACACACAGGCACAAGTAAACTTTTTGTCACACGTGGGATTTATACTGGGTTGCCTTTAATTTGCCACTGAATCAGAGCGAAGCACACGCAGCTCAAAGTACATTATTGTAGCCAGACAAGCTTGACTGATCTTTTCTTTAACTGCTAACTCACGAGTACAGTGAGGGATGGCAGAAAAAACCCGCGTGGATTTCCGTCTTCGTCAATTGAGAACGCTTTCATTAAAGGTTATCTTGGTGTTTTTGATTGGTATATTTCTCATTTTTCGTTTTAATTCTATGCATAAATATAATAAAGTGGGAATGTACTTTATTAATGATCATTAAGAGCCAAAATTAACATATGCAAATGTACTTTTCATTCTACAAGATGACATCATTCGAATGGGATGAGACATTTTCAGTAAAATAGAAAACTGCTTCCAAAGCACAATAAAAACTTGCGATGATAAGCATAATTGTTTCTAATTTGAGATCAGCCTCTATTTTCGTTTCGCTTCAAAAATAACATTCCGGCAGGCAAGGCGAAACGAAAAGAGAGCCCAATTTTAGCGTTACGACATAAGAGAGAATGTATCAGAACTGCTAAAATTGGGCCTGATCTTTTTAAACACATCAGTTATGCTTAACCTTAGGTCCTCGTAGTTCAATTGTCATGGGGTTTTTCCCAGGGACTTTTCCCCCACTGATGCCTATAATAGCAACGTATCTAAAACGCTAGTTCCGTCTGCCGAGACATTTTATTTTTAATTCGTTGAGACTTATCCATCAGGTGGTAGGGTCCTCTTATTTGGAGTGAGAATGTAAGTAAATATTCCATTTAGTTTTTACTTTAGAGACAAACGGCACATCTTTTCTTGATTTATATAATAATTATGTTATGCATAGCTAAAGAGACACTTAACCTGCGATCAGGCGTTTAGACTCGACATGTACGATCAGTACGTATACAGTCTTATCTCTTCTATAAACGGACACCTCTATGAGACCGGCCGCTATCTAATACAGACGTCATGCCCTGCTCATCAGTCATAGGGGACCATAAGACTGACGACGACGACCGCGACGGCAGCGAGAAAGTCACAAAAGCATCAACTGTTCGTGCGTGCATCACGGTTTCACAACCGGCATTTCTAGCTTTGTCGTCACTGCGCGACTACGATGTCAAATTGCCTAATTTCACATTTTATGGAGGACGTAAACATTCTTCCTGAACTTGTATAAGACGCTTAGTTAGGAATTCAACTCCAGGAGAGTTCGCATGCACTTTACAAAATAAGTGAGTTGGAATAATCGCGATGAAGATTGAAAAAACGCGAATTCAATTTTTAAGCAACGCGTTGGCTGCCGCCGCGGTCCTCGCATCTTCAGTTCCTTACTAGGCAAAGGTGTCCAGAGAACTGACAAATGGATTTTCGAGAATTTTCAGACTTATAACACAAGTTGAAGTTACTTTGCTTTATCAGCACACTAATTAAATATACTCCACCTCGTAGGGTATTATGTAATTATTGAACTGACCAAGAGCCAAATTAATAAAAAATGACATCATTTCAAAGCAAAGCTGGGCGTTCTGCAAATATCGAAACTAAAACAAACAATATAAAATCTGAAAGTAAAATTAGCCGGTCCCGGAGCATAAATTAAATTTCAAAATATTTATAGCATAACCATGGAGACCATTAGTCTGCTACACGGCTGTGTAGCAGACTAGGGGACCGTACACCCGCATTATGTTCAGTTTTTCCAATAATACTTTCTAGATACTTTTAGAAAAACATAATAGCATCATGACAGCTCATTGTATAGCCTGCGAACCGCAGACGCAGCACTGTTGTTCTATAAATGTGCCGTCACTTTCATCACCGCCTTTAATCACTAAGATTTTATCCTTCAAGAACGAGCTAGCAAAGGAAAGTTTTCTAGTGTCCAAAGGGAGGCTATAAACACGAACCGCCAATGCCCTTTTCGCTAGTCAAAGCAACGTGAAACAATTTCTTTTATTTGTGTTGCCTTAAGCCCTTTTTCTTGTTTACTTTCTGTGCTAGATTAAACTCCGTTTGATCTTCAATAAGATAAATATGAAAAGTGAGTTTTTGCGGTTAAAGCAAAGTTGGCTCCGGGTCTATTATAGCAATCTCGAGACGATCTCGACTCATACCATACCGAACCATAGCTTACATTATGCCTTTTTGGCAGCAATTTTATAATTTATTTCATTCATTTTACATAATCGAATGTTCCTTTTTCGGGATCAAAGGCCTCTGGGAAGGTAGCATGAGGCGCTGTTTTTATCATACAGCCATCATTGAATTTGATGCGGCTCAGAAAGTAGGTGTCCGAACAGGACCTTTGGACGCGCAACACCTAAGAGCTTGTAATAAAATTCTTTTCAACGTGCATGAGATAAACAGGTGAAGGGGGACAGGGGGTGGGAACCCGGGAGAATAGAGGGCGCGAGGGAGACGGGAGTCGGGAGAGGATGGAGCGGGAGGTGGGAGTTACTGTAAAGAGGAGAGTGGGAAGCGCGAGAGAAATGCAAAATCAGTAAAATGCTCCCTTCATTCATTAATGCGTTAGAATATTATCAAAAATCGTCCTCCGACAATATCGACAATTTTTTTTATACTACGTGTTTGGGCTAAACTTGTAAAATTGTACACCTTTTATCAGTGGTCGTCTTATATGTCGCGCACGAAGAGTTTATCGGTTTTACGTTCAATACGTGTGACATATGTAAGTGTTTTGTGAGTTGTCATAAGTCTCAAAAGACCAGTGAGCAAGGGAAGGAAGCACACTGCTTTGAAGTTTAGTACAATGGATTTCAACTGAGTCTGTCACCAAATATAATTTTAGAAGGTCTTAGTATTTTCGATGCGGAGGGGAAAATCAGTGCATAGACTGCATTGAGTGCGGCCTCCTCGGCACATGGGAGTCTTTTAGGAACTTCAAATCCTACCGATTTAGGTAAACCAGGCATGCTAAAAAGTAGACTAATGGAAGGAATAATGGACCATAAAAGAGATGTATCCACGATTAGGCGCCAGGAATTGGACAGGGCATACTAAACTAATAAATTTTAACTTCAACTTGAGCATGTTCTACTAATCCTCACGAGCCTATGTACCCGGCGTGGTCAATCCGTGAACGAAACCGAACCAAAACTTGTACGATTGGTTCGGTAATCGAAAATATCGAACTAGAACTTTTTGGTGAGTTCGATTGCCGAACTGAATCGACGCGATTACTTCGATTTTGTTCGGCAGAAAGACAAAACGCATCCAGAATCGGAAATATCGCCCTCTACTGTGTATGTAAAGCAGTTTGAAATAAACAAATATTTAAATTAACCCCGAATTAACTAAAATCGTTGTTGTTAAAGTGATTCAAAATAGATAAATTCACAATTAATACTGGGAAACATGAACGGCACAGTAAAACAATGTAAAACTTCTTTCCCAGAGCAATACCGACCAGGGATATTCTTAGGATGCAAGAAAAGTCAAACCTTCCTCGATAAAGTTTCGATTAAAAAAGGGCACCGTTACTGCATGGATCTGAACGCACGCAACGGTGTAAAGCATATACAAAATAGTCATTACTAGCGCTACCAGGTCATTACCTCAAAGTAAATATCTATTTAAAAAAAACTACAAGCGGCGTTTGTAAAAGCTGTTGCACAACAGAAGCAACAAGAACCACAGTTCACCCAAACTCACTACAGGAACGCGGACGTGACTCTTGCTAGCCTGCAGGGCAGGCGTAGTTTGGGTGGGCGAAACCTTGTTCGTGTTCGTAATGTTGCTGTAGCCGCCATCTTTGATTTTATGACAGTAGAAGATTGGGGAGAGTAGAAATAGTAACCCTCAACCCTTACGGTAGGTTGACTCGCCCCATTTCCTCCTCTCTTCGGGAAGTTTCAACAAGGCGCTTTCGCGAGCAAATTGAAAGAAAACGCGGGCGGTGTTGTGTTACAAACGGTTATTTACAAAGGCTTGTATGGGATGTAAACGGTTTTTCTTAAAAGAGAGAAAAAATGTTATGTTTTTAAATAAAATCGACTTATCTTAGTGCCTTGTTGTATTCTTTGTTGTTTGCCCGTGTCTCAGGCCGTTTTGAAGCGTTTTCGGCGAGTTAGCGCTAGTTTGGTGTTTAACTGCTAAGAGAAAGACAAGGCCGAACAGTGATTTCCGGAGTGTCCGTCGCTCGAGGCGAATAATTGCGCTGGAAATTACCCCCGGCCTCAATTCCTCCAGAAATCAAAGCAGTGATGTTGCAGTTCCATGTCCATTCACTCGATTCGCAATTTCTCCCACAGATAGTTCACTAACGATTCTTTTATCTCTTGCTCGATCGGCTTCCGAATTTCGAACTACTGTAGGCTCTTCCAAACTGCCGTGGTACCCGTTCACCGATCGCATATTATATCGGGTAACTAAAATAAGCCCGGCGAGGGTAGCCAGCTTCCTGCAGTCGACAAACAAATCCGTTACCTCCTCGGGTCCCCTCGAGAGGTTTTGTCAAGACCGCATTGTTTATATGTCGCTGGCTACCCTCGCCGGGCTTATTTTAGTTAGCCGACATACTATACATTTCTATTGTTTCCCTCCATCACCACCACCACATTTGTATTGTTTTTCCTCCTCCACCACCATCACAATTTTATTGTTTTTCCTCCTCCACCACTACCTCCTCCTTTTGTTTTCCTACCAGACAGGCCAAAAAGGCGAAACTCAGGCCAAAATAGCTAAAATCAGGTGGTGGAAAAACAATAGTAATGTGATGAAGGTGATCAGAGGGAAACAACAGAAATGTGGTGGTAGTGGTGTTGGAGGAAAAGCAACAGAAATGTGGTGGCGGTGGTGGAGGAGAGAAACAATAGAAATGTGGTGGCGGTGGTGGAGGAGAGAAACAATAGAAATGTGGTGGCGGTGGTGGAGGAGAGAAACAATAGAAATGTGGTGGCGGTGATGGAGGAGCGAAACAATAGAAATGTGGTGGCGGTGGTGGAGGAGAGAAACAATAGAAATGTGGTGGCGGTGGTGGAGGGAAACAATAGAAATGTGGTGGCGGTGGTGGAGGAGGGAAACAATAGAAATGTGGTGGCGGTGGTGGAGGAGGGAAACAATAGAAATGTGGTGGCGGTGGTGGAGGAGGGAAACAATAGAAATGTGGTGGTGGTGGTGGTATATAGTTTCACTATTTTAATACGAAGGGTAGGGTCGATGTTGGGTAGATGTGGGGTCGATGTGGTCGTGGATAGAAAATATATATAACAAAATGAGGAGGAGGAGGAGGGAGAATAATAAAATTGAGGGAAAATATTAGAATTGTGAAGGAGGGAATAAAAAAATTGAGGGAAAATAATAAATTGTGGAGGAGGGAACAAAAAATTGTGGAGGGAAACGTAGTAAAGAAAGATAGCTTGCTTTGTTTGACTTTTTTAATAGATTCCTTTCAAATCGCTGTGTACTTGACTCTTTTTGTCATTGGTTTTTAATAAAGTTTTTTAAAACGGTATCTCGTGTCTGATTTTATTGCCAGCAATTATTAGTCACGTGTTTAATCAATTGATCCTTTTTAAGTTATTAATTGTTTCATCATGAATGCAGTAATACGTCAAGATGTTCCCTCGGGGTTTTTCCTGTAGAGCTAATTTGATCTAATTTGTATTCAACTTTGGGCTTAAGAACTCGCATCATTAACTGACAAACGGTGCGTGAATTTGCAAAACTTTAATAGTTTTTCATTTCCTCCAGATAGAACGGAGAAAACGGTTTTGTAATAGTCAGACAAAATTGAAATAGAGAGTTTTCAGCTCCACTTTGTGTATATGTGTGTGTGTTTTGTTTATATATAACCGATATAATATATTTAGCGCTAAATAGGTGGTTTTCACGTTACGTCATCGCCGCTATGCTGGTGGACGGTAAACAAAAGATCGCTCATTAGCTCGCTTTGTTTGTCCACCAGCATTTGTTCATTTCACCATTGTTATTTGTGTATCCTGAGATTGCATGAAAACCACCTATAAGAAGACATAAGCTAAATTAAAAAATCCGATTTTGAGCGCTCAATAAGATAAGGTAGTAAGCCGTTTCTCGCGTTGCTAGGTGATCGCTTCTTTTATTCCTACTTATCTTTCCGACATAGACGGTCCGACAAACCGAGCTCAAGTTACTTAACGGGCAAGCCTAGGCAAGCCTATTGTGACTATTGTATAAGGAAGACTCTCATTGGTAAACCTTTCCACTTAATTATACTTGTATATGGTGGAAGGGACTTTTTCTCTAGGTTATAACAATAGGCGACGTCAGACTGACTCGACCCTTATGCAAATCAATGATTTACCTCGACCATATCTCGACACTAACGAGGCTTAATTTTGGTGAAGCATGACTACTAAGAACCTATTTAAGAACCTACATAGCCTAAACGTATGCTAACTACCATTTATATAAGAACCTGTTTAGGCTAACGTGGGAAAATCCAGGTCCTTAGTCGCGGGGTTTACTGTATTTGTTTTAAACACGCCAATCATTCCCATACCCAAACACTTGAGTGGTTGAGCCCACGGGGTTTTTCCCAGGGACTTCACCTGGTGGAGCTTTAAATATTCAATGAATTTTACCGTCTGCAGAACTGAACAGTTTATTCGACGTCAAGGTATAGATGCCGCAGGTGACATTAATCGGTTACTAATAGTGAGGACGTAAGTTGAAATTTCGTTGATTTTTTAGTTTATAGAGACAGACGGCGCATCCATTCGAGATCTCTTATCTGTAAATGTATGACAATGTCTCTAACGGACACCTTCTTGGCCCCTGCATTTCTCAGTACAGTCATTATCTTTGAGTCCCTAAAGGAGAAGGTCATCTCCCTCTAAGACGTGGTAAGCCCATCGCAACGCGCTATCCCCAACGGTGTTCGTCAGAGAGAGAGAGAAAGTCGACAGATGAATTCTCAGAAAATGACCGCTCCAAATAATTTCTCTTAACTTCATGGCACACTGAATCCAGTCCTTTCAGTAAAATGTTCTGTCATTTCTGAAACCTACTTGTAGGTCCTTGAAAGCGGGAAAATAACATCATCAGACTTCTTACTTCTAACGGAAAACATAAGAACATAAAGGCTTCTTGTTCTCTTATGGAAATCTAGTAGCATTTATTTCAACACGATTAAAAATTCAACAAAGCTGATGTGGTCGTATGCACAATAAGACTAATATAAGAATTCTACATAATTCTATTTACAACAATAATAAAACAATTCTACACAGTACATCATCATAATATATGTGGCTTAAAAACACACTCGAATGACTTTTTAACAGCGTCAATGAATTGATCTCATTTGGCGGTTTTCTGGGGCATTGCACAGAATAGTTGACTTGTATGAGCATGATTTCTTAATAATAATGGTGGATCCCGGAAGTGCGAGCAGTGCATAAACTCTGATACATCGTATCCATGGAGACCTTTCAGCTACGGCTAGGAAGAAAATACGCTCGTATGCCTTATATTTTAATCGTGTCCTTTTCGCCTCGCCCCGTAAATCAAATACTATGAATTTCAACTAGATAAGGCAAAGAATTTAATCGTACGTTAGGGTAAACCATTCTGATTAGTGTAAGTGTTATGCAATCGGTGAGTTGCTATATTGTCCTTAATATGCACACGAAGTTTCGGGAAAATAATCTCCTTCATCTGTTCCACATAGTATAGTACTATGTAGGAAAGATGAACGAAGGAGGCTTCGCAACTACGCGTTTGTGACAAACCTTTCGGCACAGACCGAAGATGAGAAGTGTAGTTTATTCAGTGCCTTGCAATCAGTTCGGGCCACAACCAGAACTGGATATATGATTTCCTGTCATCTGATTGGCCTACGCAAAACCAAACCATTGCTTAAACCACAAAAGGACAAACTAAGGCCGAGAGAAATGGCGGAGATGTCGAGTCGAAAGCCGTTCTCCAAAGATACTCATGATATGATGGAATCCTTCCGAACTATCGATCTCTCGACTTTGAGAACTTGCGGAAAATTCCATCGAAAAGTCGTTTTCTTTTCTTTTCTTTACTTGAATTACGTGACACATAGAAACTCGCGAACTATGAGCTTTAATCAGCAAATTTGTTTACGACTTCTTCGCACGATGTAGGCCACCTGATCTTCTCAATTCGGGAGAGCCGAGAAAAGTGAACGCTACCAGTTATAGCGTGCATATATACCCAGGCCGTGGTGAATGGTAAAATCCGAGACTCGCCGAGACGCCGAGATCCTAGTTAGAAATCCGAGCACGAGACTCTTTGGTAAAAACAGGGGCACCCAACGACAATTTTCGGAAAAATATCTGTTGGGAAGACGATTTGAGATCTAGAATTTTCGGAACATTTGTTGTAAATTTCTTGCTTCCCTGCCTCTCCTAGGATTTTCGACCATCTAAAAAATGGTAGAATTGCCTATTTTTAACGGATTTTTACCCTAAAAAGGTCACCTAGAATTTTCGGAAGCCATTTTTCTGGCTGAAATTTTCGTAAAATTAATTTTTGATCCCTATAATTTTCGGATCACTAGACTTTCAGCTAAGAAAACAAACAATATAAAACTGAAAGTAAAATTAGCCGGTACCGGAACTTAAATTAAATTTCAAAATATTTATAGCATAACCATGGAGACCGTTAGTGAGCTACACAGCCGTTTTTAGTGTCGTCACGCAACGCTCCTCCCCACTAAGTGGGGAGGAGCGTTGCGTGACAACACTAAAAACGGCTTTGTAGCAGACTAGGAGACGTTACACCCGCATTATATTCAGTTTTTCCAATAATACTTTCTAGACATTTTTAGAAAAAAATAATAGCATTATGACAGCTCATGATCTAGCCTGCGAGCCGCAGACGTATTTCCGGCCGTCGCTACATAGGTATATATGTCGCTGTGAAGGGTATGGTTTTCAAGCAGTTTACTCCAGGATAGGGTATATAAATCAGAGCGTTTGAGTCTAGAATAGGGTATCACATCAGTTGGTTGAAGATTTTATCTAGACTAGGAGTTTACTCTAGTATAGGGTAGCAAAATTCAGCTGAACTAGCTCTGGTATAGGTTAAGGGTTCCAGGGTCCCAGCGGCACATCCCCACCCAGAAATTCCTTAAGTACCCCCTCCCCCGGGCTTCTCTTTCTTCCCTCTCGGCGGGTGAAACTAGAGCCAAAAACCGGATGCTCTCGCAATAGCCTGAGTATCAGGCCTTCCTAAGGGGCTAGCGGAGAGGAGATTACAAATACAAACAACAAAGATCGGTTGAAGTGTGGACTGTCTCATTTTATTCCTTCACTGTTTCAAGGGTTGTATTCGGTGTCCAGTTCCTGAATTCGCATTTAACACAGCCTTTTTTTTCCAAGGCGGATGCAAACGAAGACATTGATCATTGAAAGTGTAGTCAGGATATTCCTAATCAATTTACCCACAGGTAGCGCAAGCTCGAAATATGAGCATCGGCAAGCATCGGCATCAGGGGGTTGTGTAACAGTCGATATATAAGGATTTGTGTGGGGAGAAAACCTATCGTTTCTGTAACCTACGAAAATGAAAGGATTTCAATAACAAAGTGTGTGCATGTATGCAATCGTTGAAGTTGCCTGATGAGTGTGGTCCTACAATTTCGGACCTTACGAAACAGCATTGTCCGCCGCAAAAAACGATCAATGATTATTACAGAAGCCTGAACTCCTGTGATGATTAATAGTCAATGCTCTGAATGCTCTTCAATTAAATGAACTGAGCGCTCTACAAAATACGTTCTACCCAGAATACAAGTATGTGTGCATTTATTTATGTATGGAAAGTATGTATGTATGTGTGTATGTCTGCCTATGTATGTATGTAACGGTGTTCTCTCTCTACACCCTTTTTTTTTATAAGAATATATTTTATAAGAATATCGAGGCTGAAATTTGCGAAATATTAACAATATTTTAAGAATAAAGCCAAGGCTAAGATTTTGAAAAGGATAGATATAATTTTGTGTGTTGAATCATCTGTAAATACAATACAATTTTATGTTTTTAACTTAACCGTATAAAATTATTCCTTTCTCTGAACGGCGAAACTAGCCAACAAAACGAAAAAACCTGCACTAGCTATAGCAAAATGTTCAACGCTAATGACAGTTCGATGAACGGTACATGTAATATATATACAAGTAACGCGGCCCGACGGATCCACCGAAGCAAAACGGCCATAAATTCGCTCTGGGACAGCGGCTCTGATCGGCTCCAAATTCCGCCTAGGTAACACACGATAGTTCTGCTTTCCCGCAGGATTTGTTTTTTCTTTAAACATATTTTCGTTTTTTCACAGACTTAAAGTATACCGGTAGACTAATTGCAGGTTCATTATCAGCTTTTCATTTCTAAAATAATTAATCCACAAGTTAGCCATAGGCACCCTTTGACTTCTATTTTGTAGTAAACGTACTCCCTCTGCGCTAGTACAAAGAAATCAAATGTACTGTTCTTTTAAGATCGCTCAAACTTTCACTTTTGTGTTGGCTGCCCTACGCAGCCTAATGACGATGATGATCTAATGATAAGGATGGCGGTAACGATGATGATGATCACTATGAATGTGGATGCGGATGGTCATTGGTTTTAATTGGTTTACGTTGGCATGTGCTTAGACTGAAGCGAACATTTACACCGTCTTATGTTAGTTTTTAAAAAATTAGAGGAAGAAAATTAATAAGTGTGATATCCTTCACTGAAGAAACGTTCACGGTTGGAAAATATTTTAGCCATCTTTAGAGCCAATTATGAAACGTTTACATGAATATTTTAATTTGTACTCAACATATATACTCTAATCATAAATACTCATATTTACTCTATACATTAAGGCAAATTTTCTGTACTTAAATTTCAACTTTCAATTCCAGTGCTTTGGTGAAACATGCGCCGAAGTATTTCAGACGTCAAAGAATGGGTGACGACATTTCAGGAAATTTGGAAGTTAGGTCAGGAGATCATTCGCACAGCCTCTTCGAGGAAGAATTATGCCTCAAGGATCCCAACGCGTATTGCATATTTTGCACGAGAGGAAGAAGCAGAAATGAGGGAGAAGCTGAAGATTCTTTGCAAAGGAAGAAATTCCAACAGCGTTGTAAAGACTCTATTACTACATGGACCATCCGGATACGGAAAACATTATTCAGCTGCAAAAGTAATGGACACAATTTGCACATCGCGAATAACAAATTCCTTCGTGTCACGAGCTCACCAAGGTAAAACAAAATTTTTCCTACAAAAACCGGCGATACGGTGGACTTTAAATGCGACAAACACAAGAACCCTATTTGAGAGTTACTCCAGTCTGGCGAAAGAAATTGGATTGATCGACGAAGCCAAAGCTGCCTATTGGGAGCTCCTACTTCACAGTAGGACATCTGAAGGAAGGCAATATCAAATGTACCTACACGATCGTTGTGAAAAAGACGCTTATGACGAAGCTTTGGAACAAATTTACGAAAGAGTTATGAGGGCACTGGGACAAAACGATTCGTGGGTGATTTTGATCGAAGGATCCTCCGAAAAGGTGGCTTCTCTTAGAAGGTTTTGGCCTCAACCTGGTGACAGCGGGTTCGGAAATGGTCTAGTCATAATGACAACTGGTGATAATAACAACTCAAAACTTCTGTTTGGAGATGAAGATGACTCTGTACTGCAGAAAGTGTACATTGGAAAAATGACAAACCACGATGCAATTCAGTTTCTTCAAAGCAAAACGGACATGAAAGCAACTGGAATTGACACAAAGTATGCTAAAGACATAGCTGTCGACATGCTGAAGTGCAATCCCCAAGACATAGCAAAGTGAGCCAGTAAAGGATAATCAAAATTATTTACGTTTTAAGCAACACTAGGACCTTAAGTAGAGAACTTCATATACATTGTACCCACCCTTGAAGAGTCTGCCATGTAATAGCTACTCTGGAGGAAAAAAATTGATAACCCTGGATGACCCAGCTTAGATGTTTTATCTTTGATTCCTCTGTAGAAAGATATGATAGTACACATTATTTTTTCCCTCACTCCAAAGTTATTCTCATCCATTCAATTTCCAAAGGCTGTATAAGGCAAGGATAGATTCTCTAAATTTATCTTACTGTTTTGTTTTTCTTGACTTTAGGTTTGGAAAATTTGTGAAAAACTACAAGGAAGAGACCAAAAGGAACCTTACTTACAAAGATTTAGCTGGGACGGAAACAGAAACTCCTAATGAGTGCATGTTGCTCCTCGAAATGACTCGTAAAAATCAAGAAAAGGTACTTGCCAACAATTGAAGAGAAGAGAGTAGTGTCAATTAAATTAATAGTTAATGAATAAGGCTGAGTATCGTATGAAGAATTATGGAGATCGAGGAGGATAACACCCTCCTAGATCTCCATAATTCTTCACATGATACGAAAGCCGAATTCAATAATAGTTTTGTTATTCATTCAAAATAATTTCTGGTTTTATAAAAACATAGTCAAAACATGCTTACCTCCATCGATGTTATTTAAGTTCATCTTTGGTAGTGCACGTTTAGGCGGGTTGTTCAGCTCCGCAAATATTCTCCAATTAGCAGCTGTCGCCCTTCGAGTTGTCTTCTTGCTGTTCTTGCCATGTTTTTAGCTATTATTTCGCCTTGTTCTTACTCTTGAAACCAGTGAAATGTCCGCCATTTTTGTTTTCACAACCATAATAACTCAACCTCGTCCCCAGGTCTTCTCGGCCAACTGTGCATTAACCTTCAAGGAAGCAGCACGTTTGACGTCATCGGTTGATTAATCGCAAAATTCTTCCAAATTGAGACTGACACGATATAATAATTACCGATCCGCCTTGCCTTCAATTTTAAGTGTCATCAGTTCTCTATTGCAGATCCTGATCTACACAAAGATCAGGCTTTCCCGCTTGTCCATGTGTTAGTGGTCCGGGCAAGAATTGTTCGCCGCAGGAGCCGATCGCCGATATAACAATCCGAACAGCATTCAGCGGCAATAGAGACTATCTAGATCTTAATTTTTCAATTTTCACCGCCGGAATGCATGCTGACGGTAAAAGTCCTGCAACGGGCGTCTGTTGCCGTCTTTGAATCCTCTCATGTACCTAAACAGATTCGCGGGCAGAAAGCTATTTAGCGGATACTGTCGACGCCCCCCAGCTGTGTATGAAAATAAGGCTTTGATTGAGTTGAGGATCCCGATCCGGGATTTCCCTCATTTAAAGCTCGGGATTCGGGATTTTAAAGCAAAATCGTGAGAGACTCGGGATTGAAAGTGTGCGCGCGAGTTAGAATGCCCAAAATAACCCACGGGATTACGGGATTGCACGAAATTTTGGGTTGGGATTACGGGATTGAAAAACCCTATTGGGGACCCTCTGAGTTTTGTGACTTGAAGTTTCCTGATAAACGGTCTCAGCATCATGTTATCAAGCATAAGAGCAAAAAATCAAACGGTTTAGAATAACCCTGTGAGTTTCTGCTAAGTGGTAATGTTCATCAGTCCCCATAACTAATTCCCTCAAACATTTCGACCCATGAACGTGATGAAGTCGAAAACGGTCGGTAAACCAGATCTCGTTCGTCTTTACCGGTGCATTTTGAATCGTTTCATTGCGGTAGGGGAAGAAAAAAATGAATGGTGAAGCCTACGAGCAAGCCCACTTGTGCGAATGCGGGGAAAATATTGGAGACGGAACCTCCATCGCGCGTTTCCTCGCGGTTAAAGAATCACTAGGCATGTTGGATTGGATAGGAAAGGCACCTTGCATAGGACTTTTGAGTCCTGTTCATTTCGTCCCCTCTGGGTTGGGCTGTGCTCAGAAAATTAAAGCTGGTAACGAAGTTAAAACGTGGTAAAACAAAATGCTGGGTCTTTGAGGATGTCACAACATTTGACCTGGAGCCCGATGTTGATAGGGTTGTTGATAGGGGTGTCAGATGGTTCCTTCCTCGACTCTCAACAAAAGTTGAAAAACTAACTTAACATTCAGATCCTTTGACTAAACCTTGACAGGTGCCAAAATAAGATCCACTTTTCCATCCAAACTATGAAAACAAAGATTTTCACTAGCTTCATTTTGTTCACGACGAGTTTTAGAATCTATTTTGACCGCGGTAGTAAAATGGAGTCAGCGTTTCCAAATCGGCTCCAGAGTAGCTCGAAAAGTCGTTTGAAATGTGACGAAAATTTGGAGTAGTAAATCTTACATTTCGGTTTGGACAAACAAACGAAATACGAGTATAGAAGCGGCTAACTCAATATACTTGTATTTAATGACAGTCACAAAAACAAAACTTGTTTTTCTATCTTTTGGCAGATTTTGAAATTTTTGGCTTGCTGTTCGGTTGAATCCGGCTATTTGCCTTTACACTGTCTAGAGAGCTGTTTTAAAGAGGCCACAGAGACTGTAAAACAAAGCAACTTTGTGGATGTTCTTGAACGCGACGGAGTAAAAGTAGTGACGATGCATGAGAGGGATCATAAGACACTGAGGGACTTACTGACCGGTCGAAAACTATCAACATGCGGTAAGAAAGGAAAAGGGGGTACTATTTTGGGAGAAGTTTGTTAAGTTATTGTAGCAAATTTGAAAATAAATTCATTTAAGGTCCTTTCCAATTTTAATGTATATAGAAATATTATTGTCTTTCAACTATAGTCCCCTCATATTTAGCATTTAGCACTCTTTTAGTAGCCTATGCAAGGGAGCACCAACTGTCGCAAGGTTTTCAATTTTCTTCCTGCTCTTCTCCAACAGCTCGGTTGAGCTTGAATGGTCTTTTGAGTTTGCCATCCAGCTTTCACGGATATTTCTAGAATAATTTGAGACCTGAAAACACCTAAAACGAGGGAGTACCTAGGATTTCCTCTTTTTTTCCGGCGCAGTCGATTTCGTTGGAATCTGTGTCTGCGAATGGATGCAGGTGAGCATTCTCATGTCCTTCGATCCGTGCATCAGATTAGTGATTAGCTGCTTGTGATTCCGAGCCTGCTGAGGATTTTTGTCCTGGTCCTGTATTTTCCTTGTAGTCTTATACATATTTCCTGATCGCCAGGTATGATGTATATTTGAGGGGCTGACAGGGACCGCGGAGACCATTTTAAGCTGGCCAATATAAAGAAACATTCAGGCTAGGTCGGTGTTTCGCCATTTATCTTGCATTTGCGCGCCACCTCAACAAATATAAGAAAAACGTCCACACGTGTTGTACTATCCAATATAGCCAATATGTTACATAAAACTCCTGAGGTTGCTACTTTTTGAAGTTGCCCGAAGTGCCGAAGCTTCTCTTGCGATTCTTAATGCGGAAAACAAACTCCTGTGTAGTTGTTATAGAGACACTGTTCTAGGCTTGTGACCATTCGGCACTGCTAGATCACCCATCCTGGGTAGAAGCCACGTCTTTAGATGCCGTGCAGATGAGAATGAACGCTCGCCAGCAGTGCTGGTTGCAGGATTTGCTGGAGGCAGCTTACAGATAGTTTGGGCTTCCTGAATTAGCTTCTCTTCTGGTTTTGGAAACTTTGACACCGCCTTCAGGATTTTGTCAAAACATGCTATCTTCTCCTATAACATAACTTCCAAAATACTTAGTTGAATGCCCGGGTAGCGCGCCTGTATCAACATCTTCTCCGTATGATGCTTCAAGAAACTTGAACTCTGCCTTATAGTCGTCATCACCATTAACAGCTTTAACCAAGAAGGTGTCCATCTGGGCGTAGGAGCTGAAGCTTTCCTGATAGATAGGACTGACGATAACATCAATAGCCTCATAATAGACCCTTCTAAAGTGATCTTTGGCAGTTTGGGGGTAGCTTGGTGTGCCAGCACCAACCTCTAATCTGGCCGAAGTGCATCGCTTTCTTGGAAGCGTTGGTTTACCAAGCAGGCCTTCGCTCTTGCGGGAAATATTAGCATAGAAATGGTCAAAGCTCTGATCACTGGGCATTTTTGTGAGCGTCTCCTTTGTTAGACTTGCCACCTGAAGATCCTTAGATAGATTATCGGTGTGGGAATGAAGCTGCCCTTCAAAATGCAAACCAAAGAAAAAGTCAAATTGCTCCATTTAGGTCTTACATCCTATTATCCTTGCACGCACATCGGGTTGTAATCGTTCGGACGAGCAAACATCCCACTCTTTCATATTAAAGAACTGCATAGTTCTCAAGAATTAGTCGAAAACAACTGGCTCTCACCGTCCACCTTTAAGGGAAAAGTACAATAATTCCACGAAAACTTTTTCCATGTCAACTGGAGCCCCAGAAAATAAATCCCAGCAAAAAAGTGGTAGGGCTATAGCCCTACCAGCCCCTCCCCCTCCGCGGTCCCTGGCTGAATGATGGTCAATGGTCGATTACCGAAGAACTAATTTACCTGATTGTCATGTTCCCTCTCGTCCCTTATTGAGCATAACTATTATGTAATTTTCTTACTCGCTGACTTCTTGAGCATTTAACTTTCCTATTTGACACAAAAATTAACAAAAAAAAAGACAAAAACAACAATCTTTTTTTCTACACCCGTTGTGATTTTATGTTGTGTTTCAAAATTTCAGGGGAAAACTGGTCTGGCTTTTTTTGGCAGCTCGTGAACCAATGGATTCCAAATGGAGACAAGACAATCAAGATTATCCCACCGACATTGACACCAAGTGATGTCCTTCAGGCAATCAAATGCCTAAGCAGCAATTTTAAAGATGTCCTGCAACAGAGCAGAGATCAGGACTTCATTATGTTACCCAAAATATTACCACATTTAAAAGAGGCAGTGGAGGTAACTAACAGACTCATCATTTACTCTTAATAAATCTTTCTAAGACCTTCCAAAGATTGCCACAATTACTTCCGAATAAATTATTGTCTTAAAACTAAGGCATGGAGGGTAGAAACGAGTAGAAACTGCCCTGGTGGAAACTTCTAACAATTCAAGAGGCGTAACCCAAGGAAATGTTATTTTAGTCTTGTAGGGTGGAACCCTGTTAGTACGGTCACCAGTGGGTCAAAAAAATTTGGCCATATTGACGGGGTGGCCGTATTACCGGGGCAGGGTCAAATTTCATGAATTAAGGGCTGTTATGACAAATACAGGTAGGACTTTTCCACGGGTGGCGTTTGACAGGTGACGGGTGGCGGGTGGCGGGTGACCGGAATATATATATAAAAAACCTCAAGAAAGGATATGTCCAATTTGTAAAGAAGAAATATCATGAAAATGGTAAAGCTACATAAAATTACCGGAAACGCTAATGGGAGTTAGCGGAAGCCCACCAATATACTTGTTTTACTGTCTTAATCTACTAGCTGAGTTTGACTAATAAGCTGTACTCATCAACTCTGAAAAATTGGACTCCTGAAGACCACACGGATTAAAGAAAAAACGAGAAATCCGAGACTCCGAGACACGTCGGCAAAAAAATTGAGACTCCAAGACGGAAAAATCACTCGAAAACGAGACTTCGAGACCCATCAATAACGCTTCCGAGATTTGGAGATGGGACAAAATTTTCCGATAGCCACATTTTTCGAGGAACCATTTTTTTCCCCTAGAAAAGAAACGTTCTATTCAATTACTTGAAAAACGAGTATCTAATATATAACAGGCAAGAATCATTTCCAGTTTATCAAATGAAATGTTCATGTTTCTCATAAATTGTCTACTTCAGGCTACGCATACTTACGCGGACTACTTTTCCCAAGACTTTATTTTCGCAAATATGGAAAGTATAAAACTGAGAAATCATGCCAAACGGTGTAGCCTGCGAAAACAAACGTCTTTCCTAGCTCCGTGCCGCAAGGCACGTTTCGCCAGGCTAGACACGGTCAAATCGAAATGGGAAAGAAAGACATATGGCATTTGTCTGGTGATAGACTGTTCACAGTCCCCGAGTTTTTCTTGAAGTCGTCGAGATATAGCGCGTCTTACCGTTAATGGCGGCCATCTTGATATTCAAATGTACCGAGGGAGCGGGCGTCGGAGATTATAGCTTTAGGGGCAGGGGAGTTAGGGTTAGGGTTAGATGCAAGATGGCAGCCCGTAACGCAAAGCGCTCGATCTTGACGATCTTACGGAAAAATAGAGGACTGTGAACGGCCTAGTCTGGTAACCTTATCCAGAACTCGAAGTGAATTCCCAGGAACAGGCTTCCATGCCTTGTTAAATAAGCGGGCGTGTGTTAAGAAAGACGTCAGACTTCTTAGTTAGGTATGAGCTTCTGCAAAGTAATTGCGAGAAAGACTACATGGCAAGTCTATTATGGGGGGAGGGGTATGGGGTAAGCTTCCCGGAGAGCATCATGTAAAGCGCTGAGATAAGACAAAGTTATTACGATTCGCAGAGTCTGCATCGTCTAATATCGTATTATATTCTCGTTTCATTTGGCTAAACGGATCAATCACCCTGATCCCGGCTGAGACAGAAACGTACGATATTGTTCGCTTTTCTAAGGTGACGACTAAGTCTAAGTCAAATGAATTAGGTGAGAGCAAAAGTGCAGGTGAACTTTGACCCAGGCCAAGACGTCGTTTTTTTCTGGTGTGAAAACAAGGCCAGGGTGATCCGCCGACCGTGTGACTCTACATTCGGGAACTTGAATAAGACGAATGTAAGAGAAAAGTCCAGAGGTGTTTATCTGGCAATAGGCTGAGTTTTTCCTAGTTATTCGATGATATTTCGCTTATGTTAAACGTGAGAAGATTATGCATGGTTGTGAATAGTCTTATCAGTGCCGCGAAAGTGTGTGATTGTGTGATTTCCGCATGGTGTTGACAGGTATGTGATCGCGTGGTTGAACTGAGCTTTCGCCAAAACATTCTGTGCCAGCCATTAATATTGTTTCGTCGGTGTTTAGCTTAGCTGATTGTACCTTGGAAAAGCAGCTCTCGACTCAGGAAAATTAGATCTAGGTCTAGTTTCAGCAGGCTCTAATGGCATTGCACCATAGGCCGGTTTTTGCAGACAAGAAGGTGATAATTTGTGCACACATTCCGGGGCACACATGTTTCATTCAGTTTGTTGTCTATTTCATGCGGAATCCTGTTGTTTATCGGACCGCGAAAAAAGTAGTGTTTTGCTAACTATTTAAGTTGTTATGTAAGCCTTAACTAGGCACTCTTTCGCTGCAGTTCACTCAACTTAAAAATTTCTGGGCTGAAATGACACCGGTTTGAAACTTCACGAAGTCAGTTTACTGAATAAATGTTCTAAAATTTGCGTCATTTTAAATTTGGACTCCGAGGGACCATTAATTAACTTACTGCCCGGCGTCAGTTAAAGGCTTTTAATTGGCCTTTGAATGAGTTTTGTTGTTTTAAGTTGCCAAGTAGTAGAATGAGTTGATATTTTTGCTGACCCGGTTTTCAAAAATCCAGGTATATATATATCTGTCTGGATTTCATACAAGGTGCCTGTACTGAGTCTCTAGACGGTCAAGTCCAAGGAGCCATTACTCACCCTCCCCACCCATGAAGCTTATGACAAGTCAATCACTTCCCCCAATCTCTGCTAGCTGTGTTATGATTATGAGTCACCCCATTGATTTGGCTGGCCTAGCCCACTTTGCACTGCTTTCTGACATAAAACTCTAGTCAAAGTGACAAAATCTCCCCTCCCTACACCCCTGGTTTTCACACAAAACAAGGAAGCCACCCACCCACGGATAGGTCTGGGCCTGGGCTCAGCTGACACCTAGCAGGACGGCAAGACCCCTGGTCTTTTTGCTGCTACACTGGCTTGAACACGGGCGATGCCCGTGTTCAGGCGAAAACTTAGCAGGCACCTTTTAGCAAAATCACACAGATTACATATACATATGAATGTGGTCCTTGGTCCGGCCAGCCCTAGGTCCGGCCGGTTTAACTTTGTGATATAATTTTCGGGGAAAAAAATAAGACTACAATACAAACGAGTTTTTCGCAGTGTTTATTGATTTCTTTACCTTGTCAAGCTCGATTCGAGGTTTTCCTGATGCTAGTGAAGCGCTGGAAAATCGAGTTAACGCGAACGTAGGTGAAGTTTGTTCTGTTATTTGTGTCTTTTTATGTCGCCTTAATTAAATTACTTGGGTATGTTTTGATTTCACGCATGTGCGATTAATGTATCGGTCAAATCGAAGCTTCAACATGCCCCCCCCCCCCCGGGCAACCCCCCGGGCGTTTGACTTTTTTGAAAATTATTGTTCAAATTCCCCCCTACCCGGGCCAAAATGCCGTTCAAATGCCCCACACAAGGGTCCGTTCAGGTGATCAAATGCCCCCACCCCGGGGACATTTCACAGGCACTAGGCTTTTGTACATTATGCTTTTGCTTCCCCACTAAAATGCTCCACCTTCATGCTCCATTTTTCCCACTAAAATGCTCGGTCTCCCCAAAAAAGTCACTAAAATGCTCGGATAATGCTCATTATACAAACGGTTTTTTTAATTAATTTCAAAGTTTACACTTACAAAAACGTGAAAGTGTTGCAAGTAACAACGACAATGTGCACAAGTTCATAAATACAGCCAAAAAAACAGCTGTATTAGGTTTTTTGTGAATTTTGAGTTTTAGTCTTCATTTTCTTTAAAAACGCAGGTGCTCGTGGGGCATGGGCTCCTGAAAAAAGTTAATTTCTATTTTATTTTCTCGGAAAAATTAATTTTCCGGGGAAAATGCCACTAAAATGCTCGAATAATGCTCAATGCTTTTGCCTCACTAAAATGCTCGAAAAAATGCTAGCATAATGTACAAAAGCCTAACAGGCACATAATGACAGAAGGACGGCCGAAACGCCTTCAGTTGTCGAACAAAATCTTTATAAATACAGCAAATAATTCGCATTAAATATAACAAAAACTGAGAAACACTGTTAGTGTATTTACTACAAACAAACTTCTCGTGCAAAGCGACGGAAATCGCTGCTACAAGGTCACTGAATGCTCAGCTTTTCTTCATGTGTCATGCAACAAAAAAACGTTCTATAAAAAAAATCCCACCTACTACATCATGACCATTTCACTGACATGAATCATCGCTCGCCTTAAACATGCGGCAGGTCGAAGTAATATTGACCTCTGTTGAGCTTTTTATTGTTGCATTGAATCGCTGGTAATAGGTCATTGTAAACACAACTTTTATACATTCATGTATTCAAAACCAAGCTTGTTTAAACCCTTTCCTCGTATTCAATTGGCCACAAAGGCACAATATTTTCCACGAAAATCCCCCAACACCGCGTCCCCCATGATAGCCCGCCACGGAAGAGATTTCACATGAAATCGTGGGTGCAGTTCAAATTCCCCAGCCCAACGCATAGAGATCAAATTCCCCACCCCCTGGAAGACTCTGATAATCAAATTCCCTCCTCCCCGGGACGGCAAAGGTGTCAAATGCCCGGGGTTTGCCCGGGGGGGCATGTTGAAGCTTCGATTTGACCGATACATTATTTTCTATGATCCAGGATTTTTGGAAAAGCTCAAAAGCTGTCGGTTTGTCATAATTTAGTTAAATGTTACGGCAACCAACAGGACAAATTTCAGCTCACTACGTCTCTTCTAAGATAAGAAATACTTATTTACGTCTTTTTCGTCCGGACCAAGGACCACATACTGTATATATGTATATTCGTGTCACCCGTAAGTACGACCGTTTTACCCGGCCGAAAAAACATGGCCGTAATAATATAGTGACCAGGGGCGTAGCCAGAATTTTATATATGGTTTATACCGCTGCTCTCCCTCGTGTATCAGCGGGCTCAGTCGTATTATCGCGGCATGAAGGCCCATATTAACTAAAGACAAGAGCCGTTGACGAAAATACTTTACGAAAAAACAAATTGTAAAAATTTAAAGTGGGCTTTTCAACAATGGCTTTTACGGCCAAGATATTATCATGGCGTTTTCGCCACCTGAATATTGTAGGTTGTTTGCTCAAAAGAAGGCCTACCAAGGGGAGGTCACGGGCACCCCAGGACCCCTCCTTGCTACGTCCCTGGTGACCGTACAGTGGAACCGCGCCTTACGACCACCCCGTTTATAAGACCACCTCGTTATTACGGCCATGTTCTTTCAAAGCAAACATAAAAAACATTGACTCATTTTATTATTTTGAAGACCCCGTTAATGCGACCACCTCGTTATTACGACCAGGATTTTATGGCCCAACGGTGGTCGCATTAACGGGGTTCCACTGTATTACCAAGGTGGCCGTATGGCGGGGTTCTATAGTAGCTCAAGCTGAATTTAAGAAGTTATGCATTTCTTTAGTTATAGTCTACGATTCTTTATTTTACAACTTAATTAAACAGCTGAGCCATAAACTGATACCAGAAAGTGAACTCGAGAAAAATCAACTGGTCTTGGCTGATGGACACGCATGCCTAGGACAAATGTTGCTCTTTGTTGGTAAATCTGAGGAAGCGATATTAAATCTGCAGTTTGCCTTACGTGGTTTCGAAGATTACAGCAGCCCGAAGAGTATGCTACTTGACAAAGCAAATGTGCTTCACTTTCTTGGAGAGGCGTACAGAAGCAGGTATAGTAGGTTTTGTTAAATTACTGTGATTTTTAGGCCTAAAAATTCAACTTCAACTTTATTTCATAAGACTATTGGTTACAATAGACTGGCCCGCAAAATAGCAATTGCTAATCTGGGCGGACCAGTTAAAAGAAAAATAAATTGAAAGGAAAAGAAAGGAAAGGAAAGGAAGGAAAACTACAATTTTAAGTTACAATAAATAATATTCTATCACAGTTTTATTTTAATTACATTAAATCTGAACAAGCAAACAAACAAATACTTTAATACAGAAACCACTGAACTATTAATCGAACTTTTTCAACTATTAAGGGCGTCTCAATATAGTCATCTTCTCTTTTTAAGATATCCGAAAGCAATCTGTGAAGTACTTTCCTAAATTTCTTTTTAAGAAGATCTCTAATATGACAAGGCATCTCATTCCAAAGTTTTACACCAAAGCGAGACAAGGAGTTTTTGTGTATTTCCAGCTTTGAGCTTTTGACGTGAAAGTTACCTGAACTAGATGATCTTGTATAGTATGAATGAATTGTTGAGGTTTTTTTCAAATAAATTGAGCAGATTTGTTGGCGAATTGTTGTTGTTAATATCGTGCATTAGATTAGCCACAGTTTTATAATACATAAATGACACTGGTAATATGTCAGCGTCGATAAATAGAGGAATTACGTGTTCACGTATATCCGTAAAATACATCATGCGAAGCACTTTCTTCTGGAGAATTAAAATTTTATTGAGGGACGTCTTGGATGCCTGACCCCAGGCAGCAAGACCATAGTTTAGGTGAGGGTGGATTAATGTTTGGTAAATATATAACAGTATATGACGGGGTATGGAGTGCCGAAGTTTTGAAATTAGTCCAATGGTTTTACTGATTTTCGCCGTAATGGCGTCAATGTGATATTTCCAAGTAAGACTTTTATCAACGAACACACCAAGGTATTTAATATAATTTTTGCACTCTAGAGTTACATTTCCATTTTTTTCGTTATCGAACATGTAGAGGCTCGGTTGGTAAGTGACTTTTTTTTGATCAGGATGAAAGATTACAAAGTTAGTTTTTGTAGTATTGAGAGTTAACTTGTTGGATGTTAACCATTCGTGGAGGTTTTGTAATTCGATATTTACTATATTTTCTAGGGACTTTAAGTTTTTATCGGCATAAAGGATATTAGTATCATCTGCGAAGAGATAAAACTTAAGTTTATTCGAGCATTGATGTATGTTATTAACATACAATAAAAAAAGCAACGGGCCGAGCACAGATCCTTGGGGAATGCCATAACTTACGTTGGCTTTGTTTGAAATGTATGGTCCGATTTGGGTAGATTGCATCCGATTATTCAAATACGAGGAGAACCAATCATTAATAATTCCACGAAAACCATAGTGATTAAGTTTGTCAAGCAAAATGTTATGATCGACAGTATCAAAAGCTTTCTTGAGGTCTATGAAGACTCCGCACGTCACCGGACACATACAATTTGTTTTTAACCATAATGGATGCTTTTAATCCAGTGGTAATCCAAGGCTTAGAAAGCTGTTTGGCTTTACGATTTGATAACTTTGTAATAGGAGCATGTTTGTTTACAATCTTATTAAATTTCTTATAAAAAGTTGAAAATAATTTGTCTGGATCAGTTGCATGATTTACGAGCATACATTCCCAGTCAACCTCAGAGAGTTCCCTATTGAATTGGTCTGCGGAAAAATTAGAAAAATCGCGTATCTTGGTAGTGTACCCTCTATATTTATCTCTTGCTGCTTTGATTATGCAAAATTGAGAGAAGTGATCGCTAATGTCGGAGATGATGTTACCGCTGAGAAGTATTTGGTCAGGGTTGGTTAAAAACATATTATCAATTAACGTAGCTGAGTTCCTATGGACTCGAGTGGGCTTATCAACTGTTGGAATGAGATAGCAACTTTGTAAGGACATTAAGAAGTCATGGCTAATTTGAGATGTTTCGCATTTCAATAGATCTATGTTGAAATCGCCCATGATAAATACATTTTTATTAAGAGATGTCAATTTTTCGATGGTTTCTTCGAAGTAAGACATAAACTGATCCGGAGAATTGTGTTGGCGATGTATTATACCACAGACAATGTTTTTGTTATTTGCAAAAGATATTTCAATCCAAAGGGCTTGAAAAGCTTCATTAGAGATCTTTTCTAAAACTGTGTAATTTAGTGATTCGTGAATGAAAAGGCCGACACCTCCAGATGCTAGAGGTGTTGGGACAAAGCCCGGGGGGGGGCACCTGGGTATTTTTTGGGTGGGTATGTGCCGCCCGGGACTCCAAATTGGCACCCCGTTCTAGAAAAATTTTCCCCTAAAATTGATACCCCGTTGTAGAAATGGGCCAATTTTTTTATACCCCGTTCTAGAATTCGCCCTAAAACTGATACCCCGTTCTAGAAATGGGCCAATTTTTTATACTCCGTTCTAGGGTGCAACAAGAGTACAACGGTTTGCTTGTTAACGCATTGAACGGTATTTTTAAAAGCAATCTGTCCTTGAACACTTTCAAATGGCTGCTTACAAAAGTGGAGCTTTCGTGCGTTCGAAATATTATACCCCGTTCTAGAAAACGCCTCTGAAATGGATACCCCGTTGTAAATCAAAAGCTTCAAAATCACGACCCCTTTGGGCGGCACATACCCGTATAGGTAATGTATGGGAGTACCCACCCCCGGGGGACAAAGTCGAAAACATATCCCGGTATGCAAGAAAAAGACCCGTTCTCATTTGAATTTGTAATTTTGGTCTCTGTGACACCAATTAAGTTAAATTGAAAGTCGAGTTCATCCAGTAGTAATGTTAAATTTTCCAAATTTTGGTTAATGCTTACAACATTATTGTGAAAAACTGAAAAACTGGACTGAACCTCACTGTTAGATTGTCTGTGATCGTTATTGTTATTATTTAATTGACCGTCAGGATTAGTAAACAGATCTAGATCAAATAAGCTGGATAATTTATCTAGATGTCTCCTACACTGGGAAGTAGTGGACACCGAATTATTAAATTGGTCATGAAAGAGGGCTAAATTGCCCCTAAAAGTAAAGTAAGGCAGCTCTTTGAGTGTTGATCTTTGAGCTTTTTCTTGGACCTTATTTCCTACGGCGTAACTTCATTTTAAGCTAATTTAAGCGATAGAGCGAAGAAGGTTTTCAGAATTACCCCGCTTAATGCAACTCTAATATCTCAAAGTACTTAGCTTATCGTGACTCCCTCAGTTCATTTAATTCGTCTAGGCTTGTTAGCTTTATGACTGTTGATGTTTCCGTTTTGCGCAGACAGACAGCTCCGTTTTTCGCCCAACAGAAGTTGAAATTATTGGCGTTCTTGTATTTCTTGCTCTCGAAGAGAAGCTCTTGTAGTCGAGGAGTTAGATGATCACACAAGTTAATATGACTGATTTCAAAATCGTCAGGGAAGCCTAACTGTGACGCCTCGAGGTTCTCCAATCTCCTTAAAAAAATATAAATAAATAAAAATTAAAATATATAAATTCAATTTAATTCTCATGTTAGTTTGAACTTGTTCTTTAAAGCAATCTTGGGGACCCTTCAAGAGGGGAGCGGTATCTCAAAAGAGCACTGAAAGGAAAAGAACAGTATTACAAGGGAAAAGCTGACCATCAAGTTGCTTTCACCTTAAGAAGTCTTGCAAATGTCTTGAACGAAATGGGGAAGCACAACGAGGCTATGTGAGTGTCATAATTGTTTGTGTCGTATTATTCACCTATTGAGAGTTCGATTTCGAGTCCAACCTCAAAATAGAAGTTGATTTTCATTGATGAACTGCAAAAATTAACATTTTTGCTACAAAAATGAACTTGATAAAAGCATAAAATTTCTCTTGTAGTGACTTCGCAAAGAGAGCTGTTGATATCCATTTTCAAGGCGGCTACAAGTTCAGGCAAGAATATGGCTACAGCCTGAGTACACTGGGATCGTCGTATCGTTACCTGGGTCAGTATGTTCAGGCGGAAAGATTCCTAAAAGAAGCTCTCAAGATTTTCAGATCGGTTGATGCGCCAAGCAAGCTAAGGGTAACAGTTTTTACATTGTTTCGCTCATTTCTTTAACATCCACGGGCACATTCAGATCAATGACAGACCGTTAAAATGTTACTGTAGCCAGACATTGATTATCACTACAGGAGATAGAAGAGTGAAATTATATAATTTCACTCTTCTAATCCTGATATTTTTCAACTTTTTCAAATTCCTTTTCATGTCATCCGTACTATTCGGCAAGTTATAATGAGAATTATTCATATTATTATAAACTATTATCTTTATCATCATTATTGTTATTATTATTATTATTATTATTATTATTATTATTATTGTTATTACTATTACTTCAGGCCTACCAGTAAAGCTTTTAATATCATAGGTGACAAATTACTCCTTAATTTTGGCGCGAAATTTCATCGTTAATTTGTAATTTCACATGTGAAATTACTAAATTGCCATGGCAACCTGCCGTACGTCTCCGTTTCAAGATGGCGACAAGTTTTAAAATGTCATGAATGAAGATGTCAGGGCATAAAAAGACGCTTTAGAAAACCTGAACACACGAAAGAGCACACCAAGAAGGATTCTTAGAGGTATGTAGTCGAAAAATTCTGAAAACTTAAGCCAAATTTCAGCTCTAAACGTTTGAGAGAGTGGAGTTCACGATCGATCGATACGATCCAGGATAAACAAGTCAAAATCCTTGATTGCTAAGGTAATTCGTCACCCATGATATTAATAGGTAATCAAATGGTATACTCGTGAAATTAGGGAATAATTTCACTTGCGTTTTGATTTGGACAAAACGCGCGTGAAATTATTCCCTAATTTCACTCGTCATCATTTGATTACACATACTAATTATTTGGGCGTGGCCCAAATAGAGTAATGGAAACGGCTTGTTTTGACGCAAATGTGTAATAGGCACGCAATACGTGCTAATGTAAACAAGGCAAGTAAACAAGCGAAGCGAGGCGAATGTCTGCCGTGCGAACGTCTTGTACAAGGTAAGAGGCATGTGGGAAAGAAAGCTCTGCTTGCACACGGCACTTAATCGCACTTTTACGATCTCAAAAGTTAATCTGACTCTTCAGTATTTTTGCCTCATCGAAATTTGGAAGTCTGAAGTCCAGGGATGAAGTCTATCAAAAATATTTGGAATATTAACGTCGGGTTTTGGTCACAATAAGATCACAAGCAACGAACCTTGAAACACAGAAACACGAAAAACGGATCGAAATCCACCAATCACAAATCATAAACAATGACCTTTTGAACCCGTTGAAGAAAACTTTCGTTTCCTAAGAGGTCCGCTAAGATGATTGACGTCTGACATTTTTTGACGAGAGGATCGAAATGCACCAATCATAGAAAAACACTTTTAATTGCATGTTTCCTAAGAGGTCATCTGAATTTGCTGTTTTCTTTATTTTATGTCCATTTTTTGTAATTGGTCGATTTTGTTAGGTCGAGTGGATAATCCAATGAGGGACGATTTGGATATCGTTTGATCCGAGATTTTTCGAAGCAACAGTGAGAATCAGTTTGGATAACATTTGGCCGCGGCGTTTCGAGGAACGTGTTAATATATTGTTCAATCATGTTATCCCGGGTTAAACTTACAAATGCACACACTGTTCGCGGTAAGCCCACACTAAAAAATAACACTCAGTGTTTTCGGAATGGGCTGGTCCGCGAACTCAAAGAAAAACAGAGGAAATTATCAAGACATTCAATGACATCAAAGACTCATGAACCCCATAGACGTAATAACAAATCGGAATATCAGGAGTGTACGTGTAAAATGGATAAGAGTTTGAATAGAGGAAAGTTGAACAAGTTTGAGAGTCGCAAGATTTGTGTAGCTGGTTAGCAGTGTGACAATAGTGATTTTGATTTTTGCATTGCGGAACACAGCGAGTTGCCTGTGATAAAAATCTGTTCCAATGAAGGAAGAGACGATTGTCAACAATTGAAACCAAAAGGGACTTAGGCTTCTTTTGGAACTACTGTGATAACTGCAACAATTCTTTTTATTATTTCAATTTTGTTTAGCAGGGTGACGGTTAATGTACTTGTTTTTGTATTGCGTGTTGTGTTTTTTCATACGATGCTGTGCGTCGGGATTTTGTGTTAGTGTTTTGATGGCAGCAAGGTGACGACAAGAGAAGGTAATGAGCTAGTTGTACAGAAGGAAAATTGTGTTGTGAAGGAATTAAAAGAAGATGATTTGAGATGTCGCCGTGGGAAATTTATTTATAACAGAACTTACAATTTCATTGGTTTAAACCAGGTTAGTCCATTATATTTTCGGCATGACAAATTACCATAAAATCGTTGTTTTCAAAATTTGCATAAATCGGCCCGCTGCAAAGAAATATTTAGGTTACAAGCGCTTCAAAATACTGTACCTTCAGAGCGGCATAGCTTTTACTTGTTGTGCTATATCTTTCAAAACTATCGATCGATTCTAGCTCAAAACTCTCAAAGCAGCGGTTTAAATGTTAAATCCCGTGGCTGGTTGAAATCGTCTCTTGTTTGTTTTCAAACGTTTTTAGGATGGATCGAATCGACTTTGGATCGATTATCATTTTATCACCTTGTGGTATGACCGAAACGTTTTTTTTCTCGATAAAGTTCACTCAACAAATTTAGAAAGATTTACTTGACTTTTCACATGTGGAACGAACTGACTTTTTTGTGGAACGAACTGACTACTTTATGGAACGATCTGACTATTGATTGGAACGATCTGACTTGGAACGATGTCAACGATCTTACCATGGAACAAAATGACCGGTTACCGTCATGCCCCTAGCAGACTACCAATGAACAAATTAAAATCTTTGTTACAGAAAACACGGAAAGTGAAACTTTTTGCATGGAAGAGTATTCGGAAAAATACACCATTGTCGTCCGAAACTCATTGTTACGTTAAAAGTAGAAAAGGTTTACACTTAAACAGGTACAGAAGTAACAGTAACAGTGTGAAGTTTTTACTTCGGCTCGTGATTTACAAGCTTTTCTCGTGTTCTCCCAACATCCCGCGTGGGTTATCACGCCGGTAAACCCATAGAAAGTGTGGTCTATTGCTTTATAAAATGACTTTTAGTAGAGTGGAGTCTTTTAGGGAAAAAATATGCTTTTAGTACCGTGATCAAGTCATGTCTTCTCTCTAAAGTCATCAGAAGCCAATCATGACTCACGAATTAATAGCGCTGAACTTTCTCAAAACTCAATTCAGTCAAACAACAAACAACAGCACTTCAAAACACGAGTTTTTGCGCTCATTACGATAACTTATGAAAGCTGTTTTACAGGAAAAGTCAACACATATTCATGCGAACGTACAATGAAAGAATACGTTCATGGTTTGCTTACTACAGAGGTAGAAATTAATTGATCATTAGACTGTACGCAGCTGTATTTTGTTGAGTCGATCGGTAAAAACGGAACTGGCAGCTATTATATTGTAATGGAGGACTTCATCCCGGGGGGGGGTACTGCCATATATGGGGTATATAGGTAGGTGCCGCTGTGAAGGGTATGGTTTTCAAGCAGTTTACTCTAGGATAGGGTATATAAATCAGAGCGCTTGGGTCTAGAATAGGGTGTCATTTTTCAGGAAACTGATCAGTTGGTTGAAGATTTTATCTAGACTAGGTAAACAGCTACTCTAGGATAGGGGGATTTGGGGAGTTTACTCCAGTATAGGGTAGCAAAATTCAGCTGAACTAGCTCTAGTATAGGTTAAGGGTTCCAGGGTCCCAGCGGCACATCCCCACCCAGAAATTCCTAAAGTACCCCCCCCCCCCGGGGACTTCATTCACTTTTTCCAAGCCTCATTGGTTTAAGATCTGTTTTCTGGACTTTATTATGATCAAGAAATGCTGCGGTAACGACGTGGCCGCATTTGCAAAGTTGTCGCATGTAACTTTATATGCACGTACAGCGACCGATGGAAATATGTCAGTGGTGAAGAAAGCTTTCTTTGCCGTAGCCAAATTAGCGCTAATATTTGTCGATTTGTGAAGTCAGGTGGTTTGAGGTAGGTTATGCCATCGATATCACTGAATAATTTGTGCAAATGTTGGAAAAAACCAGCCCGAAACTCTGACATCTTTCATCATCGTTGGCAGCTTGTTTACAACCTACAGCAGCCGATTTTGTACCATATCTTGATCAGAGATCTCTTTTTGTAACAATTTCTTTCATTAAGGAATTTAATTTTGACATAAAATAAATCAAGAATGCTAAAACTATCCGTTTTGTTGCTGGTTGGCACATGGTTAAGTTTTCCTAGAGACTTTCTACACCAGAAATTCACACAGTTGTTGTCTTTCTCTGCGATTTGGCATCGTCGTGAAATGTAAACTGCTTTCCAGCTTTGTACTTTATAACTTCTAAAGCTATGGCAGTCGCGAATTGTGACCCTCAGTAATAAAATGTGGAAACCAACGCTTTTAATATTAAGAAGGGCTACGGTAAGTAACTTGTTCTGTTTTTTAGCCTTTCTAAAATCGTTGTTTGCAGATCAATAGCGGATTTTCTTTATGGCTCGTGGTCCGAATGCCTGTTTCTATGGGTTTACCGGTATAATAAACCATAGGTTTTTGACCAATCAGATCACGCTTACTATCTCAGTTATTTTATAAAACAGTCATAGTCAAGGGACATGTGTATTGTTGGAAATACCATCCATGCATAAATTAGTACAATATTTTTAGACTCTACATAGGAATGAGGATATATATGAACTTAAAGGTGTACATATTGCCACCTTTGAACCTCATCTTTTCTCAAGCAATGTTGAAAATTGTAGTATATCAAATGTTAATAGTTACCAATGTTCCTGTTAACAGTGCTGCCTTAGAGCAGTTTATGCAATATGATACTTTCTTATTAATTCTTGTGGATACTGGACTTAAGGAACTTTATTTGCCCTTGTTAGTAATCGGAATACACTGTACAAAGTTATGGGTGTGAAAACACATCTGTCAGTATCAGTGGAGCTGAGATAAACCTTACTCTCCGGGCTGTAACCAGTTATGTCCTATGCTGCAATTTGGCTCCAAGCATGTCTGCATTGAAGATGTGCATATTTTCAAACATTGTCGTGAAATGACACTATTTTTGTTGTGGATTGGGACATACTGTATAAGCTGTGCGGTTCAGCAAACAAGTGCAGTGAAGGATTTGTCTTCTCTGGTAAGATATGATGACAGTTCTTTAGCTGCAATAAGGCATGTTCAAAGTATCATACCCGTAGTACGACCACGCCCAAATATACGCTCACACAGCGTCTTGTTTTATGTTGTAGTGGCCCATAGACCTTCTACTCGGTTGGTAATTTTACTGAGGCTTTCTTAAAGATCGTAAGAAATCTTGTTCGATCTCTTGATGGTGAATCAAAATAAATTATTATTTAAGGCAACCTCAGAGATGTTTGGTTTCAACCGTTTTTCATCCTCTTCATATTTTACTTGAAATGCTAGAATTACAATACTAGGGTTGTTGTATGCTCAGATATATTAACCCAAAGGTATTATTTACAGATGGGTGAAACTCTTAGTCGTTTATCTTCAGTTCAAAGAAACTTGGAGAAACTTGACGAGAGTATCGAGTCGTTGATGAAAGCAAAAGAAATGTTTGGAAACAATGATATTTACAGCGCTATTATACTGTCAAAGCTGAGTGTCGTTTACCGCCATAAAGGAGATTCCAAAAGGAGTTTGGATTATGCAGAGAAGGCTGCTGAAATCACAGATAAACACCATGGCTTGAAAAGTCACCCTGGTAAGTGCTCGCCTGTTCTGATTTATACTTAACCCACCCAACCATCTTCATAGGCGATTCGAGACTGACGAGAGAAGAGGAGTGAACAACGGTAAACAAACTTACGCTAACTTTCGTCGTCTCGACGTCCTTTGCGCATAGTAAGAAAGAGGTCTGGGTAAGAACCACATACCTGCCAGTTCTGATTGATATTTATCTTATGTCTTTGTGATGATTAGCGGATGATATTCTCGTACGCATGCGTGCATATTTGAACTAGATCCCTTGATAATCTGTCATGCTGAAGAACCATAGATTGTTTATTAAACTTTGTCAATCTTGCTCTGTTTTGGTCTCTAGTGAAGATTTTTACAGTCTTCACTGTATGGAACTTACGACGTTTAACTAGAATGGCTTGGAATCGAAGGCTAAGGCCGGGTAAACGATTTGTCGGCCCTATCTGGGACAGGTTAGGCACTTCTCGAGCAGAACAAGTTGCTCGATTTTAGACCGATTGTTATCGTCTTCCTTTGGATGGCAAGATCGGCCAGATCAATCGTATCCTGAATATCGCCCTTGGCTTTACAAAGGCTGGATATTGCCCAATGCAAAAAAACATGTCTCTGAATTGTTGCTAAGATCTCGCCATTCGATTACCCCTGAAATAAGGCATTAGCCCAGGTGAACGCAAACTTTCTATTTTGTCTGACCTTCTCCTCCTGCGGTTTTTAATTAGAGAGCTTGCTGGTAAGCTTATACGGCGTGTAAGATGATTCCACTGCTTTATCTCCTGTTTCTTGTGAAAAGTTATAGCCACCGCCCTGTTGAACCTTGGCAACGCACAGAGCGATACGGGGAGTGTGGAGAATGCCGAAAGAAATCTAATCAGAGCATTGGAGATTTACAAAGAAATTCATGGGGAAAATCATGGAATTATTGCCGCCACCCTAAACTACCTAGGATATACCTATCTGCAAAAAGGGCAGGTGTGGAAAGCAAAAGAAACTTTGGAAAATGCGGTAAAGATAATGGACAACTATTCTCCTTCACATCAAGGTAATTTGCCTATGTTGAGAATAATGTAAAAAGCGTAGTGTCATGAGCGTACATTTCTTAAGGCTACTGTTCACACTATCTGACAGCTTTTGCGGGGGCATGAAAGCCTTCCTGGATAGGGCTTCTGTTAACGGTGATTTCCGCGCGATTTCTGTAACGGGGCGAAAACTGCGCCGCGCCAATCTCCAAAGTGGAGAGTCACATATCGGGTAGGTGTTCAAAGTATACCGGATAGCAGTAAGGATACACAGTGCATAACTAATAATCTTTATAAAGAAGAAAGCTAATTCGCGTTGTTTCACACTTCGTTGCAATTTTTCCATCTCGTTGTATTCAGCAATAAGGTTAGCCAATTTTTCTGGAGTTAAATCCTCAACAACTGTATCTATAGTAATTTCACAGAAAAAAATATTAAAAATTCGTTTTCTTGTGTTAACGTCCTCCATAAAAAGTGAAATTATAGGAAGTGTCTTGTCATAGCCGTGCAACGACGTGAACAAAAAAACATGACGCACGTGCAAAGTTGTTGTTTTGCTACTGCTGTCTGGCCGTTTTCGTTACCGTTGCAGTCCTTGTTGCTTAAAGGTCTGTAATATATGTCTTAGATAGGTGTCCCTTCAAAGAGAGTTTTCTAAAATGACAAATGAGGAACGGTAGGGATCAATTGTATAGGTGCTAATTTTAGGGTGGTAAAGAGAGTTTAGAAATATGTCGTTTTTTTTTCGGCAGAAAAGGCAAATACACTGAAAAGGCTCAGCAAAACTTGTTTAATCCTTGGCGAAGCCGTCAAAAGTGCTGATTTAGCAAACCGTGCTCTAGAGATCTATAACGAAACGCATGGAAATATGCCACACAGGGAAGTATGTGCTAACCATTTATACAATAATGTACATGTCTTCAAAAGAATTCGACAACCATTGTACATTGTACATTGTCTATCCTCTTGCCGGCCATAGAAATGACGTCAGAATGTTCAAAGCTTTGTGCACCCCTTGTGGTCCCAAGTTTTCAACATTTTGACGTAATTTCTATGGTCGTTAAGAATACAAACCATAGGAAATACTTGTCGATTTGTTAAACTATGCGGGCGTATTACTAGGGCCGGGAGGGGGTGGGGGGTTGGAGTCAAGGTGCTCGGCACTTCAGTTTACACTTTCAAGACCCAGAAAGCACACTGCGCGTTAGCCCTGGTAAAAGGGAATTAAGGAATCACGCGAAGCAAAGAAAAATATATTTTAACTTGGTGGGAATCGAACCGACGACCCTCCAGATCTTCTGCTGGCTGAACGACTACGTCAGAGGCAGAGAGTGGAGGGTAATCAAGGTCGTGAATCTTATCCCGAAATCCGGTTGATCTAATTCAGAGGTTGTGGGTTTGATTTCCACCGAGTTTCAAAGATTTTGTCTTTCCCTCTCGTGCTCCCTTATTCCCTCTCCGATGGTCAACGCTCTGTTAGATTTTTGGGTCATCCCTCACACTTCAATTTACACATAAGAGGCGAAGTTCGTCATTTCATCCTCTTTGTCATCAGGTACATTTGTTAGGTTGTTTAATCAGGTATTATTCGAAAAACGTCTGCGAAGTGCAGAAATTCAGGGAGCTTTTTTCATATTTTGCACCTCAGACTGGGGAGGAAAAAAGAGGGAAAATACATATACGCAATAGCCATTAGGCTCTTGATATGCGTTATTGATCATTACCAAGCGTGAGGTCAAGATTGCTGGATGTCCTTTTTTTTGCGTTTTTCTTCTTTCTGACCGAGACGAGGACGAGATCAATAAACTTACCCTTTTCTCTTACTTCGTACCACTAATTTTCATATTTCCCACGAACGATCCATGACTGGAATAAACTGCCTGATTCTGTGGTATTGGCACCAAGCACTGAGTAGCGGGTACAATTTGGTTGTAAGCCCTTAAGTGTCATTTATAGGCCACGATACCACTTTGCCGAGTGTTAGATAACTATGGAACCTATGTCCAGGTTTTATTTGAGGTCAAACAGTTACATCTTTTAAAACTTTATTCACTCTTTAGACCTTTATTACATTGTGGGCTATTGGGCTAAAATATATCACATCGAGAACGGTTATAACATTTAGGGACACCAACATTCTCTGTCTCATCCTGGTTTTATTACCTTTGTTAGTGAGGAGCAACTATTTACTATTTTTCCTTATAATTACAGGTTAGGAAATGCGCGTTGAGGATTGCTTACGCGTGCTCAAAGCTTGGACTTTTTAACAAGACGAAAGAATATATCAAAGAAGTTGAACTTGGCTTTTCCCAGAAAAATATGGCCCATCCAGAGTACGCTGTATTTCTTCGAACAAAAACTGAAATTACATTGGACCATCTTCAATTTAGTTGGCCCAAGGATAAAGAAGGCGTGCGAAAAATGATGTCAGAAGCAGAAACTGATCTCAATAGAGCAGACGTAATCATTCAACAGTCTCTTGGTTGCGATCACCAACAGTATGCATTCTTGAAGGGAGAAAAAGCTCGTCTGTGCATTCTGATGGGCCATTACGAGAAAGCCCTTCAAGAGATTGACTATGCTCTTACTATTGCTAAGAGATACCAAAGGCGTGACTTCGAGGCTGGCTTTTTACTTATTCGAGCAGATGCTGAGGGCAAGCTTCAGCTGTCTCGTGCACAAGAGAAATCCTTGGAAAGAGCAGAAAAATTGTATGAAGAAGCCTTTGACGATAGTCATCCAATGGTTGCCACCACACTACAAAAACGATGCCAGAAAAATATTGATCAAAAAAATCTTTCTCTGGCAGAAGAAGACCTCGCAGCAAGCGATAAAATCTGTGAAATACATAAAACTACCTTACGAGGGCAACTAGACAGTAGTTGCTCTGGTTTTCTAGCAAACTACAGTTTGGATCATCACCCTGTTTTAAAGCGTCAACAGCAGCTAAATAGGAGAATAAAGCGTAGTCCTGCTGGAGCGTGGCTTCAATGATCGAAGACTTCTGTTGTTCTCATTATTATAAAACGTCACCGATGCGAAGACACCCACCTTCACAGGACTGTCTCGTTTTTAGTCAGCGCCCGAATGCCGCTCATTGCTAATTTGCTCCATTTCCTCACCTGCTCTGGCTTGACTTTAATAACTGAGACGCTTTTCGTTATTAGAAAACAGGACTTTTAGCATTGTTCTTGTAAGTTTGAGTAGACACCTTTTTGGCATCTAGTGCCGAGATAAATATACTTTAAAAACTTAACACTTAACTGAAGACAGCCTTCAAAGAAGGTTTCAGAGAAGGTGGGGGGGGGGGGGATTAAGAAGGAATGACGGAATGACAAGGTCAGTTTTTGCTCAGATGCTCACTGTTTTACGAGAAAAAGGTAAACGATCCGTGTTTTACGGGTGTCTGAGAATTAAAAGATATCGTTTGAAGTAATGTTCCGTTGAATAAATCACTGCAGAAAGAAAAATTTACTTTTGATCCCTTGACCCTCTATTCCCTAATAACAGAATGTAAGTTCTCATTTGTTGGCGAGAAGTTGTGTTTCAACTTAAGTATCATTATGATTTTTCTTGTAAGATCAACTCTCTAATTCTCGTTACTGCTTTGTTTTATAAAGCATGTAGATATTACAAGACGTTTTAGGGCTTGTAAACCTTTAAAAAGGTTTAACCGTAAAGGAATTTTCTTTGCAGTTTGTACGAGAATAGTCTACTCGAACGTTTTATGAAGATTCAGTGTAATCAGTGTGAAGGTCCGTATTGAGTATGAAAAAACAACAATAGACAACACAAGCTTTATCGTTTGCCTCATGATTTAGTCACCCGCTAAGTTTCGACTGCTTGCTCCTCCGTTGTAACTGGTTCATTTTCAGCAGCTGCTAGTGCTGTTGTTCTTGTTCATGGAATTCCATGAATCTGGATTTTCAATCCCACTGTTGTTACATGTGTATATTTACAGGTACGGTAACCATGATGACTCCTGACGGATCATGAGGTTATCCCTATATTAAGATCTCTCCTCACAGATAACCCACCCACCCACTCATCCAAGGAAAGGGTGGCCACACATCCGGGGTTTTCTTCCCCTACTCTTTTCGAACAGTGGTGTGGATTCTTTTACGTCCCACAAGAACCAGAAAAGTGACAGTGCTTTGAGACGGGATCTACGGTTTTTCGCCCTTATCCGAGAAGACTAGAAAGTCTAACCGTTTGCAGATTTCTTAACAAAGGCAGGACTTTCTTCTCAGTTATTTGAACACCCTGAGTGTCGGTCCGGTCGGGGTTTGAACCCGCGACCCCCCGCTCAGCAGAGCGGCATTCCTCCCAGCGGAGCTAGCCGGGCGGCGGTTAAAGGATGTTAGAATGAAGTCTCAAGCGACGTGCAAAAGGACGCAACATTGTTAGTCAACAACTCCCAATATTGTTGGATGTTACATGTTACGTCCGTTTGCACACCCTGTTGTATGTTGTTGCATGTTGTTGGGAGTTGTTGCGCAAAGTTTGAAACCGGTCAAACCGTTTTGAGCCAACAACTTGGGATCGCTGAAGCTTAGCGCAACAATGTTGGATCCGTTTGCACAGTTCTCCCAACATTGTTGGGGCCACGCAAAGCATTACACATGGTTTACAAAGTCTTATGGGTTGTATCCTTCCCACTACGCACTGCAGGTCTCAACATTGTTGGGAGTTATGGCGTCCGTTTGCACGTAGCTTTAGGCGAATCGCCTCTAGGACCCTGTAAACCATAAGGGTGGTGTCCGGTGTTGTGGGCGATCTCCGAAACGGCAGAGCTCTGAATACTGGTAAGTCGGATGTCTCGGTCTCTTTGTAAAGTATGTCATCTTGTTTAGCCGAGTAAACATCGGGTTTTGGCCGTACATGACGAGATCATAGCGTAGTCTGCGATTATATTACACCGACTTGGAAATTCAGGAATAGCTTTTCTCATTTACTTGCGCCAGAGAATACGCCAAAAATACCTTCTCTGCTCCAGTAAACCTTTTTATGCAGAGTGCTTGGTCTTCCCCTTTGCCGTTTTCTGTCACAGACAACGTCAGCGATTTTTTTTGCTGTTGTAAAAAGGGGGCGCAAGGCGAGAAGGATAACGTCAATATTGCGTCAATACTACGTTAATATTACACTTTGCCGGAATTGAAAGTGTATTCCGTATTATTAAAAAAAAAACGGCGGGAAATTTACTAAACGCTTTTTTGACGTTGTCGCAGTTGTCTTCTTCTTTATTGCTATAGATCCCTAATATTAGGGAGACTAAGCAACCACAAAGGCAATGACATTGAGTACGCCTCTTAAGGAGTAAATTCGAGCTGTTTCAAACTTTATAGTAATCACTATAATTCGACTCCGTTTAATTTGTCAAATGGTGACAAATCTTTCTCGAGTTGAATTTAGTACTGAATTCAACTACAGAACAAAAAAGAACGAATGTCGCCAAGGCTTGAGCAAAATTCAGGAAATGGCCAAACCGGGTTAAAAGTCACCTAGGCAAAGCGAGCCAGACAGGCAAACCGAGCTACAGTCACAGACAAAAATAGTTAGGACACTTCCACTGAACGCTGCTTTTTACTTCTCGCCCGTCTCCTCGTCTTCCCAATGTTGTTTATCGCAGTTAGTTCACCAAATCTTGTAGACCAACATTGGGAGAGCAAGAAGGCAGGAAAGTGTCCCAACAATGAGACTGAGACTTACAGCCCGGTTACAGCTATCTTATGTCTGGAAGGAAGTTCTTGGTTTCTCAGGGGCACCCAACGACTGTTTTTTGTGAATTATCTGTTCGGAATAGCAAATATTGCCTAGAATTTTCTTTCACTTGAGAGCGACTAGAAATTCCTAAATGACCGCTCCATTCAGTTACTATTCTCAAAGCTTATTTGATAAACTCCCTATGATTTTCTGAAGTTTAACTTCTCACATTTCACTTCCCATGTCAGGCTAATTTTCAAAGAAAAAGGAAATCTAAAATTTTCGGATTAAAAAATGTAATGGAGAGAGGATTAAGAAAAAAATTTCATCTTCGTAAAACGTTAAATTGCATCTAAAATTTTCGGGAAAATAATACTGAAGCCCTCTAGGATGACCGAACAGATACAAATTTCATCGCGCCGCTTAGAATAATGCATTTTTAGAGATCTAAAAGTGCTCTGGATAGCCTAAAAAGAGTTTTAATGTATCTAGGAGGAAACCGTCGTTGGGTGCCACCTGGTTTCTCTTTGAACTGAAAGCCCCAGTTTTCTGGGTAGAAAGTAGGAAATCCAGAGAACCTTACGTACCCTTAATCAGGCTTGGAACAACGGTCCGGACCGGGGGAGGGGGAGGTGGTAACTCTATTGTTTTCCACCTAAGTTTCTTGACCCGCTCTGCCTGCCAATATGACGTCACATAGTAACGGGCAAGAGCCTCGGGTCGCTTGCGCGAACTAGCAAGGGATACGACAGTTATTGTCGGGCGAGGTCGAGGAAAAGCTTAGAAGCTAGCAAATATCGCTATAGATCGCTTATTTGATCGAAAGTGTGTGAACTTTGGTGTTGCTACAATCTGTTTGTGGAAACCGTTTTGTTATTTTGTGTCCGTAATTGTATAATTTTGTTAATTTGGTTTGTGGGCCGTGTTGCGGTATCGCCATCTCTTTCACGGGACTGGCAAGGTCATCAAAACTTAAATCCTTTTTTTCTCTAAAATAGGAACGGCCTAGTCTCCAGAATAGGAGGTTCCATTCACAGATCACACATGTTTATATTTAATCTATTCTTTTGCTAATCAAACGGGCCTAACTTCATATCAACCCTTTCGAGTGTGGGCCTCTGCTGACCTCCTAATTCACCACCAAATTCAGTAAAGCTAGTTCGATCGATTATCTACATCGAGTCGGCCCGTTGAACCCGAAATAATTAACAATTATTCCTCGAGCCCGAATGGGCTCTGAGTCCGATAGCACATGAGGCCGAACACCGAATGGGCTATTGACTCAGAGGCCATGAGGGCGAGAGGAATAATTGTTTTAGTAAAATCCAACTAGTTGGTCAAAAATATCGAGAATAAAAAACTTTTAGCTAGTTAAAGCTAGACTTTAATCCTTTTTTGCCGCCAAAAAGCGCGCGCCTTTCGCTACTAGTAGGCTATAACACATAGCCTAGTAGTAGCTCAACCAATCAGAACGCAGCATTGATAATAGACCACTAGTTGGATTTTACTACTGCGAAATAGCCTTGACATGCGCGCTTAAGCTAATTTTCCTCAATTGTATATTTGAATTCATGATAAATACATTTCCACCAGCTTCATACAGCGTCTATGGCAGAGAAAAATTGTCTTGATATGACAAAATTAATTTTTCAAATCATGTATGTCACTGTGGTGCAGTGGTCAAGGAGTTACTTGCACGTGCAGATAAACCGGGTTCTACTCCCGGCGACGCTGTTTTCTGTTTCCTTGTCGTACCGTTTCTTTTTCTGTTTGGTCTCTGTTTTTTAACACTATTTTTCCTTTTGGCCAGTTTTCCTTTATTCTTACTGCTGAACCCACTGGTCATGCGTGACTTGGATCAACATATATTTTAAGCTTAAGTCATGAGTTTTATTTTGGAAAAGGGATTTCAAAAGCTCTTGATCTGCATACTGGTCAAGCTTACTACCAGAAGAAAACCATAAGCTGTCAAGACATGTCCCTCGTCTGAAACAGCTGAATTTTTTTCAATGTTAGTTGACATTATGACAAACAACACACGCGGTACACCACAAGCTGTACTAATTTGTACCCAACACCTACCAGTGACCTACTGGCGTTCTAGTGTTGAAAAAAAATATTTGACTCGTCGCGCCACCTTTAATAGCTTTAGCTAAATGTAGGCAGTGTGTATGTTTAATTTATTTCTTTGCTTTTTAATAAAAGTAATATTGTTGTTGTTTTTGTTTTTCAACAGTCAAAGAGAAATCACGGGCACCCAACGACTGTTTTCTGTAAAATATCTGCTCGGAGGAGCAAAAATTGTCTAGAATTTTCTATAGCTAAAGGAAGGCTAAAAATCTCTAGATGACCGTTCCATTCATGTACGATTTTCGTAACATATCTAATAAATTCTCTACGATTTTCTTAAGTTTAATTTTTCGCATTTCAGTACCCAAGTTTGCCTGTTTTTCGCAGAAAAAGGAAACCTAGAATTTTCGGATCCAAACATGCGATGGAGGGAGGAATCAGAAAAATTCTTACTTTCGTAAAACTTAAAATTGCGTCTAAAATTTTCGGGAAAATAATACGGAGACCCTTGTAATTTCGAAAGGACTCAAGTTACCCTGGGACGACCGAACAGATGAAAATTTTATAGCACCGCTTAGAATGCATTTCTAGAGAGCTGAAAGAACTCTGGATAGCCTGAAAAGTGTTTTCAATGCATTTAGGACGAAACCGTCGTTGGGTGCCCCTGAGAAATTCCGTATCTTTGCTCGGCCATGTGATATCTTCTATGTATACAACATTCATTCTATGAATACCCTACGAAATCTACTAGATACGCTTCGTCAAGTTCACCGTCGTCTCGCTGTGCCCACGAAACTAGGCAAAGTTCGCATACCATTGCCCATAATCTCCCAAATAATTTCTACTGAAGTTACTTTAATATTTTCTGCAAGTGGTTACAACAGCAACAACTTTTATTGACCCCTTATATCGTTGATGCAAGTTGAATAATAGCTGTTATCAAAAATACAGTTCTCGGTGGGTTGACACACGAAATGAGGCGATAAGGCTATCCTGGCTTGGTTTTGACAAAGGTTAATTTTGACCTTTGCATTGCAGCCTCGTAATTGAGTTTCCGCTCCACGTCGAACTTTCCATCTGCCGAACTTATTTGGGTCGACCCAAATGATTAAGTTCGACGGTTGATTCAGACGTCGAACTTTAACATGTGCAAATCTAATTTTTGAAGTAAACAAGTACTATTTTCGCGGCTTGAAAATACGAAAGTGAACTGATAAAGGGCTATGAAACTATTTATTTTCATTCCATTTCGTTCCAATAGTTAGTTTGAGCATTTATGGTCACCAAGTCGGATTAATTATAGCTTTTCTGCTGTGTTCCGTTCATGTTCAAGAAAATCGCACTCATATTGAGATACAAATAATGAATGAATATATAGGTAGTGCAAGAGAAGATAATTCTCTTGGATAGTGTTAATGCAAGTTGGAAGTCGACAGTTTCGTGCTGGGGGTCCAGTTTCTCCATGTTTCAGTTTAAACCTCCATTTTGAGAACGCTGTTACGGTCATCAAGCTTCTGTGAGTTCTCTTCACGTGTCACAAATCACTATACAGCCAATCATAAGCGCTGTTATATTGAAAAAATATATTAACGTAATTTATGCATTAGTTTCGGCACATGAGGAGGTTCGACGTCTGAATCGATGTCGAACTTTTGCTGTTCTACTCGACTGGCGCAGTCGAAAAGAACGGCAAATACAAATCTGTCGAACCTAATTGATTCATAAGTCGAACTTTTCATGTGCCGAATCTGATGATTAGGTTTGGCACATGCAAAGGTCGACGTTTGAACCGGGCCTAATTGCCCGATCGAACGCCGTAACTTGGACGGAGGGGGAGGGGGGAGGGGCTGCTTAGTGACTTGAAGTAGGGAGGCTGGGGATTGTCTCCTTTTATCAAGTCCTTACTTTTTGGAAAACCTTTGGGAGGGGAGCTTTAGTCCCTGGACTCCGCCTAACCCTAACCCTAACCGAGACGACAAGCACCAGCGACACCTTTATATGGGAATCATCCACCCTCCCCTGCGCGCTAGCCTCCAACGCAGGCCTTTTTGGGGGATTAAATTAACTGCAAAAACCGTGGACGAAGATCCTGCTAGTTGTAAACGTTGGATCTCTAGAAAAGAGATCAAATCAGCCAAAATATAAAGAACCAAGAACGAGAAGTCCAAAGACTACTGCAAAGCTGATTTAAAACAACTTTTATTGTTTTTTATAACAATATTTCGGCTGGCCATACCAGCCTTCTTCAGGTTTACAGATGTTACTGAACTTATGTGGCAATCACAATATTATACATCTGTAAACCTGAAGAAGGCTGGTATGGTCAGCCGAAATATTGTTAGAAAAACCAATAGACGTTGTTTTAAATCAGCTTTGCAGTAGTCTTTGGACTTCTCGTTCTTGGTTCTTTTTGGGGGAGATCGCCAGGTGGTTAGCCTGTGTAAAGAACGGTCCTCCTCCCACAGAAAAAAATCGGTAGAAGATACCTCTCCCCTCCCGATTTTTTTGTGAGGAAATGGGAACGTTTATACACAGGCTACGGGTAGTAAGATCTTCTGGTTTCCATCAAAAATATCGCATTTCTTCTAATAACATAGTTGTAGCCCAAGGGGTAGTAGCCAGTCATGGCTTTGGGTCGTGTTTACCCTAGGGAGGCCGTTGATGAGTAAGAAGGGGGTGCGTTAGAAACCACTGATGAGTAGGGAGGTGGAGGTCGAGAGGGTTCCTGAGTCCTTTGGAAAGAAGCACTGGGATATCCTCTGGGTGCAGAATTTGCTTGGGCCTGTTTTCTCGTCTTCATATAAATGCAGACTAAAATTATGCCGATTATTGCAACTCCACCAAGACTACACACGACAGCGATCATTATTGTGCTGCTGCCACCTAAGACAAACAAAACGCACATAATAAATCATCTGAAAGCAATGGTTACACTACACAACTCGGCAGTATGGCCAGTACCGTACGCATGCGCATAGCCATATCACCCGGGCAGCGGCAGCCCTATTAATTTAGGCGATCCACAACTTCATACGCATTGCACTAGACTGTTTTACAGTCCCAGCCAATAGCTACCACATGTACTGTAAGGAGCTGGCGCTTATATGATTGCATTGCACTCGCCTCGGCAGTAAAGGGTCTCAACACAGGGATTTCCCCTGTTCATTAACCCGACGGTTTTTTAAAAATCCCTGTAATGCAGTATTGCGCAAGACTTCCACCCGAGCGGTTTGTACAAACGGTAAGCATCCCGGTTTTCCTCCCTTCCCAAAAATCAACCCAAATTACAATTTCATCCGAAACGTATCTCCATTTAGTTCCGGGAGACAATTGTTACTGTCAGGTCTTACCTTCTCTTATTATCTGTCTTTAATAGACAAAGATCAAGAGCATTACGATCGATGAGAATCTGATTACCTTTTTCGGGGCCATCCTGCTCAGGTGGTACCGTCTTTTTGTTCTTCCCAGTATCTCGTTCATCGATACTTGTAGGTGTAGCGCCATTCGGTGAAATGGAATAAAACTGCGCAGAGAAACCTTTGAAATTCCTTTCATTTGACTCATCCGTCACTAAATCAACTCTAACAAACCTTCCACTGGAAATAATATCGGAGGGAGGCTTCGTTCCACAGAGTTTTGCTAGAAGTCTGTCTCTTAATAGCTGTCCATCGGATACAGTCACATAATCGCACGTGCAATTGTTCGTTGCAGTTGCACAAGATTCCACGTCCAGACCATCAAAGTGCAGTAAAACACGGTAATTCAATGGTACCTTTATTATCCACGTACATTTCTCCCTACTCGGGTAGGTCCCCGACGGATAACCTGGGCTTGAAAATCTTCCTCGGTGTATTCCGAAGTCACCACCAAGATAAACTATTTCACTGCAAACTGAAAAGTAACGAAATAAGCTAAGACAAGGGGTTCAAGAGGAGCGTCTGTGTCTTTTCTAAGATCAAAAACATTCAAATGAGTCTATTCAATATCTTAGAGTCTGACATGAAAATTTAGACTCTATCAAATTCCTGAAGTGAAACTATATTTGCTGTAGGTGAGTATATCTTTATCTGGTCATTAACCCATTTTTATGTTTTGCTCCTGTTGTTTGGTGTTGTTGCCGTTTGGTTCTTCGTGCCAACTTGCCAGACTGTCTAACGTATCTGCATCGGTAGAGGATCTTGCATGGTGTGAATGATTACACAACCCCAATAAATTAAGAAATAAAGCACTGTAAATGTGTCTTAAATCATGCAAATGTATCTTTGACTTAAGGTCTCGGTAAATGAAAATTTTAGTACATTGCTCGATTTTGCTTTTTTTGGATTTTTGGCATGAGTGGGTCCTAAATTTTATTTTGGCAGAAAAAGAAAATCAGAAAGTGCTTTTTAACCCTTCTAAAATGAGCCTTTTCTGAGCTAACCAGCCAAGCGTGGACCTCGCGCTAAATCTTTAGAGCTGATTTTCTCTCACTCTATTTTAGACGCAAAAATCAAAATTCTCCGACCTCCAGTCGGGACAGGTTTTAAGCTATCGCTTTCAAACTTTCAGATATGATGGATAATGATATAGACTCAAAAAGGGTGTGAGGAATTTTCCGATTTCCCTTTGTTACTCATTTTATGTCAGTTTCTTTGCGTAAATCGCGCTCGAGATTCGACTTTTTAGTTTGAAATGCAATAATTCCGCTAATACGAGACATATGCAAATTTCCTCACACCCTTTTTTAGGTCTTTTATCTGTCAATCAGATGCAATAAAAAGGAAGTGAATATTTAACAACGCGAAAGGGCTGGAGCTTCAGCAGTAAACTCGATACCTCTGAGTTCGAGAGCAAAAAACTTCAGCGCCTTTTGAAATTCGATGAAATAAAATCTTTTATAGGGTAATTTAGTCTTTTAGCTTTAATTTGATATATAACTTGCCTTTGTAGCGAAAATACTCGCGCGACTAGAATTTTTTTCTGTGGGCACCTCGTTTTCCTTTACCGAGACCTTAAGTCCCTTTGACATGAAATCTACATACTGCTACCTAATAAATTTGCATCACTAAAGGAGACAACCGCCCTTTCGCATAAATCGTTTGAATTTCGCAATGTCCAATGAGTAGATTACAACTATTTTAAGGTTTCTTAATGTAGATTTCAGTTACGTACTTAGATTAGGCCATTACGTTCGGTAGTTTATCTCGTAGGATATTTCTTAGCATTTAAAGAAAATGAACTCAATGTTGCTACGTAAATAGTCTTAATGAACCATCTATTTCTGCCCATCTACAATGAGGGACAAAAGTGTTGAGACACTTCTATAAGATGGCCCGTTTTTGCATAGTGGTCCTACCTTTCCCCTCCCCCTGTGTACCCCCACCCACTCCCCTCCAAATCAATCTTGTATTTTAGACCCACAAGTCGTTCTCTTACTACAAAAATATTGATTTAGGGGTTGGGGATTTACGGCGTTTAAACAGGACAAAATGATATAACTGAATGAAAATGTTGATAAAAGAGCACGTTTTCGACAAGTGTGTCAACTACTTTTGTCCCTGATTCTAGGCAACTCAGTCTTTACCTTCATTTGACCAAGCAGTTCTTGCGATAATGGCTGAAGATGAAAGTGATAATTTAAAACGTTAGTGTAACAATTGAAAACCGACGAAAATGATAAACCAGTTTAAATTGAAAGAAGAGTTGGTACGTTTCTAAGCACTGGTACCTTAACAGACACTTGTACGGAAATGGGTTAATTAGCCGCATCATCTATATTAGCCGTCAATACAGGTAGACTGCCTCTTGCTCCGGAGAAACGGCTAGGCTACTGTATAGAACGGTGCTGCCAAAATACTATCCGGAAAATCATGCTCGCCTTTTATAAAGCTACAAGGCAAGCATATAGGTCTTTCCATACACGTGGGAGGATTAGTTTAGCAGAAGGTCCCTTAAACAACAAAAATCTTTTTCCTTTTTCTTGTCGATAATCAAAACTGTAAGCAAAACAGGAGCCGCGGGACTCGTATATATTTAAACGTTTTTCCTATTTTATGTCAGTGTCTTTCCAGGGGAACTAGACTTCTGTGCCCATTTAGGCGCATGATCAATCTCTCGTAAGGAGCCTAATGCGTCTCTATGAAAGGTTAAGAAAAGAGTTCATTTTATGCTATTAAGTAAAATAACATAGACTCACTTCACCGACTCAATATCTAATTGTTTGGTAAAGAATTTACATTTGCGCGTTACACAGATATGCAAATTTTACCTGATACTGTCGATACTAGAAAGTGGACTTTCGGCTAAGATTCCAAAATGCAACAAGAAATCAACGTGCGCTACAAAGGAAACGGAAAGGTCGGGAACTTTCACGATTCCACAATTGCATGGGAAAGGATGAAAACGTGGATCGAAAGCATGTGCATATTTTCCTGGTTCTTCTGAAGCACAATATAATTATACTTGTTCTCTGTCTGAAAACATGCAACTGTGCGTTACATGGCAGGGTAACCCTTACCTTATCCCACTGAGTCGAGGAAACGTTTACTTTAGAATCCCTTTTGCACGATTCTACTCAACAGCACCTAACGAAAATCGCTTATAGACGCAAAACATGAAAGAGAACTGATTATTAAACAACATGCAGAACAAGCAATTTCATGCAGTACCTTGCAGTACACCATGATTAAACGGTAGGTACGATTTGTTTCAAGCTGATATGTTGTGTGAAGTGGTTTTTATAGCTCATCCGTGAAGACCACAGCAAAAATCAAGAAGTAAAGTTTTCTAACTACGTGAACGTTACCGCAAAGGCCTAATATGGCTTACAATTATAATCCCTAAACTAGCAAGGTAAGAAGAATTGTTCCACCTTACCGCCTATCAACCACAACAGCTTCAAAGAACTCTTTCTGATAACCGTTTCCTGTGTTTCAAACATAATTGTCTTGTGTAACAATTTTGCTAGTAGCTATACGTTGGCATTCAGAAATTTTCCGCTAGCAACACCGAAAAAACTGATGACAGCATGGCGATTAAAACTGGTCACTGTTTACATCACGTGGGTATTCTTGCAGGAAGTTTATTTAAATGCAAACGGGCGCCGAAGCATAAAAACAATACATTATGTACCCAATTCCTGATCCCGAGGGAAAGATTTACAGTAGAATCTCGAATCCTCGAAACCCGTCATCGGCAACAGGAGGGCATTTTGTATGCGCATGCGTCAATATGGGCTGTTGAAGTGCCATAGAGGCATTTTCTGTGAGTTGTTTGCGTTCAGTATCAGCATTTGCAGGCTGTTTTCTGGAGCTGAATGACGTGTATTGGGTGCTACGTTCCTCAGACGTGTTCTTTAAGGTATCGTGGTATTTTTTACGATGAAAGTGAGTTTATTGTAGCCTCGCTGTCGCCCTTGAGAGGACAGTCTTTCCTTTCGTAAAACAGTACATCGAAGACAAGATGGCGGCTGAATGTTCTTACCACCTAACATTTCGCGCACATTTTTTGAGCAGGAGGAAAAGGTCAGTATGATAGTTTTTCGTCGAACAATTATCCTATAGATACTCAATTCTTCTCAATAGTATAACTCTAAAATCGAACTTAATCGTTTCGAGGAATACAGTGGTTAATTCAATGTCCATTCTGCCGTGAAACTGTTTTTCACCCTTTCTCTGGCTTGTTTATCTCGAAATCTTGCCTTTCTCCCCAGATTAAGTTAATGATTAATGAAACTAAGAATACTTCCGCGAATGAATGGCGCTTTGATGAAGGCTGTGAAAAATCGCCTTCTGTAATAATTTTAGCTTTCTTCTCCGGTACGTCTTCGTTGAGAAATAAAATACACGCACTTCAACTATAAATTTAAATCAATATAATGATGCCAGTAAGATTGTGTTTTGAAAATAAGAATATTCTATCATTTAGTTATACAAAGGAAAAAAATTTCAGTAATCGGTTTGAATTCTGATTTTTTTCCACATTATTTTGATGGTACACTGTTTGTTTACATTTCATTATGCAAATAAATATAACATTTTGGCGTTTTAAAGAAAATCTAGCCTAACTCCCCAACCCCAAAATAGCACGAAATGAAACGTTATCAATATACCTTTTAAATAAATCCTGGCTTCTGTTGCAAAAAAATCGCATTTATTCCTAAATGATACCATTTTGTGGATACTACATTTGTTGATATGCTAATTTGTGAGACATTTCATTCACGAAGGATGTTGACTGAGACCAGCTTCTCCTCTGTATTGAACCACATTCTTGTTTAGTGCATCAGTTTCTGCTTGATAATTCTTCCATGATGTACAACTTACATAAGGGGTTCATCTGGATACAGTAAAAAGCTCTCAACAGAAACATTAAGAACAGACAAATTTATCCATCCATTTGTGTCATGTTTGTTGTCGCATCCCAGCTCATTTGGGTCCTTTAGCAGAAGTATTTATTTTTCGAGGAAACAGCATTATATGCACCCCTTTAACAAACTTCCTATCTTATGTTCAAACAGGCTTTGAAGGTGAACAACATCGTCATTTAGATTTATATGGAGTGATGGCCATTCTCTGTTTTGAACGGATCACTACTGTCATCAAATATAGATTAATAACAAGAAATCGATTGTGGAGCACAGGAGCTGTTACTCAAGAGTACTTTCAAAATAGTAGCTTAGGAAAAATCTTTGTATCTTTAGAGTTAAAGAAAAATAAAAGTACTGTTCGTTTTTTCGGAGTATGCGTGCATTCGTTTTGTCTGCAACAGTACTGAGCTTAGAAATGCTCAAGTGATTATGTTCTACCTAATCACTTGTAATTGTTTCTGTCTCAAACTCAGTCCATTCTTCATTTCCTATAGAATATTTTTTATAAATTTTTCCATGAAAACTTTCAAAAACTGTAAAACCCCATAGATTTCACGTTTTTGTGGCATATATAAACGCTTGTCTTCGCGATCAGTTTAACATGAGACATCGCGCTAATAAATAAACCTTGCGTGGTAATTTTTTTTTTTCGCTTTTTGCCCTAAAGCAGCTCAACATTGCTACGATGCATTTCCTCGCTGATGTGTAAAACCACGAGTTTGGAAATCAAACCATAGAAATGCATTGCTTTGCCAGTGAAAATCAGACTTATACAGGAACATGACTTTTTGGCGTTGAGTCTTGAAAGTCTTTAAAAGGCCAAGGAAACCTACTGCTGAAAAATCTACGAGTGAAAATCCGCGTAGAAAACGTCTGATTTTTGTGATGGAGAATATTTTTTGAAGGAAAGTGCGGTATTCAAAGCACCAACGAAATGGCTTTTAAAAGGACTGTAACTTTACGCGCGAGTTTTCGATTTCCCGCCATCAGATTTGATGCGCCCACGCTATTGTCATTCAGCGGATTCACGCATGCGCATGCAAAATGCCCTCCTGTTGTCATCGGCATGGCCAACCTCCCTATAATTACATTCTGACCTCTCACTAAACAATTTCAACCAATTTCCTTTTTTTCCTTTGGCACGGGAGTTTCGAAAACCAGTATTTCAATACACCCACCCAACACTGCGGGCAGTCTCTGTTTTTCTTTCCAATATACAGCTATTTCGAGAAAGGTTGTCGGGAAAAATGTGCACGCGACAACCCTGAAAGGCAATGTGGGATATGATCAATACACTGTTTCGAACGACTGTAGCTGTCGAACCTATTTTTGTTTCTTTCTATTAGCACTCACGAACGTATGTCCTTGGCCTCTCATGCCATTCTTTCAATTTCTTTGGAGAACAGGGCAGACAAAACCACCCACAATACCTTTCGGGATTGTCGCGTGCCCTTTTTCCGACAACCTTTCTCGAAACAGCTGTATGTTCATGAAAGTTTCATCCGGACGGGCATGTCTCCATACAAAGTTCTGATAAATTCGGGGAAATTTTTTCCCCGAATTAATATCTCGCATATGAAAAAGTGCACTGAACTGAACTTTGGCGAAGGGTCTTTGTATATCGAGAGCACCCTTCATTTCCAAGATGCTGGACAGCGACATATATTGAATGATTTTGATCTTATTTTTTGATGACGGGACGATGAAAACCAGCAATACCCACCCTAACCGTCAACAGATTCCTCAACACTGGCACCAAGAAACAGCAGACACAAGCAAAATGCGAGAACTAGAAAGTTTACTCTACCTACGTAAGCAAAAAGTAATTTAAGATTGAGTACCAGTACCTCGCTCTGGCAATGCCCTTAAAAGTTTTTCATCTGCCATCATCCGCGAATGACCCACTTTTACAAAATGGAGGCAAGGCGAAAAAAGAAACTCAACATTCCTGTGGGCACGGCCAGGGATTAACACACAGGCACAAGTAAACTTTTTGTCACACGTGGGATTTATACTGGGTTGCCTTTAATTTGCCACTGAACCAGAGCGAAGCACACGCAGCTCAAAGTACATTATTGTAGCAAGACAAGCTTGACTGATCTTTTCTTTAGCTGCTAACTCACTAGTACAGTGAGGGATGGCAGAAAAAACCCGCGTCGATTTCCGTCTTCGTCAATTGAGAACGCGTTCATTAAAGGTTATCTTGGTGTTTTTGATTGGTATATTTCTCATTTTTCGTTTTAATTCTATGCATAAATATAATAAAGTGGGAATGTACTTTAATTAATGATCATTAAGAGCCAGAATTAACATATGCAAATGTACTTTTCATTCTACAAGATGACATCATTCGAATAGGATGAGACATTTTTAGTAAAATAAAAAATTGCTTCCAAAGCACAATAAAAACTTGCGATGATAAGCATAATTGTTGCTAATTTGAGATCAGCCTCTATTTTCGTTTCGCTTCAAAAATAACATTCCGGCAGGCAAGGCGAAACGAAAAGAGAGCCCAATTTTAGCGTTACGACATAAGAGAGAATGTATCAGAACTGCTAAAATTGGGCCTGATCTTTTTAAACACATCAGTTATGCTCAATTGTCATGGGGTTTTTTCCAGGGACTTTCCCCCCACTGATGCCTATAGTAGCAATATATTTAAAACGCTAGTTCCGTCTGCCGAGACATTTTAATTTTGATTCGTTGAGACTTATCCATCAGGTGGTAGGGTCCTCTTATTTGGAGTGACAAAAATGTAACGGGTTTAAATATTCCATTTAGTTTTTACTTTAGAGACAAACGGCACATCTTTTCATTGAGTTTTTTGATTTATATAATAATTTCTTATGTTATGCATAGCTAAAGAGACACTTAACCTGCGATCAGGCGTTTAGACTCGACATGTACGATCAGTACGTATACAGTCTTATCTCTTCTATAAACGGACACCTCTATGAGACCGGCCGCTATCTAATACAGACGTCATGCCCTGCTCATCAGTCATAGGGGACCATAAGACTGACGACGACGACCGCGACGGCAGCGAGAAAGTCACAAAAGCATCAACTGTTCGTGCGTGCATCACGGTTTCACAACTGGCATTTCTAGCTTTGTCGTCACTGCGCGACTACGATGTCAAATTGCCTAATTTCACATTTTATGGAGGACGTAAACATTCTTCCTGAACTTGTATAAGACGCTTAGTTAGGAATTCAACTCCAGGAGAGTTCGCATGCACTTTACAAAATAAGTGAGTTGGAATAATCGCGATGAAGATTGAAAAAACGCGAATTCAATTTTTAAGCAACGTGTTGGCTGCCGCTGCCGTCCTCGCATCTTAAGTTCGTTGCTAGTCCCAAAGGTGTCCAGAGAACTGACAAAATGGATTTTCGAGAATTTTCAAATAACACAAGTTGAAGTTACTTTGCTTTATCAGCACACTAATTAAATATACTCCACTTCGTAGGGTATTATGTAATTATTGAACTGACCAAGAGCCAAATTAATAAAAAATGACATCATTTCAAAGCAAAGCTGGGCGTTCTGCAAATATCGAAACTAAAACAAACAATATAAAATCTGAAAGTAAAATTAGCCGGTCCCGGAACATAAATTAAATTTCAAAATATTTATAGCATAACCATGGAGACCGTACACCTGCATTATGTTCAGTTTTTCCAATAATACTTTCTAGATATTTTTAGAAAAACATAATAGCATCATGACAGCTCATTGTATAGCCTGCGAACCGCAGACGCAGTTCCGGCGGTCGCTTCTCTCCCTTCCCTCTCGGCGGGTGAAACTAGAGCCAAAAACCCGGATGCTCTCGCAACCGTTATGATTTCTAAAACAAATTACAAACAACAAATATCGGTTAAAGTGTGGACAGTTTCATTTTATTCCTTCACTGTTTCAGGGGTTGTATATCGGTGTCCAGTTCCTGAATTCGTATTTAACACAGCTTTTTTGTAAGGCGGATGCAAACGAAGACATTGATCATTAAAAGTGTAGTCGCAGGATATTCTCCTAATTCTACACATATCTAATCAATTTCCCCACAGGTAGCCCAAGCTCGAAATATGAGCATCGGCGAGCATCAGCGTCAGGGGGTTGTGTAACATTCGATAAGGATTTATATGGGGAGAAAACCAATCGTTTCTGTAACCGACGAAAATGAAAGGATTTCAATAAAAAAAATGTATGTATGTAGGCATGTATGTATGTATGTATCTAACGGTTTTCTCTTTCTATATAAGGTTTATGAAGGTTGGGAACTCAAGCGAAGCAGCCCGACGGATCCACCGAAGGAAAACGGCCATAAATTCGTTCCAACGGCTCCAATCGGCTCCAAATTCCGCCTACTAGGTAACACACGATTGTTCAGCTTTCCCGGAGGAGACTTTCTTTTTTCCTTTTTTTAGATCGTTTTGTTTTGTTTTGTTTGGTTTGGTTTTGTTTTTTCTTTAAACATATTTTCATTTTTTGACAGACTTAAAGTATACCGTTAGACTAATAGCTGGTTCATTATCAGCTCTTATTTCTAAAATAATTAATCCACAAGTTAGCCATAGGCACCCTTTGATTTCTATTTTGCAGTTACTCCCTCTGCTCTATTATAAAGAAATCAAATGTACTGTTCTTTTTAATAGTTCTGTTAAGATCGCTCAAACTTTCATTTTTGTGTTGGCTGCTCTACGCAGCCTAATGACGATGATGATGATAAGGATGGCGGTGACGGTGATGATGATGACTATGAATGTGGATGCGGATGGTCATTGGTTAATTGGTTTTACTTTGGCACGTGTTTAGACTGAAGCGAAAATTTACACCGTTTTATGTTAGTTTTTAAAAGATTAGAGGAACAAAATTAATAAGTGTGCTGATACTCTTCACTGAAGAAACATTCACGGCGAGAAATTAAATTAGCCATCTTCAGAGCCAATTATGAAACGTTTACATGAATATTTTAATTCGTACTCAACATAATATACTCTAATCATAAATACTCATATATACTCTATACATTAAGGCAAATTTTCTGTACTTAAATTTCAACTTTCAATTCCAGTGCTTTGGTGAAACATGCGCCTAGGTATTTCAGACGTCAAAGAATTGGTGACGACATTTCACGAAATTTTGAAGGTAGGTCAGGAGATCATTCGCACAGCTTCTTCGAGGAAGAATTATGCCTTAAGGATCCCAACGCGTATTGCATATTTTGCACGAAAGGAAGAAGCAGAAATAAGGGGGAAGCTGAAGATTCTTTGCAAAGGAAGAAATTCCAACAGCGTTGTAAAGACCCTCTTATTACATGGACCATCCGGATACGGAAAACATTATTCAGCTGCAAACGTAATGGACACAATTTACACATCGCGAATAACAAATTCCTTCGTGTCACGCACTGACCAAAGTAAAACAAAATTTTTCGTACAAAAACCGGCGATACGGTGGACTTTAAATGCGACAAACACAAGAACCCTATTTGAGAGTTACTCCAGTCTGGCGAAAGAAATTGGGTTGATCGACGAAGCCAAAGCTGCCTATTGGGAGCTCCCACTTCACAGCAGGACATCGGAGGGAAGGCAATATCAAATGTACCTACACGATCGTAGTGAAAAAGACGCTTATGACGAAGCTTTGGAACAAATTTACGAAGAAGTTATGAGGGCACTGGGGCAAAACGATTCGTGGGTGATTTTGATCGAAGGATCCTCCGAAAATGTGGCTTCTCTTAGAAGGTTTTGGCCTCAACCTGGTGAGAGCGGGTTCGGAAATGGTCTAGTCATAATGACAACTGGTGACAATAACAACTCAAAACTTCTGTTTGGAGATGAAGATGACTCTGTACTGCAGAAAGTGTACATTGGAAAAATGACAAACCACGATGCAATTCAGTTTCTTCAAAGCAAAACGGACATGAAAGCAACTGGAAGTGACACAAACTATGCTAAAGACATAGCTGTCGACATGCTAAAGTGCAATCCCCAAGACATAGCAAAGTGAGTCAGTAAAGGATAATCAAAATTATTTAAGTTTTAAGCAACACTAGGACCTTAAGTAGAGAACGTCATATACATTGCACCCACCCTTGAAGAGTCTGCCATGTAATAGCTACTCTGGAGGAAAAAATTGATAAATCTACAGGTGTCATCTTCTGACAGCTAGTGGAGGAAGGCCATAGAAGGAGTGTCGGTGGATGACCGAGTTTAGATTTTTTATCTTTGATCCCTCTGTACAAAGATATGATAGTACACATTATTTTTTCCCTCACTCCAAAGTTTTTCGCATCCATTCAATTTCCAGACGCTGTATAGGGCAAAGATAGATTCTCTAAATTTATCTTACTGTTTTGTTTTTCTTGACTTTAGGTTTGGAAAATTTGTGAAAAACTACAAGGAAGAGACCAAAAGGAACCTTACTTACAAAGATTTAGCTGGGACGGAAACAGAAACTCCTAATGAGTGCATGTTGCTCCTCGAAATGACTCGTAAAAATCAAGAAAAGGTACTTGCCAGCAATTGAAGAGAAGAGAGCAGTGTCAATTAAATTAACCTTTAATGAATGGGGCTGAGTATCTTTTAAAGAATTATGGAGATCGGGGAGGGTGTTATCCGTCGAAGCCGTAGGCCAAGGCGGTACGGCCTCGACGGATAACACCCTCCAAGATCTCCATAATTCTTTATAAGGTAGTCAGCCTCATTCATTAATTCTCTGTTCTTACCATGTTTCTAGCTATTATTTCGCCGAGTTCTTACTCCTGAAACGGGTGAAATGTCCGCCATTTATGTTTTCACAACCAAAACATCTCAACCTCGTCCCCAGGTCTTCTCGGTTAACGGTGCATTAACCTGCAAGGAAGCTGCACTTTTGACGTCATCGGTTGATTAATCGCAAAATTCTTTCAAATTTGGTCATCAGTAGCTGGTTATGGTGAATTATGCGTGTGCTTTTAGCCAATCGGAATCGGGCAAAAATACATCCTCGGAGACCCAGGGTCAGTCAGTCGGGCCGGGTTAAAAGGCGCGACGAAAGTTTTCAAGCATGTGCGTGCTTGAAAACTTTTGTCGCGCCTTTTCTCCCGGCCCGACTGACTGACCCTGGGTCTCCGAGTATGGGAAATATTGAATGAATAATAATAGTTCTTAACCTGCAGTGTTCTCTACCTGCCAAATAACCGCTGGTACCGCCTGAGAGACTGACACGATATAATAACTACCGATCCGCCTTGCCTTCTATTTTAAGTGTCATCAGTTCTCTATTGCAAATCCTGATCTACACAAAGATCCGGCTTTCCTACTTGTCCATGTGTTAGTGGTCCGGGCAAGAATTGTTCGCCGATATAACTCAGCGGAAACAGAGACTATCTAGATCTTAATTTTTCAATTTTCACCGCCGGAATGCATGCTGACCGTAAAAGTCCTGCGACGGGCGTCTGTTGCCGTCTTTGAATCCTTTCATGTACCAAAACAGATTTGCAGGCAGAAAGCTATGTAGCGGATACTGTCGACGCCCGCCAGCTGTGTATGAAAATAAGGCTTTGATTGAGTTGAGGGTCCCCAATAGGTTTTTCGGGATCCGAGATTTCCCTCATTTAAAGCTCGGGATTCGGGATTTTAAAGCAAAATCGGGCGAGATTAAGGATTGAAAGTGTGCGTGCGAGTTAGAATGCCCAAAATAAGCCTCGGGATTATGGGATTGCACGAAATTTTGGGTCCGGATTACGGGATTGAAAAACCCTATTGGGGACCCTCTGAGTTTTGTGACTTGAAATTTCCTGATAAACGGTCTCAGCATCATGTTATCAAGCATAAGAGCAAAAAATCAAACGGTTTAGAATAACCCTGTGAGTTTCTGCTAAGTAGTGATCTTCAACGGTCCCCATACCTAATTCCCTCAAACATTCGGACCGATGAACGTGATGAAGTCGAAAACCAGATCTCGTTCGTCCTTATATAAGTCCATTTTGAATCCCTTCTTTCCGGTAGGGGAAAAAAATTGAACGGTGAAGCCTACGAGCAGGCCCACGTGTGCTAATGCGGGAAAAATATTGGCGACAGAACCTCCATCGCGCGTTTCCTCGCGGTTAAAGAACCACTACGCATGTGGGATTGGATAGGAAAGGCACCTTGCATAGGACTTTTGAGTCCTGTTCATTTCGTCCCCTCTGGGTTGGGCTGTGCTCAGAAAATTAAAGCTGGTAACGAAGTTGTAACGTAGCAAAACAAAATGCTGGGTCCTTGAGGACGTCACGACATTTGACCTGGAGCCCGGTGTTGATAGGGCTGTTGATAGGGGTGTCAGATGGTTTCTTCCTCGGGCTCTCAACAAAAGTTGAAAAACTAACATAACTTTCAGATCCTTTGACTGAAGCTTTACAGGTGCCAAAATAAGATCCATGTTTTCATCCCCAACAAATAAAACAAAGATTATTATGAGCTTCATTTTGTTCAAGACGAGTTTTAGAATCTATTTTGACCGCGGTAGTAAAATGGAATCAGCGTTTCCAAACCTTCTCCAGAGTAGCTCGAAAAGTCATTTGAAGTGTGGCGAAAATTTGGAGTAGTAAATCTTACATTTCGGTTTGGACAAACAAACGAAACAAGAGTATAGAAGCGGCTAACTCAATTTACTTGTATTTAATGACATTCACAAGAACAAAACTTGTTTTTCTCTTTCTTGACAGATTTTGAAATTCTTGGCGTGCTGTTCAGTTGAATCCGACTATTTGCCTTTACACTGTCTAGAGAGTTGTTTTAAAGAGGCCACAGAGACTGTAAAACAAAGCAACTTTGTGGATGTTCTTGAACGAGACGGAGTAAAAGAAGTGACAATGCATGAGAGGGATCATAAGACACTGAGAGACTTACTGACCGGTCGAAAACTATCAACGTGCGGTAAGAAAGGAAAAAGGGGTACTATATTGGGAGAAGTGTGTTAAGTTATTGCAGCAAATTTGAAAATAAATTCATTTAAGGTCCTTTCCAATTTTAATGTATATAGAAATATTATTTTATTTCAATCATAGTCCCCACATATTTAGCATTTAGCACTCTTTTAGTAGCCCATGCAAAAGAGCACCAACAAAGTCTACCACAATACAAGACTCTCTTCTTTGCCATCACTGTTAAGTTTTCTTCTTTTCAAAGTACGTTCCGATGCTGTGAAGGTGGGTAGATGTGTTTTTAGATTTAAACTGTTGACCTCTAGATCTGTCACAAGGTTTTTAATTTCCTTCCTTCTCTTCTTCAACAGCTGGGTTATGAGTTAATGGTTTTTTTGGTTTGCCATCCAGCTTTCACGAGCAACCTCAAGGATTTTTCTAGAATACCGTGAGCCACTAACGTTAGTTCTGTTGAAATTCTCCCTGTAAAATTATTGACAGTGGCTGTAGTTCATGCTTTCAGTTTCTGAACTCATATCCCGCTTAGATAAATAAGTGGCCTTCCCTGAGCCATGTTTTGCTTTAAATTTTCAGAGGAAACATGGCCTGGCTTCTTTTGGCAGCTTGTGAAACAGGGAACCGGTCTAATTAGAGACGAGACAAACAAGATTATCCCGCCAACATTATCAGCTTCTGACGTACTTCAGGCCATTAAATGTCTAAGCAGCAATTGCAAAGAACCCTTGCAACAGAGAAGAGATCAGGACTTCATTATGCTACACAAAATATTGCCACATTTGAAAACGGCAATGGAGGTAATTAACCTTCTCATCGTTCATCTTTCAAAGGCTTTTGACAGTACTATTCTGGTCAAAATCTTGGCACGCCTTGCTTAAATTTTATGTTAACTTCACTCAATTTAACAGCTGGGCAAGTATCTGATACCACAAAGTGATGGCGAGGAAAATCCACTCATCGTGGCTGATGGACACGCATGTCTGGGAGAATTGTTGCTCTTTGTTGGTGAGTCCGAGGAAGCGAGAAAAAATCTGGAGATTGCCTTACGTGGTTTCAAAGATTATAGCGGCCCGGAGAATGTGCTACTTGACGAAGCCAACGTGCTTCACTTCCTTGGAGAGGCGTACTGTAACAGGTATGATCAGTCCAGTCGATCCTCATACATCTTCCGTTACAAGCGGGTACTTACCGGCTACATACTAACAATCACACTATAAGAAGCACCTCTCCTAAGCGGATGCTTACGCAATGATCCCAGCGACTCACTAACACTGCAAACCTATCATAAGCGAACACTTAATCATCGTCCCAGAGAGATACAAACACCGGTCACCTCTCCTAAGCGGACAATTTTTCCAGTTATGTCCAGAAATGCACACAATGGCGAAAATGGCGACTCTGGCAAAACATCGTCAGAGGTGCTCCTTGGTAAAGTAGACAGGTTGACGAAAATGGCGAATCTGGAAAAAATAAAAAATCTGACGAAAATTGCCATGGGATTGGCTAATATTTGAAATTAGATAACAAAAGGAGGCCCTTAAAGAGTGGCGATTTTGACCAAAACGGAGAAGGCTGGTGAAAATTCAAGTGAGATTTCAACGGATCCCCCTTACGGAGGTGAAAGTTCGCCCAAATGATCACTTTCGAAGCGGTTCTTTTGCCATGTCAATTGAATTTTTGCCAGAAATTTGCTGAATTTCAGCCAGATTATCCATTTTAACCAAAATCGTCATTCTCTGGTGCTTCACAAGCGAAACTTTCTAAGCAGCGGGCTTTTTTTCATCTCATTTAAATTTTGACCAAAACTTTGCAAAGCCAAATTAGCCAAAATCGCCATTTCCGGCAAAATTGCTACTTTCTAAGGGATCCATTTTGCCATGATTTCTTCTTCCCATCATTTATACCCCTCTTATACAAGAGCTTTTACCTCCATTCAACCGCGAGTCATGTCTGTTCGATTCTTCATGTTGCCGTACGTTACGTGAACCCGACGAATCTTAAAATTACACAAAAAAGGTATTACTGCGAACTGCAAACGGCGAACTATACTTTACAGTCTGTGGATCGAAAACTTTGGTAGTAAGGTGTCTCAATTAATCCCTAATAAGGTACGTTCACTCAGACAGAGATATCACGGAGGAGCGGCGAGGATTTATCACGAATTGATGGCTACCAAACATCCGTTTTTGGTGTGTTTTGCCCTTCCATGAATGACATTAATCTTTTGGTGAATAGCCTGACAAGAGCTGATAGCGTTCAAATAGTGTTTTTCAATGGACCTTTAGTCGACAGGCGCGCAGTATAGGCCTGGCTGACTTTCATTTCCACACATCCTGAATGTTGCACGCATGACTACTACACACTAACCTCACCAATACTTTGAGCTCTTAAGCTTTTTAGCACAAGTGGTAGAGTGATCAAACCAAAAATTTGTAGGCCCCGGCCTCCAGGTCTATGGACTGGCTACGCCCCCGGTTGACTGTACTGAGCCCTTATACAAATTCTCATATAGTTATTGCTTTTTATAGCTATCTTGGAGACCCTTCGAAAGGGAAGGAGTATCTTAAACAAGCGCTCAAAGAAAAAGAACGTCATTACAAGGGAAAAGCCGATCCACAAGTTGCTTTTACTTTAAGAAGTCTAGCAAATGTCTTGAACGAACTGGGGAAACACAGCGAGGCTATGTGAGTGTTGTAGCTGTATGCTCTGCATTACTGTCCTTATTTTGCTTTCGAATTCTGTGTAATAAGGTTTAATCAGTATGTATTAAGGTAGCTCTTTACCCACGAAACTTCTTGGTCTCCCGGCATTGCTTCCGCAAGCGTTTCTTTTTCTTTTCCTTTTTTTTATTCGTGGAGCGCCCCAAAATTGGAATCATGGTCCCAGGTGTTCCTGACGCAGCGCCATGCTTTATTTGGTGCAAAAAGCTTAAGAAAGATTGACGCGAAAGATGTCGAGCTTTTCCGGAACGGGTCGGTCCACGAATTCTATCGCTTGAAAGCGTTGATTTCTTTCAGGAACAAGTGAATACTTCAGTGAAAACTTCGATGGTGAGGCTATAAACTGGTCGGGTGTTGTAAACGTGCATTACATGCAAATGAGTCTTGTGATGAGCATGCGGTTTATTTTCGGCGGTGATTGAAAAAACGCGCCATGTTCGTCACGTTTTTGGTCTCTGGCAATGATGTAATTTCTCTCGCATTGATTTTCGTGTATTTATACACGCGTCCTCAATCACTGTCCAATAAGATATAACAAGTAAATGCCCTGAAGAATACTCGACTGTCGATAAAGACGGAAGTGAAAAACTACTCTCCTGTTTCCTGTGGAATTAATCGCCTTACTTCTTATCTAATCTCCAAGCAAGCGAGACTGAGAAATGTTTTAAGAGCGTTCTTGTTGTAGTTAAGTTAGTTATAGCTCAAATTACGGCAAATAAACAACACAACAAGAACAATCATATTTGCTGTATCTTCTACAGTGAATATTCAAAGAGAGCTGTTGATGTCTATTATGAGAATGGGCACCATTTCAAGCAAGAATATGGCTACAGCCTGAGTACACTGGGATCGTCGCATCGTTACTTGGGTCAGTATGTTCAGGCGGAAAAATGCCTGAAAGAAGCTCTAAAGATCTTCAGATCAGTCGATTCACCAAGCAAACTACGGGTAACTATTTTAGATTGTTTAAGCGCGCAAGGACACCTGATTCAGATCTTAATCATTAACAATTAATGCCTATTCGGCTTTCGTATCATATGAAGAATTATGGAGATCGAGAAGGGTACGGTCGAGGCGGATAACACCCTCCGAGGTCTCCATTTTTGTTTTCACAACCAAAGACAGCTCAACCTCGTCCCCAGGTCTTCTCGGTTAACGGTGCATTAACCTTCGTGAGAGCTGCACTTTTGACGTCATCGGTTGATTAATCGCAAAATTCTTCCAAATTTGGTCATCAGTAGCTGGCTATGGGGAATTATGCGTGTGCTTTTAGCCAATCAGAATCGGGGAAATATTTTGACTGAACAATAAGACCACTTAAATGACAGTTAAGCCAGGGCTCACTTACGGCAGACGTAGTTAAGCCAGGGAGCCTCTATCTGCTACCAATAACTGCCACAGCCAGCAGTATATATATTTCGATGGTAATTTCAAGTCTCCTGTTTGATTTAGGGTCTCTTCTCTACTGTATAGAATCACTTACTGCGCGAGATTCCGATGACACTAAACTCAAGATGGAGTTGAAAGACTATCTAATGAATGGGTTAAACCAAAAAAGCCTTACACGCCACCAGCTACTACTTTGACTTACTGACAGCTTTTCTCGATGACGGGATGAATCTATTAATAGCCCTTAGAATCTCCAGTAATATGCAGTGACCATGGGTGACCGAGACCTTAGAGAAACGGCACCTCCAGAACGATGCGCAGGCTCTTTAGCTTGAGGCAATTAGGGTGATACTTTATCCATGATCGCAAAATTTACATCGTGCAAGCATCCAAGAAAGCATGCTTACTTCTTTTACAATTAAGGTTGATGTATCCGAAGCTGCTTATGATTCTTTTCGTGCATATTTTCCCCGCAATGTCACAAGTTACAGTTAAAACATAGTTGCTTTGCTATATATGGTAACCCAGAAGATCTCTTTTGCAGATGGGTGTCACCCTAAGCCGACTAGCTTCAGTTCAGAGATGTTTGGACAAACTGGACGAGAGCATCAAGTCGTTGATGGAAGCCAAAGAAATGCTTGGCAACAATAATATTTACATCGCTATCATACTATCAAAGCTGAGTGTTGTTTACCGCCACAAGGGAGATTCAAAAAACAGTTTGCTTTTTGCAGAGGAGGCTGCAGAGATCACCGATAAGCACCATGGCAGGAAAGATCACCCTGGTAAGTGCTCATATCTTTTACTGGTACTTGACCCAGACCCACATTTTCAGGACACTGTATAGCTCAAGACGTTCAACTAGAAAAGATTGGAAGCTAAGGCTAAGCGATTCACACGTTAGGATTTGTCCAGCCAATCTGGAACGACTGGTGACGAAAACAAGCTGCGGTGAACACAAAAATCGACCCGGTAAGGGTTGATTTCCACTGTCGCGTTATTTTTCCAGGCGAACGCACGTAAAATCTGCGGGTGTAAATGAAATAGAGGCAATGTATGAAAGGCCACAAGTAAAGGTAAAAGTTGAGCGTGACCATCCATTCAATGTCTTTTCATTCATTCTTTATTTACGCACGTAAAATTTACGTGCGCACGCATGGAATAATTACGCGACAGTGGAAATCCACCTTAGTCATAGCGTATAAATTAGCCATTGTCAGTGTTGGGTCAACAAAACCTCAACTAACTTTGGAAGATAATTAACTAATTAACTAACCTAAGAGGCTGGTTAATCTGCGCAGTTCGTTTGGGACGGCATTTGGAACTTGTTTCTGCTTTTTGTAGTACTTATTTTTTTTGAAACAGTGCTTTTTTTAATCTCAATGGTGAATTTTCCTTTATAAGACATAACGCCAAGGGCAAGCTCACGGCCATTCTGGAATCTTTCCTGAATCTCTCCTTTCCGAATGAGACTATGAGCTTGTTTGATGGCAAATAAGATACATAAGGCGGATAGACTTCTTTATCTCTTTCTTTTTTCTCTTGTAAAAAGTTATAGCCACCGCACTGCTAAACCTTGGCCATGCACAAAGCGATACGGGGAGAGTGGAGGATGCAGAAAGAAATCTAAACAAGGCACTGCAAATATTTACAAAGAACTTCATGGAGAAAATCATCGAATTATTGCCGCCAACCTAAACTACCTAGGATATGCCTACCTGCAAATGGGAAAAGTGCAGAAAGCAAAAGAAACGCTGGAAAGGGCAGTAGAAATCATGGACAACCTTTCTCCTCCGCATCCAGGTAATTTGTCTCTTGAGCCCAATTTCAGGGGTAATTGGATGTTCTCTAGTACTACCACCGTTCAGATCCATTCTTCAGAATATTTCACTGAACACAGGAATTTGCAAAAAACTCTTTGGAACTTAAGGAACTGAAAAGATCATGCCGTTCATAGACGTTTTTATATCTTCATGAACAACGTACATGTTTTACAGTCAACTAGTTCTAACACAGCCTTTGTTTTGAATAGCAGTAAGTATCCTTCTTTGTGGAGAGGTGAACGCTTTTACAAGCGTGTGCAAAATGACTGAAAAATGGCAGGACCAACTCTATTTTAATAAGCAATAGAAAGCGTTTTCCGTGTTTGCATAGCCTGATATAAACACGAGAGGGGTTGGGAGAATTCGAGACAGTTATGCAACCCCGAGACGAAGTCGAGGGTTTGCATGACTGTCTCGAATTTTCCCAACCCCTCGAGTGTTTATATCAGGCTATGCAAACACAGGAAAAAGTTTTCTATTGCTTTTATAAAATAACTTTCTCGAGAAAAACGCGAAACTCTTTGTTATGGCATTGATTAAAAGAGAAATTCTTACCAGTCGCAAAGTCGTACATACATACTGTCATGCAAACACTCCTCTCGGCGAATCAGAGGGCGCGTACTATCTTAGTATTTGTAGTCACGTTAGGGAGATAGAGAGAGAGAGAGTTCACAATATTTTAATTTTATTAGCAGAAAAGGCAAATTCACTGAAAAGGCTCAGCAAAGCTTGCTTAATCCTTGGCGACACCGTAAAAAGTGCTGATTTTGCAAACCGTGCTCTAAAGATCTACAAGGAAACGCATGGAAACATGATGCAACACAGAGAAGTATGTGATTAACTTTATACCTCATGTGTCTCTAAGAAAAATGAGGGCTTGTTATGGTACTGCTAACGTTGATTTCGTTCACGCATGGAAACATGGAAACACGCATCGTTCAGTTTAAGACACCGCTAAAAGACATTTAGAAGGGACACTGGCACTCCAGATAATTGAATAGCCGCGGTACAAGAGGGAAAATGCCTCAAATAGCTTATGTTCGGTTGAAATAAAGGTCTTTTATCGATACCTAAGAAAATGCAGCTCACCTTTTCAACTGGATCTCTTTTCGTTGAGAGAACATGTCTCGAAGGCTCCTCTCATCATATATAACATCACCAAATTCCTTGTCCCGTTCATAGTTCCAATCCTAATTCCGTTACCTTTTCCCTCTCAAATCCCGAATCTCAGCCTTCAAATTTTTACATATCAATCCCGATCCCGAAAAACTCATTGTAGACATTATATTGTACGACACTGTTTTACAGGTGAGGAAATGTACGCTGAGAGTTGCATACGCATGCTCAAAGCTTGGACTTTTCAGCAAGGCCAAGGAATATCTTAAAGGGGTTGAGCTTGGTTTTTCTGAGGAGAATAGGGCCCATTCAGAGTACGCTGTATTTCTTCGAACAAAAACTGAAATGGCGTTGGACAATCTTGAATTCAGCTGGCCCGAGGATGAAGAAGGCATTCAAGAAATCTTCACAGAGGCAGGAAGAGATCTCAATAAAGCGGATGAAATAATTCAACAGTCTCTTGGTAGCGATCACCAACAGTATGCATTCTTGAAGCGAGAAAAAGCTCGTCTATACGTTCTTACTGGCCATTACGAGAAAGCCTGGAAAGAGATTGACTGTGCTCTTGCTATTGCTACGAGCTACCAAAGGCGTGACTTAGAGGCTGGCTTTTTACTTATTCGAGCAGATGCTGAGGGCAAGCTTCAGCTGTCCAGTGGAAGAAAGGAATCCTTGGCAACAGCGGACCAATTGCATCGCAGTACTTTGGGTAATGATCATCCAATGGTTGCCACCACACTACAAAAGCGATGTCAGAAAAACATTGATCAGAAAAATCTTACTCTGGCAGAGGAATATCTGGAAGCAAGCGCAAAAATCTGTGAAATTCTTAAAAGTAACTTACGATTGCAATTACAAAGTAGTAGTTGTGATTTTCTTACCAATTACAGTTTGGATCAACACCCTGTTTTAAAGCGTCAACAGCAGCTAGAAAGAAGACTAAGGGGCAGTCCTGTTGGGGCATGGTTTCGTTGATCAAACACACTAACTTTACCCAGACCGGGCCTTTTTTTCTCCTTGGGACCCGGGTGGGGATCTTCAGAGGTCCCTCTCAATAACTTTAAAACTGCTCATAAGGATACGGTCACCAAAATTACACAGTATAATATGCTCAGCATTTCCAACATCTACGTAGTTTGATTGATACAGTGACGTGTGTGATGTCATCATGATGTCATGTTGTTAAATTGATTGACAGTAGTTCTGTCCCGATTGTGCTCGGTACTTTTTAGCAACTTTTGGCGTTTGGAGCAACTTTTTGCTGTTCTAGCCACCTTGAGCAATTTTTACCTTTCTAAGGAGTTTTTGAGCAAAATATTGGTTTAGAGATCATATCGATATGAAACACGAAAAAGTTAACGATCTCATAGAAAAGTTTAATTTATGCGAATTTCTTGAACGGTTATCAACCTATTGAACGCATATATAACCTTTAACTTGACGTTTCGCAGGCCAAAAAGGCATTTAAACGTGTTTTTAAGCACGTTTAAATGCGTTTATCGGAGCAGCTTTTAGTGCGTAAATTTGCCTTTCTTTCATATTTCAGTAGAGAATTTATGAATTATCTTTTTTTAAAAAAGAGCCAAATCCTCCCCTGTGGAAGATCATGGGCGCAAGATAAAAGTAGCCGAGCTGCTAGGTCAGAGGTTTTTAAAGAGAAGATCCAAAATTGTGGAAGAAGATTCACACTCGACTGACTTGAGTGTCGCGGGTGAAGAAGGTCATTCCACAATTTTATTGTCTCATTACGTTTTTTGGTCAAAAATGTTTAGAAATCTTACTTTGTTGTACAATTTGCATATTTTAGCATCAGACCCAAAAAAGTTTTTGTTTTTTTCGAGCAATTTTGAGCAACTTTCGTGACAAAAAGCAACTTTTGAGCGACTTTTTGAGAAATTACAGGAAACTTTTTGGAAAATCGCGTGCAACTTGTGGAAAGTCCTAGTTACAATTCGAAGAATTATTTGCGAGCATCTTTTTAAAGCTGTGTTTTCAAGCTATTTTTCCTGACCGATGTTAAAAATTATTGTGAAGAATGAAAAATAATTAGCTTTTAATTGATGTTTTAACGAAAATATCAAGAAATTTGGGTGGCAACGTTTGAAAGTTAGGTGGCATTTTTTAAATTATTTTTGCAATTTTTTCGGCAACTTTTTGGCATTCCAGTGAGCAACTTTTCAGCATTTCACGAGTGCAATCGGGACAAGCCTAATTGACAGAGACCAAATTTAATTAATTTTCTCGTAAAAGTAGCCATAAACCGAAAAATATTGAAATATTAAGGGCAATGATAAAATCATGAAGTTGGCCACAATTTTTAACGATAGCGGTGAAGTCATGATGACGTCATTTGTTATTAAAGCTGGAGCAATTCGCTATCTTGGATCTGCAATTTCAGACGAATTAATAAAATGCATTCCATTGTGCTTAAGACCATCGAGGCCAAATCTTGGTCGAATCTCAGTGAGCTGCCAAAAACACATAGATTTAAACAGAAATGAAGATATATCTCACTAGATTTTTCAACAGTCAGCGCACAGTCTAGAAAATAAAGGAGTCCATAACACGGAGCAAGCGACTCCCAAACTAGGCCTATGTCACGGCGTTTTTACGGACCAGTTTATTTTTAGAAACATTTTAGGGCACTTTTTTCCGCGAAAATAGAATCTCCACGATGCTCATTCTAAGTATGAGGGATCAAAAAGGAAATTACACGTTATTAAGACGCAAAAAAATATCATTTTCAGGTCTGTAGGTTTTGCTGACTGGTTTGTGGAATTTAAAATATATTCAAAATTCGCGCCAAAACCGTTCTAAAAATAAAGTGGTCCGTGACAACGCCGTGACACGAGCGCATGGAATTTGCAAACGTTTTTGTAGAACTTTAACCTTGACAATGAAAACAATCAGAGGTTGTTCAAAAAACGTCGGGAAGTCTATGATACGAAGGTTAATGCTGAGATTATTTTAAAAACTACAAGAATATAAAATCTGGCATTAAGAAGTGAAAAGAACTGAGATTTATCAAAAGTAACTTATTAACGGGCTGAAAAATGGCCGAGAATTTAGATGAAAGCTAAGGTGAGAGTTCAATACTTCCATCCAGACCCTAATGTAGAAACTATAATAGACCAAAGTAACACTCAGATATAAAAAAACGCAGGTGTAAAAGGCAGAGTGATGAATATATAAGTTCTTTCTTCCTTCAAGAAGAACATTGAAATTAAAATAGATACGAGGCCAAATTAGCCCACATGTTTAGAAAAACGGCTGGTCTCCGTTTCCCAAACATTTATAAGTGGCACTCCACTATTGTTAGTCAGGACCAGGAGTCCATAACAGAGCTCTTGGTTATACACTTTCAGTTATCCAGAATTGTTAATGATTTTGTGCATATCTTGGACGGTTTAGAAGAGTTCTATTTTGTTTATAAAAATATATCTTTTTGTATTTAGCTCACATATATTTTATCATTTTATTTAGGAAAACGTTATAGGTCTTGTAGGGCCAAACTCTACTTTTTATTTAAAGATTACATCACTCGAACATTGATAAGACATTATATCATAATATGTTATACTATGTTGGCTACCTTGATGAAAGGAACAACAGGGTACCCACACAATCTACTATGTGTATAAACCTTTATACAGTAAATGTATTTAAGTTAGTGTTTGCTCCATCTGTAGCGATATATCCTCTAAATATGTTCACGTGGATCAACGCTAAATAAATGATTTATTTCCTTACCCGTGGTGAATTGGTGCCTTTTGCCTCAGAAGTATTGAGCGATTTTCAAGGATTTTGAGTCCGTAATCTCATCTTTTGATTTTGTTTGTGAGAAAGGTTTTTGTTTGTGTGATGTAATAATGATCTGAATACTGAATATCAAAAGCGTTTTGGGCCAGTACGATAGTCATCGCTGATTTCTAGGTACTCAATAACCGCTACACTCATGAATTTAAACATGTCTGCTCCGTTGAGGGGACTGTCAGAGATGCCATAACAATTTTTCAACAAGACAATTTTTTTTGCGATTAGATTATTGTGAAGCTTGTATCCTGTGTGCTTATTCACGTTACAGCCTGCGCGAAATCGCGTGGGTTACTGATGACTAACCATTACACACACTTGAGTCACTACTCTACATGTGTTGGGCGGGCGTTCCCATTTGAAAAAGGGGATGCTCCATCTCGTTCCCAGGGCTTCTTCTTCATTAAAATAGGGTAGAAGTCGTTGATACTCCTCGTCTTGCTTAAGGGGTCGAAATTGCACATTTTGGTGTCCCTTAGAGCCAGTACTTTTTCGCTGTAAAGATATCCCTCATAAGGTTGTGCGTAAACAGACACCCATCTGAAGAGAAGCAAAGACCTTCACACTGTGTTGAAGTTGGACGCGCGCGATCTTGGGAGCCTGGAACAGGCGACGTAAGCGACGTTCAGCGTTTCAGGAAGGCCCGGTTACGCAGCACACTTGAGGTCTTGAGGTCGTGACCAAAGTCTCGGTTTGTCTTATCAGATCTCGAACAAAACTTCACGTGCTTACCTGCATACAACGATAGCGTGGCGCTGCAGAAGGGGGCCTTCTTGTTGTACAACTCATCAATGGATTCAGTGAATGCTTGGACGGTTTTGCCTCTTCTATGCTTTTTTGCCCTCATCGGGACGACAGATTCTCATGTTTTCTCGCATGACGACGCACGGAGCTTAAATGGACCAGTAGCGCAATCTTTTGTTGATAGATTGTTCGAAGAATATGGCGCAAACAAATCAATGAACCTAAAGCAGTTTAGTGCCTTGCTGAAAGAACTTAAAGTTGGTTCCATGTATACTACAGGACAGAAAAGCAGTAGTGAAACAGCTAAGGGAAATGTAGCGACAAATGGCGCTGATAAGGTAAGACCACATGGGTAACAATAAATTTTAGGTAGCATTCTGTTTGTCGAAGTGTTTAATGAGTTTAGTACATAACACCAAAACAAACCAAGAAACTATTATTAAGCTTATAGATTTCTGATAAGAGATTTGTTTTGGCGGTCTGGCTAAGATATCCTCTTTATTTTGCTTTTGACTATGCAATCTCCATAATTCGCAGGCAGTAACCTCAATGACATTAAAAATGATCGAAGTGTAATCACGCCGGCGGAAAACCACGCCGGCGATGCGGTGTAGATTGTGTTAAGACTTGATCATGTAGCTTGAATCACATGTTTTTCACTTTCTTGAGTTACGAACGAGCCGAGTCTTGCAAGTTTTCTGATCGACTCCATTATTCTTTGTGTCACTGAACTGAATCGATCACACGTGGCAATATACCATTTGGATCGAATAATTATTAATTTTAATCTTGATGCTAACAGATTCTACAATATCATCTTGTAAAACTTCCTCTCAGTATAAAATGATGGTTTTGAACGATAGGCATACTGGGCAGATACCTTCGTGCACAGCCTTGTCAAATACCTTTACGAGTCCCAAGTACATGGCGTGACTTTAAGCAACACTAGTTACAGTGGTTTATATACTTTTGTTTCCATGTAGGACGTGGCACTTTTTTTTCCTTCTTAACACTATTGTTTATTACGACACAAACTTTAATTAAATTACTAGGTTTACTGTCCTCCATTTGAAATAATTAATTTCTATAAGATTTACATATATTTTGTATAATGCATGTATACTACATCATGCAAGTGCTTACTTGATAAACTTAGCTATGATGAGTGCCGAATGATAAGCACACACACCAAGTGCTACACAGAGTAACAAAAAGCAGTCATTGAAAAAGCCACTCTCAGAGTAGTTTTAGAACTTCGGGTGTGAAGCATGAGAATTGAGCCCTCTATTTTTTATGCTGTGGCTATATGGCCGTTAACCAGTCAAAGTTTTCAAAACACTAAATAACCGGCAGTCTGGTATTTTTAACAAATTTGGCTTATCTAAGAATCACTCTTAGTTTTAATTCTCCTCAACAGAAAATATATTCTTACGGGAAGAATTTTGTTGCTGTTAAGAAGAATTTAGATCTTCGGATTCTTCGTCCCCAGAGGAGAATTATAATTCTGTGCAGAAGAAATATGATTCTCGAGACAAGAATCCTAGTTCTTCCCCCAAGATTAATAATTCTTTTAAGAAGAAACTCGTTTTGCTTGGTTCTTTTCGGAAGAATTCTTTTTCTTTTCGCGAGACAGAAGGTTCTTTTGAGAAGAATCTCAGTCTTAAAGGATCTTCTCGGAAGAATCCTAGTTCTTTCTCCAAGATTAAGAATTCTTTTAAGAAGAAACTCGTTTTGGTTGGTTCTTTTCGGAAGAATTATTTTTCTTTTCGCGAGACAGAAGGTTCTTTTGAGAAGAATCTCAGTCTTAAAGCAGATCTTCTCGGAAGAATCCTAGTTCTTTCTCCAAGATTAAGAATTCTTTTTAGAAGAAACTAGTTTTGGTTAGTCCTTTTCGGAAGAATTCTTTTTCTTTTTGCAAGACAGAAAGTTCTTTTGAGAAGAATCTCAGTCTTAAGGAATCTTCTCGGAAGAATAGTTCTGTACATCCCAAGAATGAATATTCTTCTGGGCAGGACATAATTTTTCAAACGATCTTGATAAAAGAATCACTGTTCTTCCCTCAAGATTAAAATTTATTTGACGAGAATCTCATCTTAGACTTTTATATGATCTTGTTGGGAGAATTCTTGTTCCCCTCCCAAGATTTACTATCCATCTGAAAAGAATCTGGGTAATCCTTGTTCTTCTTTGAATACTGATTATTCCAAAGAGAAAATAATACATAATACATAATTTAATATAAAGGATATTGATATTACTACATCTTTCACATTAAATTATTAATACAACCAAACTGGCATTATTATACTAAACAATTTAACATTTCATTTCTTGGTTGTACGCATAGAACAACATATATACATAAATGTAGAATATTGATATTATTACATCTTTTTTATTAATGCAACTAAGTCAGCATTAATTCTGCCCAATATTAAACGTTTCCATTTTACACAAGAGGCATACTTTCTATAAGACATAACATTTAGCAAAAAGGCTGCTGGCTGAATACAAGTTGTAATCCACAAAATGACTGTCACAGCCCTGTCCTGAGCTCTGTCCATGAAAAATCTGTGCGACATGCACAAGAGTATGGAAATGATACACGTACAAAGAGCTTTACTGGTCACTTTGCTTGTAGATTAGTACACAAGCATTATTGTGCTACCTTTTGTAAAAGGCTAAATGACAGAATTTAGAGAAAAAGAAATAATCAAATCTGTACTCAAAACACCTAAACTTAATTTTATCATATCCAGTTTGGTAAAAATTCAAGGATGGACCCTTGCGCAAATTTAGACTTGTCAATGATTTATTGAATTCAGTGACATCCACTGAAATTTAAGGACTCTTCAAAATCAAGACTGGCCAAAGCATGGAAATTAAAATCAACTTGTCAAGAAACAACTGCCAAAATTATATATACCTAACCAACATTAACAAAATCAGAGTGCAAAGAAAGTCAGTTTTACAGCCTTCCAATTGGGCAAGTGGTGGCTAACATATACTAGCCCACAAGTCATTTCAACTAGCCCCAAAACCCTTTTTGATTTGCATGATTGATTACAATCCTCTTGTAATTTGAATTTCCCAAAAAAACAGCACTTGCCTGTCGGGCAAGTTAAGAACAAAATCACTAGCCCGATAGCAAAATCCACTAGCCCCAAGCTATCAGACAAACCTTTCTTTGCACGCTGAAAATGTAACTTACCACTCTGACTGTTACAATCTGTGATAAAATAGTTGTCAAGTTGCAATATTAAATTATTACAAAAAAGTAGCAAAATTATGGACACAGGCATACCAACTATTGTACCCCCCTATTCCTTCTCTTTGATCTCTTTTCTCGCAGACCAAACGTGCACTTTTTGTGCTAATAAACAACACTGAATTGGAAAAAGGGGGTATTGCATTAAAGTGTGGCAAATATTATTAGTCTCGCTTGCTTTAGAAAAGCGAGACTCTTAAAATGCGAAGCTTTTTTTTTTTTTTTTTCGGTGGGACCTAGTTTGTAGGCCCCGCGTTCCTACGGAAGACCGTGGAAACTGGGGATAAGAATCGTGACGACTTTCATTGTATGGAAATGAGTCTCCTGATGAGAATGCAGTTTATTTCGGCGATGACTGAAATGACGCATGTAAGTTTGGCAATGACGTAATTTTCCTCGAATGGAGGCCCTTGATTTCGTGTAATTATGCACGACATGCAGGCACATCCCCAAGCAGGATGAGAAAATATTATAGCGGAGAAATCCTTAGGATTTTGTGGCTTTTTAAGGCGTTACGTTTCTCAGAATATTGTCGCAATTACAGGAAATGTACGGTTAAATAGATTCACTTTGTTTTATGTATTTAATTGATAGATTTTCGCAGTTGTTACGATGTGAAGTCGTGTTGCACTTCATAAATACTTGAGATATGAAGTATCCACTGTCACGTAATTTTTACGTGCGCACGTGCGTAAAATTTGCGTTCGCAAATAAAATAAAGGCAATGTATGAAAGGCTGCACGTACAATTATGTAAGCGTAAAAGTAGAAACTCGCTTAATTTGACGTTTAATCTCAATACTTTATGTCTTACCTCTATTTGATTTACGTGATTAAAATTTACGTGCGTTAACGTGCGGAGCCAAAAACGCATCAGTGGAAATCCACCCTAACGTGTCACGGGTAGCTTTGAACTTGACTAACCGCACACTCTACTTGCAGCACTTCGAGTCCATAGTTAATAGAAATCCCATATCGATCTTTTCCGGAACAGGTTGGTCCAAGAATTCTATGGCTTGAAAGCGTTGATTATTTTGGAACAACTGATCACTTCAGTGGTCGAAAAAAAAAAGAATAATCTTAATGGGCAAAACTTCAAGGTTTACTGGAAAATCAGGATCGAGGATCGAGGATCAAGAAATCAGGGATCAAGGATCGGTTAAAAAGAACTTGAAAATAAAATGAGTAAATAAATCGTGGATCAGTGATGATGTGGGCCGCAGACTGTAGATAAATTTCACAGAACATAACCCCGTTCGCTGTACTGAACGCTAAATTCAAGTAAACTAATCCGAGTCTGTCTGAGTCAGTGATTGTTTTGACGAGAAAGTGAAATTTTCCGGGAAAATGAAACGCTTTATCCTGGTGATACTGTAATACAAGAAAAAACTCGTTTAACAGTGGGTTATTGCAGGGACAGAGATATGCAAATGAGTCACTCGCTGACGCGTAGTAGACGGACTTCGTAATTAATTGGGTCCGAACTCGAGAGTGCGAAGATCTATCACTTCCGAAGAAGCACGCGCTCTTGAAGTTCGGTGGGATCAAATTCCTCGCTGAGAGCGTGCATCGTTCGGCGTTCGCTGCTCAGACTCAGAGTTTTCTTTATGGCAAATTTTCTACAGCACGGTTAGAGGTCTTTAATACCAAATTTAAGACACGTAGGAGTCTTTCAAATAAGTACGATGGTTAACTTGGGGATTGGATTTCAAGAGCCTTTGACTCGTCCAGGCGTTAAACTTGACGAGAAAATGAGCAATTACTCTTCTGACTCCGAAAGATCACGGGGGATATACAAATTCCAGCTTGCTGGAAAGTGATCTAAAAGTAAGAAAATGTCATGCCATGCTATTCTTAAGAACCTGTATGGGCCCAAAATGGATGTGATTTTGACCATTAGCTTCAAAATAACAGCAGAAATCGAGATAAGAAAACATATGTTTTGCCTCCTACTTCGCTGACGAGGTGTATCGGCTTTGTAAAGCACATGTTATTTTGTTTATTCGTTGCCATGAAATGCGTTGACATTGTTTTTTCACTGTCAATAGCTCGGTTAATGCAGCTCGATCATACTGAACGAATTTGCTGGCGGAAGTTCCATGAATAACGCATTAAGTTAAAGAGTTCTCGCCAGAGTGATGTAGTCAGGCTTCGTGGTGTAGTGGTATAGTAAAGTCGCATGTAGTCGAAGGTTCCCGGAATCAAGTCCTGCTTAATACCGTTTGTTTTTTTATCTTCTTTCTTTCTTTTTTTCCCGTTTTTGGCTTGTTTTGTTTGCTTATTTGTTTTGTTGTTTTTCTAAAAATATGTACCTAAATAACCATTATTTAATAAAATGCAATAAACAAAAAGAAAAGTATTGTGTTTGCAGAGCAAAGATAGTATTAAATATATTGTACATGGATAAACAATCTGAATTTCTATCATTTCCTGCAATGTACTGTCGGAAAACCAGAGTTGATAACCATTTGATCATTTTCTAAACAATGTTCCCACGAGTTGACGATAGGCTTTCTTTGATTAAGTGTACATTTGCTTTCAGTACTCCTTATTTTTCTTGTAATTGTTGTATGCACGACCCCACCAGCAATGCTGATCTTTTTATCGTACCATAAACTAAGGTTCTTACCTACCCACCTACCCACCCACCTACCCACCCACCTACCTACCTACCTATCTACCTACCCACCCACCCACCCACCCACCCACCCATCCATCCATCCATCCATCCACCCATCCATCCATCCCTCTGTTTGTCTGTCTATCTGCCTATCTATCTATCTATCTATCTATCTATCTATCTATTTATCTCTCTATCTATCCATCTATCTATCTATCTATCTATCTATCTATCTATCTATCTATCTATCTATCTATCTATCTATCTATCTATCTATCTATCTATCTATCTATCTATCTATCTATCTATCTATCTATCTATCTCTATCTATCTATCTATCTATCTATCTATCTATCTATCTCTATCTATCTATCTATCTAGCTATATACCTATCTATCTATCTAACTATCTATCTATCTATCTATCTATCTATCTATCTATCTATCTATCTATCTATCTATCTATCTATCTATCTATCTATCTAAAATGCATGCTGTGTACAACTCTAAACATTGTACTCTGAGACTGTACGGAGATATTAAAAGTAGATACTAAGCAGCTATGGAAAATGTCATTACTTTCATGCGATATTGATATCTTATAAAACGGACAACAAATTCAGCAGGAATACACACGAACTGAATTTACTGTTAGGCCCCTGATACCGATAAAAATCATCGCTCAATTTTTCGAGTGTAGAATCCCTGAAAGAGTACTCCTCAATGGAGCAATATCAATATGTAGAAGGTTTTCAAAGGTTTCACACCGGTTTGAGGCTAAGATGTGCAGTCTGTCTCTCCTTGCAATTTTTACTTTTTGAGTATATACATTATGACATACAACACTCGTTTTGTATCCCAAACGAAAAAGTAGTATAACAGCACCGGGGCCTTTGACATTAAAACTCATCTCCAACCAAGCGAGACTCAACGCTACTAAGAGCGTTCTTGTTAATATTGTTCTACAGTGTATGTCAACCAGTCTTATCACAGATTGTTGCCTATAGTCATGGGAACCCAAGACGCAATTTAAGGCATTACTAGTTTCAACTAACTGCTTAAGTAAGAAGCTTTGCTACACCATTACGATATGGTGTACTTCTCTTTTTTCTTCTTCTTCTCCTACAATAGATCTTTGACCTGACACCTACACCATGTACTGTAATAGCAAAAGGTAACAGTAAAAAAATACCACTCGTTAAATGTAGAAAGATGTGTATGTTTGTATGATATTGTGGCTGAGGTTTTCTTATTGAAATTTCCATCCACAATCAATCCTAATAATAGCTTGACACCTTTATTACTTGGTCTTTATTATATGGCCATGTCTCAAAAGGACTGGAAACAAAGAAATTCAAGAATTAATTGGCTGAAATCGATCTTGACTGCGGCCTAGATTTTCTCATCTAGACTGGCATCTAGACTGATCTTGTTGTAACAGTTGTCCTCAAAAAGTAACAAACAAAGAGTACGAAAAAATTGGCTTGTTCCTGTTAATAATACTAAATGGAAGAATCAGTGGACCTTCACGAGGAAGCAGGTAAAGAAGATAGGCAAATGTTGGTAAAATTAATTTGAGTCATGCCCAGGAAGCTATGAGCAAACATGAAGTCGAAATTGATGTTTTTGTTCCTTTGCTTTCTTGTTTGGCCATATAATAAACATCTTATTAACCGAGCTAGGTTGGTCTGTATGGGAGAATCTTCACCTCGGTCGCTGGTACAGACCTCACTACGTTCGGTCTGTAATGGCGACCTCAGTCAAGATTCTCCCATACAGACCTCCCCCTCGGTTAATAAGAGCCAATTAAACAATCTCTTATGCATGACCTCTTCACTTAACCCTTTCACCCTAAGCAAGCTTTTGGCCAACATTGCAAACTGGGCATCCAGGAGGTACGTTTTCTCATAAAATTTTGAGATTAAGAGAATTTTTCTTGAATATATAATCTTACCAATGTGGGTGTCCAAAGAGTGCCTGGACACCCCTCTGGATAAAACCTTGCTCCAGAGTCAAAAAGTTTAATACCAACAAATATTTTCCTCCCTTATTGTAACACTGCTCAGTCAATCATAAAAGGCCAGTGTGGAGGAAGTGCATTTTGACGTTAGGGTTTACTTGGTCAGAACATTATTGCAACTTACAGCCCAGGATGGGTTAAAATGTCTGACTTTACCAATAACAGGGCCCATTCTCTACAGGCTGGTTTTCACTAGCGCATAAGCATAAGTATAAGGACATACACACATGCAGAATGGCATATTTGACTCACTTCTTGATACCAGCTCTCCTCAACCCGATGATAAACAAGATGGCGAACGAAGCATCTGCCATATTGCTTTTGATATGTTCGCATAAGGTCTGGGTCAATGTGACCTATTTTAGGTCCACGGCTTTGTGCTTAGCTCACGCTTGTGTTTTATGCCAACCCTGTTTTACAACATAAGCACAAGCACAATTCAAGAAGAACGAACTTGTTTGTTTTTCTTGTGCTTATGCTCATGCTTATGCTTATGTCAACATAGTTTTCACTTGCTTACACATGTGCTTGCGCTTATGCTTATGCGCTGGTGTAAACTTTGAAGAAAAGAAAAGAAGATATACTTCAATTCTCTCTCAATTGATGTTCGCAAGGTTGGCCCATTAACACTATTTTCTAATATTGAGCGCTACATTTGATACAGCGCGTGAAAAAAAAACAGAAAATAGTGTTTAAATACGGTAACTTTTCCTGTAAAAAGTGCTTTCCTTGTGATCCAAAATGACACTGAACACATAGAGGTTCTACTTTGGGAGCGCTATTGTTCTCAGATCGATCGCGCGCCAAAACATGCAGGTAAGCTTAGCTTTTAAACGTGAACAATCTCATCAGAAACACATTCTTCAGAAGCCACTGACCACGAACAACTGGACTTCGAAGTAGGTTAGCTTCAAAATCGGTGGGAATTAAAAAATCACTCACTTTAGGAGTTTGCCAGTACAGAAACTTGGACATTAGACCGTTAATCGAGCAAGACTGAAGACCACGTAACAAATTTAAAAGTCAGCGGATTTACGGTGCATTCGTGCCCAGGACGCGATCGGCCCGAACACGATGACCCGTCCTCTCGTCGTTCAGAGGCACCTAATTGATTCTTCTTCCTGGACTGTTTTTTGTTAGCACATAATCAAAAGCCGAATTGAAATGTGCTTTACCTTTCGAAGTTAAAAAGCAGGGACAGACCTAGCCTGTGTACAGCCCCCCCCCCCCTCAGCAAAAATCGGAGAAGGTATGGCTAGGACAGACTCACGACACACAGGAACTATTTTTTTTTTCATCAAATGAGATTCAAAATATGTACATGTAATCATTTTTTCTTCAAAAAAAAAAAAAAACTCAGAAAATGCCGGTTTGGTAAGAAGAATCCTCATTCTTATCACAAGGATTCTCTTTCTTCTTCTGTGATTTCTGAAATGGTTAATCTTCTCAGAAGATTAAGACAAAAGTAATTCCTTCCAGAAGAACTCTCTGATGCATGACCTGGTAATAAGAATTCTCATTCTGGAGATAAAAATTTTCAATCTTTTTTTAAGACTTCATAAAAAAGTGGTTCTTCTCAAGAGATTTGAATGTAATGCATTCTTTTGAGAAGAAATCTTTCCTGCCTGATCTCCTTACAAGAAGTTCAATTCTTATCACAAGAATGGCAATTAACCTAATTCTTGTAATAAGAAGATCGTTTCTTGAAAGAAGAATAACCAGAATGGGAAATTAAGAGTGAATCCTAACCAATCCAAACTATCATATGTCGGTTAAGAAAAGTCAAGCGATCCTGAAATGCGTCATGGATCTCAAGAGTAGCATTTGGTTTACGCTCAGAAAAACGAAACCATGTTTTGTGACACTTATAACTTTTTTCAGGTTGACTGCCGGTCAAGGTTTTTTTAAAAACACTAAATGACCGGCAGTCCTGTAATCTCAGTAAATTTGACAAGTCAAAAAAATCCAGCTAATCTAAACTATCATATGCGATTAAGAAAAGTCAAGCAATCGAGTTTAGTGTTTGGTTTCCGCTGGGCTCAGAAATAGAAACCATGTTTTGTGACACTTGGAACTTTTTTCAGCTTCCTCTTTCCTCTTTCGTCTTTCCTCCTTCCTCTTTCCTCCTTCCTCTTTCCTTGTTCCTCTTTCCTCTTTCTTCCTTCCTCCTTCCTCTTTCCTCGTTCCTCTTTCCTCTTTCCTCTTTCTTCTTTAATTTCCTCCTTGCTCCTTCCTCTTTCCTTATTCCTCTTTTCTCTTTTCTCTTTCCTACTGCCGGTCATTTAGTGTTTTGAAAATCTTGACCGGCAGTTGACCTGGAAAAGGTTCTAAGTGTCACAAAATGTCATGCTTTCATTTTCTGAGCCCTGAGAGTAAACCAAATGCTAAACTTGAGACCTATAAAGCGTTTTAGAATCGTTTGACTTTTCTTAATCAACATATGATAGTTTAAATTAGCTGGTTTTTTCAATTTGTGAAATTTACAGAATTGACAAGACTGCTGGTCAGTTAGTGTTTTGAAAGCCTTGACCGGTTGCCGGCCATATAGCCACAGCGCTATTTTTTAGTCTTTTGGTGGGTAGTTTGCCTAAAGACCAAGGATTATTCATGTCATCCATTATTTACCCATTACTTGGTTCTTATTTTTATTATTGTAAACTGCTAGAATTATTGTTGGTGACTTGCCCTTTGCTGTGGACTGTTTTTGGAGTTTACCCTGTTACAAAACTCCAGATTTCCCAATGAGTTTTTGGCCAGTCATGGCCCCTTGTTGTTGTTTGTTTTAGGCATGAACATCTTTTTGGAACAACTCTGTGGAATTTTTGCTAAATTTTTTCCTCTTTGTTGATGTTCAAATATGAGGATGAACAATTTTTTCAATTATGTTCATTCTGATAATTAGTATTCCATTGTTTCTGCAGTCATTCAGCCCCTAAATGTATTTTTGGAAGTACTTGTATCTTGTAGCACAAGGAAAAAGAACCAATTTAACAAATAGAATAATTTTCTGAAATTCAGAGCAAAACTGTTAGAAACAAAATTTCATATTTTGTTTGAATCTCTCAAACTTCACTGGTACAAAGTGATGGCAATGGCCTCCTTGATGTGGTACTTGATAGTGTGATTTTCGTCAGTAGAAACTTCAACATTATGTGGATTGATGTTATGACCCCTTGCCTGACAGTGCTTGAAATAATTAGAAGTTTTAGGGGATCGGAGTTCTTTGAATTGTGTTCGAGGGATCTGACTGCCTCAATCAGGGCATTGTTCGCATTGGATATAGTAAACTAAGGCCTGTTCTTCTAACTTCTCTGGGCAGTCTTTGACTTGTGTGGCTTGCTGTCATAATGAGTCGAAGGGCTTGTGGAAGATGTGAACCCCATGTGTGGCCAAAGAGAACCAAATTCATTGAAATAACATTATTGGCAACAACCTAGTAAGCTATATCAAGAGCTACAAATTGCAGCAAAAAGTCGCCTTATTTTAGATAAGGAGATAATTTGTTGAGGCATTTTTTGTTGCAGTGTTATTCTGCCAAAGCTCTGTTTTCCTCCTTTTCCATTGACTCAAGTGGGCTGAACCAAGAGTCATTTGAGAAGATATGTCCAGCTATAGTAGAACAGATTGAAAGTGAAGCATGTGCAGTAAAAAGTGAGGAAGAAGATGAAGGGGAAATAACTCAAAGTAAAACCAAAGGTAAGTATTTGCTTTTGTCATTGATTAACATTCACACCTAATCTGCCCTAAACTGTCCATGTGGATCCAACGTCCAATGTGACATCAGCATGCCGTTGAAACAGTTATAGACAACTTCTGTTACCCTCTGTGTCTGCTGGGGACAAGAAGCCCAGGGGTGGGGACACTCCCTCATGTGGCCTAGGTGGGTATGTGCTGCTGAACAGGGTGTGGTTTTCAGGGTCACTATTTTGCGTCTTGAACAGGGAGTCTCTTTGGACTGTAAGTCTTAAATAAAAGAGTGTGAAGGTTGGAGACACGCGGCCTACATGAGCGGTAGCAACAATGTATTTCCAAAAAAATTCCATGCTGTTAGTTTCATAAACACATGTGTGTTGTAAGAGTAGGTCTCTTGTCTTAAACAGGGTCAGGTTTTGAAAGGCTCAGCAGCACACCTCTAGCTAAACTACCCTTGAGTGCCCCCCTCACCCCAACCCCCCCCCTTGGGCAATAAGCATAACCAAATGAGCAAGATTAAGGCAAACAGGCTCCAGAAAACTTCATATGACTTTCAATTCAAACCATACTTCTTTTGAAGTGACAGGTACAAATGGTTAGTGGGGTGTGACTGCGACCCTCGTGATGGGGCCTATAGGTATGTTGTCTGCTCTCTTTAAGGCAGGTCTGTGTGCAGTACAGCTGGTAAAACATGCTGTAAGATACAATATATAGACACCCATTACACTGATGTCTTTTGTATTTTCTTTTTTAATAATGTTAATTAATTTGTTTCAAGTAGAAAGGCATATTCATGGCACTCATGCGGTTAATTCTTGTAATGATTTGTGGCATCTGTTTTTTTAGCATGGGGATTTGGTTTCTTGTCTGTGACCATCATTAGCTGTGCATCTCTACTGGGAGCTTTTGTAGTTCCATTTATGAATAAATCATTTTACAAAGTTCTCCTGCTGTTCATGGTTTCTCTTGCGGTTGGTGTGTTGTGTGGTAGCGGAATCTTTCATCTCATCCCAAGTGTAAGTATATGTATCAGCAAATTTAAAATACACGTATAAAGGTTCAAATTGTGATACTGGGGGTAAATTTCTCTTTCTGCCCTTAGTGTCTCTAATTAAGTCTCTCAGGTAAAAATGTGGCTTTTGAGATTTTCAAAGGGCAACATGTAGCCCGGCACTTTCCCAAAAAATTTTGTTTTCAAGTTAAATTACACGTGTATGGTTCCTGCAGGATTTTTGGGTAACTCTTTCCAGTTGCTGGGGATTGTAGGGGAGTGGGGGGCAGGGAGAAGGCAAGAGAAAAGATTTTTGGGTTTCAGAATGTGGGCTTGCATTCTCTGAAGTCTGAAAAACAGACAATTCTAAGAGCTGTTATTATTATTATTATTATTATTATTATTATTATTATTAACGATGCTGTCTTTTAATTGTGCATAATATTTTTTTATCAAACCTTTTGTACTTGTCCTTTATTTATTGTACGTGTCATTTTTAATTTAAAATCGGCTTGATTTTTTGTAATATACTGTAGTTAGGGCATTAGTAGGCAAAGAGCCACCTCGTGGAAGTACTGCTAATAAAATCATTATTATTATTATTATTATTATTATTATTATTATTTGCACTTTCCTTTGAAATAATTAAAGCTTCAAATTACAGCTGTGGAAAAATGGTACCTAATTCACTTGAGCTCTGAAAGGTAGTGAATGGGGAGGGGAGTGTGCATGGATTCCTTGAAAATTAATAAATTTATCTTTTAAAAAAGTAATGTCCTATTTTTGTAGAAATATGCCAGAAAATGATCTAGATCCGTGCCTTGTGATCCTGACACAAGAGTAATAACCAAATTAATATTGTCAGTGATTTTTTTTCTCTTTCTCTTGTAGACATTTGGTTTTGGTCTTGATGGAGATATGTCATTTTTGTGGAAATGCCTTGTGATCGTCAGTGGAGTGTACTTGTTCTTTTTCTTGGAATATGTAATGAAAATGATTGTCAGGTTTAAAGAGCAGTCAACATGTGATGATCATAGTCAAAATGTAATGGTGAGTAGTGCTGTGGCAATAAATCAAACCATTGATTTTATTTTGTTGAGACAAGTGTGTCTTTATTTGTACAGTCAAGGTTGTCAGTGGTGTTGAAGATTATAATGAGCAGAATGTACACAGCAGTTAGGTTTCCAACACCATTTTCATTTTTGAAGTGGCTTTGATAACTGTGCAACAGTTATTTGTAAAATTTTAAATATACAATTTTAGCTGGCCAAAAAACGAGAGCTTCCATTTTTGCAGACTGTTAAATTTATATTGAAACAATCAAATTTCAAATTTGATTTATGATAAAAAGATGGCAAACTTAAAGACTCCCAAAAAATTAAAACTTGAGGCTGTAAACCCTTTGAAAGCTCATTAACCAGTCAGGGAGTGTAACTTTTACAGGTTGAGTACATCTGCGGTTCCCAAAATAATCAACAGCGATTAACATAAACTATTTCTGTGTTTGTTTTGCTTGATATATACACATGTATACACACAAGGGGGTGCAGTTGGGAGAATTCAAGACAGGTATATTTGCAAAGTCAAGACAAAGTTGAGGGTTTGCATAACTTTCAAGAATTCTCCAAGCCCCTCAAGTTCTTGCATCAGGCTATATAATAAAAAAAGAAAGTAGTAAAAAATGTTTTATGACTCACTGTATTGCTTTATTCTAGGAAAAGTTGTACAAATTGGCAGGCAGTTGGATAAACTAATATGGGGTGGTGATAACCACAAGTTTTGCAGGTGGACAGATACTGTACCAGCAGATGTGATGAGTCACACTATAATTATATATAGCTATAATGCACCATGCAGTCAAGTGACCTCACACTAACTTTGTTCTGGTCAATTCCCAGTGACACTCTTTTGTAGCCTTTAAAGAGATAATATAGGTGGCATTACTGATCTGTCCTTCTGTTTACAATGTAAGTTACTTGTACATGTATTTTGTGATTATTCTGGTTCTTTTTGTTATATCCAGGACAATTCAAGGGGTGAAATACCTGGAGCAGGTATCGCTGATGTTCAGCTGCAGCTATATAACGTGCAACCCAATCATCACCATGCTCTTCACAATCACAGCAGATGTATCAACACACCTTTACCAACTGTTAAAATTTTTGAAAATGGGTCAAAACAAAATGGCTTTTCAGATGAGGTATGTCCACTCAAACATTTGTTTATTAGCTTAGTTATTTTATTTACAATAATATTATAAAACTATTATTAATAATGCAATCTTTTGTATGTATATGACTGAGTGGGAGAGGGAGGTCGCGCAATCTGGAACCCTGTGATGGTGGTAACTAATATTAAAGAGAGGGGAAAGGAAAATGGGAAAAAATTGCCCTCCAGATTTCATTTCATGAAAATGACTTTTTAACCCTTTATTCACTTCCAGACAACCGTGGAGAGATTATTGTCACCATAAATTTTAAATCTGTTTACAAAGTCCCAGTGGTGTTACCATTAAAAAACCTCGTTGGAAGAACGTTTGCGTAGCATTTCTAATGATTTTACTAAAAGACTGGGGTGGTGCGCGATATACCAAGTCAATATATGCGCTATTGTGTGGTTCTGTTGTTTGCAGTTTATTGTGTAATTGGGTAAGGGCTAAGCAATGACGGAAAAATCTAGTACGGTGACCGGAAGTAATTTTTTTCTCACCACCCTTTCATGCCTCTATAAGTTCAGGTACCACGTTGCTTAATTTTTAATAAAAAGTTAATTGTCAAATGTAGGCAAACTCGTAGAGGAAAAAAGTTCGTCTTCGTTTGTTGACGTCTTTGTGAAATTAGGCATTTTCCGTATAGAGCGTATTCACAAGATGTCATTGGGGCAATATTGGTGTTCCAAAACAATGAAACGGTGGCGATGTTTGTGTTCCAAACAAATCCTGTGGATGTTTTAAAAAATTTCTTTTGTTCCCATAAATTTGCGTAGATGCTGGCCACCTGAGCTTGGAATACGCTCTGTAGAAGACCATGGTGGGCTGTAGTGTCTAAGTACGTTTGGTATAGTTGTATTTTACGTGCTTAGAACTCTAGTGTTTATTTGAAACAGAATCGGAAGATATCCCTTTTGTCATTCTTGGAAATTTCTGAATGCTCAGTTTTCGATCGTGAGTTTCGGTGTCAAGCACGACACCCGAGTGAAAAATACAGCCAAATACACAAAATACAGTTGATGGGAAAGAGGACATTTCATAAGGGATATCATCTCACCAAGTGGTGTGAATTTAAGATTGAAGAGAGAAAGAGAGATTAAGACTTTTTCAACGTTTCCTTGCTGTGGGGGTCACTGCATGGCCTTAACCTCGGGAGATTACGCCAACATTTGACAAATTATAAGCTAGTTGAAATAATCGCGCTAACGATTTTAAGAACGCAGATTAAGTTTTAAGCGATGTTTTCACTGCTATAGCTGTCGTGGTATCTTAAACTCTGATCTGATTTGAGGCACTGGCGGGTGGCGAAAAAAACTACTTCCGGTCACTGCACCAGAACCTTCCGCAGTCTTTGCTTAAAGACCCTATTGTTGTGTTCTTTGTGACGTCACTATAGACTTGCTATTCACTTGCAGGTATCGATGGTGCACCAGCCAAAAATTGGATTTTACTGTTAATTGTTTTTCGTTTTTCACTGTTTGGTCTAAAAGGGTTAATACTATTATTTTTATAGACACAGGTTTCTTTAGAAAATGGTAAAGAAACAGTGGGGAAGAAGAAAATTGCTCCTGTTGCATGGATGATCATAATCGGTGATGGCCTTCATAACTTTATTGACGGGCTGGCGATTGGTGCATCATTTTCTAGTTCAACACTTGTTGGTGTTAGCACTGCACTTGCAATATTCTGTGAAGAGCTGCCTCACGAACTGGGTAAGTTTAAGTTTCCTGTCTGAATTTGTGTTGTGTACATACTACACATGCAGCCTTCTCAGTTAAAGGATCAATGCACAGCGTGGGATCATCCAGTTTTGAATGCAGTCAGGACTGGTTGCTTAGCACAAAAAGACGTGTAGGGGTAGTAACTGGAATGCAGAATATGATTTTAAAAAAGTTTTAGATATATTTGATGCCTTGGGAAAAATTCATAGGATGTATACTATAGAGTCTGGTATGTTGAGATGGAGTGTCAAGTCCTCACGATCGTGATCCGGTTTTGAACCAGTGAACTAAGTTACTTTTTGTGCCGAATCGTTCCTCAGGTGACTTTGCAGTTCTTCTTAATGCTGGGCTATCATACAAAGCAGCAATGGGATTCAACTTTCTCTCAGCATGCTCTTGTTATCTGGGGCTTGTCATTGGATTGTTGCTTGGTTATACAACATCCGCTGTCAAATGGATCTATGCTGTTGCAGGTGGAATGTTTATTTATATTGCTCTTGTTGACATGGTAAGTGCTCCATTCTTTATCAGATAAATGTAAAATCCTCTTAGAGCTAAATCATTCTTTTAATTGAGTTACAGTGCTCTATTCCGCTGGTCATTATGGGTATTTTGTCTCTTGTGCAACATTGCACTACATACGAGTCAAATTAGTCTTGCCAGTTGCAATGTAGCCTGCGTGATTGGCGGTTTGTCTGGTGATGGGGGGAAAAGTTGCCAAGACGCATTTGCAAGAAAGGGCAATACTTTACTGTAAGTGAATTAATTGTTGCCCCCTATCAAATACACGCCTCTCTTATGCTTTTAGGTATGCATTAGTCACTCATATCTAACAAACGACTCCTGTCAAAGAGACGCCACCATGAAAGTTACTTCAAAATACTAGAAATTGAAAAAGCAAAAAAGGAGCAAAATCGTGCTGTTATTAAACAAAGATTGCGCCTTGCATCTTGTTTAATGTCAAGTACATGACAGCACATGCACAATGACCCTGATTGAGTCTGAATGAAGGTTCTGACATCGAGAGTGATGTAATTTTTGAAAGAGCAATTGGGCCTAGACTGGATATTTTGCTATTTATAAACTGTAGAAAAAGCAGTTATGAGAATAAACGCCTTTCTCTTTTAAAAGTATCTTATCTATTAAACACCTCCTCTGGGACCCCTAAAATTAAACAACCGCCCAGGGGTCTTTCAGATCATATTTTAATGCTAGGTTGCCTTGAGTACATATTTTACAGCTTCCTCACAGATTTCAAACTGGTGTCTTTCTTCATTGCTTGGCCAAAAATATAGTATTTTTAGCACAAGATGTTTGTCTGGGCACCCTAAATTATTTCTTGAATGGGAGAAGGACACCTCACACCCCAGCCCTTCACACTGTCTACTCCCATTAGAAATTGTCAATTCTAATCATCATGCGGACATTATTATGACTATACTGTTATTCCTTTTTTATTGCAGTTAGAGGAAGCTTGTGAGATGTCAGTTAAGATCGGACAAGGTTCAGTTCGCAAAAGCATCAAGGCCTTTGCCCTTCAGAACTTTGGCATGCTGTTTGGTTTTACTATCATGTTTATTTTAGCCCTCTATGGTGGGGATATTGCAATTGGATAAAACTATTCACTTAGATTAGTTACATGAATTTTCTTTCTGAAACAAGATATGAAAATCTTATAAAACATCAACACTGAAAAAAAAATTAACGCTTCTTTTATGGCGACATGAGTTTAGGGTTTCAGTTTTTTGGGAGCTGTGTTTATAACGTTTGACGTGTGTGCAAGGTGAAGGTTGCAGAGAAGAGCATAATGTGTTGCATGTTACGCGTTGCTAGCTAGATCTTTTGCCGCACTGATCGTAGGAAATAGCTGATGCAGCAAGCTGTTTAGCTAACAGTATGTTACATGATAGTTGTTGGCCTTCCTTGAAGAATATAGGAAACAAGGGACAACAAACCTTCTCGGCCTGTAAGTCAAGTAATCAACCTAGAGTCAGACAGAGAGTTATTAAACCGGCTGTAGCAGATAGCAAGTTGATGTGTAGCGGTAGCAAAAAGCTTCCCTTCAATCACATCCTTATTTAAGAGTTAAAATACGACCTTAGATTACGTTATTGTGACATTTCACTGTTACTTACATTTTCACTCAACCAATTTAGTTTTGTTTTTCATCTGAATGTACTTTTGTACAAACCAAATGTACATTCTTCTTTAACTTTTTTGAAAGGGTATACTGTCATGCACGGGCAAGATTGTCATAAATTTGTTGAAGTTATAGGCGAACTTGTTCTCTCGCTCCTAGCGGCTTTTGCAACACCTTTAAAAACAAATGCAGTGATCAGTCCGGCGAATTCGTATGTGAATGGCCGTTTTCACACTAGAGACGGATTATCCGTCTTTAAAATCTGTCAAAATTGACGGACAAATAGATGTATAAAGTCAGAGACGTACTATCTGTCTGACACGAATTACCGTAAAATTCCGAAAATAAGCCCCGGGGCTTATATTTTTCAAAGACCCTTTTTGAGGGGCTTATTTTTTGAGGGACATATTCGGAGGGGCTTATTTACGGAGGGAAATTTGCGTTTCAAAATCGATTGAGCTAGCCTTATAAATGGAAGGAAATTTACCGTTTTTTCTTTCTTTTACTTTGTATTTGAGGGCAATTTCCAAGTACAAGCCCCCAGGGGGGGCTTATATTTGGAGGGGCGATTTAACGGAGGGTTTTTTTGCGTTACGAGTTTGGAGGGCTTATACATGGAGGGGCTTATTTTCGGAATTTTACGGTATCCAACGGATAACCCGTCTCAGACGGATAATCCTTCTCTAGTATGAAAACGGCCAATAATGTGGCTTAGGGTTTTATGATTAAGAAACGTTCCCTTTGGTGTTAATTTTGGCAGATTGTCCGAAACTCATTAACACGAAAAGTCAACCTAATTACAATCTTTGGTTAACGGCTTTAAATATGTGTCATTTTTGTGTACATTTGCTACAAAAACGGTAAATTTTAGCGGTGTTGTTTTCATCACTTGCAGCTCTGGGTTCGTCTTTATCTCGCGCGTGACAGTGCCCCTTTCACTGCAGACATGCTTGTTTCACTGCAGACGTGCTTGTAATTTCGCACAAAATATTTTAATAGGCCATTTTCATGATGACGACATTTGACTATACAACTACCAGAATTCATTTGGTTTTTTCTTTCTTACTGAAATTTGTCAATCCCGCTGAGGTTTAAACAACAATAGCCCTAATTTGCACGAGAAAACAACAAACGTAAGGATTCTGGTAGTTGTAGTAATGAAGGCATTGGACAAGATTTGAGGCAATTCAAGAGGTCCACTCGCTGTCAAACATCTGTTTCATGATGTTTTTGTTTTATTTATAAGGATTTTACTTACCCTTAATAGGAAACGTTGGCAAGAATTTTGTAAGCTTTTTTAATTTATTTTTTCAAGCTACAGCTGATCCTCCTGTAAGCGGCCTCGGAAGTTCGTCTGTAATGAGCTCCCGAGTAAAATTATGTTTGAAGGTGGCACTGAAAATAACTCCAGTTTCAGTTTTGAAACACTTGCAGAAAATTCAATAAGTTAACAGAGTATTGAGTTAAAGATCTCCATAGCTTTTGCAAATTTTCCACCTGTGTATACGAATATTATTTTAACCCGAGGATAGACCTCTTTAGCTTGTATCCCTTTGTCTTCTCATAATTTATGCGTAGATATGCACGTGAACAAAACGAAATTTTAAAGGAACAGTTCCCTAGGGTATCACCACGTGACCTGTACTGGGAAATCAAAACATACAGGCTAAGAGGTCTATTGAACCAGGTCGCATATTTTAGACATTTGTACCCAGTTCGCTGCTCTCGGAGAACGTGGCTAACTGTGAAAAAAAATTTAAAAAGTAAGTGCTTATTTATTGTTTTCAAGCATTTTTGTATTAATAAGGTCAACCTTGCCAGTCCTTTTTTCTCGAAACCTACTATTAATATAATAGTAGCATATTCCTTTTTTTGTAGTTTTAAGTAACGCAAGATCTATAGACACGGAAACTATGGCCAAGAGCCATTATAATGTGGCTCTTGGTATGGGTAATTAATTATCATTGTAATAACTGCCCTGGGTAGTGTGCTTTAATATTCTCATGCATTTCAAAATATTTGATTCGTTGAATTGTTCAGAAATCAGATTTTTATAGTGTGCTTTTTACTGACGTATCCTCAACAGTCTAACTGTAAACTTCAAAAG